ACTCCTGGCTCTGCACTCAGGAATCACTCCTGGCCGTGATGGGATGCTGGGGACTGAACCCAGTTTGGCTGCATGCAAGGCAAAGGCCCTGCCTGCTGTACTATAGCTCTGGCTCCAGGACACTATGTATTTTTTTTTCTTTTAGTAGGAGTACTGCTATTCATCCACTGATTAGCTGATTGAATTGGGCATGAACCAGGACACTATTTTAAATGTGCATTTTATAGTACCCACCTGGTGCTGTATTAGCAAAATAATTCAGTGTTTATGTTAATTCAGTAAAGTAATTTTGTTAGTGGTAAAATATAATCTGAAGGAGGAAAATGGCAATAGGGGCAGGAAATGAAATTAGCGGTTGGAATTGAGTGACATGAAAGAGTTGGGGAGTGGTTTGGGGAGACAGCTTGAAGTGCAGGAGCATGTGCTTTGTGTGCTGGGGGCCTGAGTTCAGTCCTGGGTCCCCCATGGTGTACCCTGAGCATTACTTTCCACCCCCTGAAGGGGAGGAAACATCACAAGCTAGTCAAATCAATGAGTTTTTTTGTTTTTATGACCTCTGACTGATAGTTTCCAGTTTCTAATTAGGTGAAATCTGATCCGTACTAGTGACTAGGATAGGTGACCCTAAATTTGAAAACTACATATTGAGCAGCAAAGAAACAGGAGATAGGGTAAAAAAGTGATACAAGATAGAGAGTGGGACTGTTCTACAATTGGTAATTATTCAATACCAAGTGACTGTTCTACTTCTACAGGATGTAGTCAGACCTCCATAGCTATTTCTATGGCCCTGGAAGTGAATTTTTAGTAGTTAGGATACTTGATAGTTGAAAAAACCCTAAAAATCTAGTTTCAAGAGAGACTATTATAGGGATAGGGGAGATTCATGCTTGCCATACCTACTGTGCTTAGAGCGTACTCCTGGCTCTGGGGGGCCTGCTGTGTGCTAGTCACGCTCCTTGTCCGCTGTAATACTGGTTCCTGTGGAAGGGGCCCATGCTCTGGCAAAGGCCCACCAATGCTCAGGGCTTAATTACTTACTGGCTCTGTGGTCAGGGATCACTCCTTGTGGGCTCGGGGAATATTACAGGGTGCTGGGGATCGAGCCTGGGTTAGTCATGTGCAGTGTGAACACCCAACCCCTGTAATACTGCTCCAGCCCCAGACTTTTGGCATCCTTTTTAGGTGCTGGGGATCAAACCCCTGTCCGCATGCTGGCAAGGCTAGCACTTGATAATTTGAGCTGTGTACCCTGGCCCTTTTCTATGCTAGGAAAAACTCAACACAATTACTGCAACTGACCTATGTACTAGTTGAGGGAAGAGACAAAAATCTGCCTAGAGCTCTTTTTCTTTTTTTTTTTCCCCTTCCTTTTTGGGTCACACCCGGCGATGCTCAGGGCTGATTCCTGGCTCTACACTCAGGAATCACTCCTGGCAGTACTCAGGGGACCATATGGGAAGCTGGGAATCGAACCAGGGTCAGCAGCATGCAAGGGCAAACACCCTCCCCACTGTACTATTGCTCCAGCCCCCTCCCCCCACATGAGTTTTTTTTTTAAGTGTTTATTTTTATTTTGCTTTTTGAGTCCCACCTGGCAATGTGCAGGAGTTACTCCTGGCTCTGCACTCAGGAATTACCCCTGGCAATGCTCAGGCAACCATAGGGGATGCTGGGAATACAACCCGGGTTGGCCTCATGCAAGGCAAATGCCCTACCCACTGTGCTATTGCTCCAGCCCCACCCTGTGGTTTTGTTTGGAGTTAAATCATAGTTAAATTTTTTTCTGGGAGTGGGGTTTTGCGCCACTCTGAGCAACTCTCAGGGCTTACTCCTTCCTGGTGGGTGCTTTGGGACTAGCTGGGGTGCTGGAGATAGACCCTAGTCAACAGGATGTGCAACACAAGTTAGTGCGTTAACCCTTGTACTACCTCTGGTCCAATAACAATGTTCATATGTACAGATTGCGGTACCATTTTCCCCACTAGCATTTGAATAGGATGTGATAATAGGAGCAATGTTAAGATACTGTCACTTTAGTAGTCTTTCAAAGATTAGGTATTTTAGTATTGGGAGGGGTCACACTCCATTTGTGATACACTATGGCTATGACTTTGCTCACAACTAGTCACATGTAGGAAACGGTATTGGAATTCTTGGCCGTATAAATATAAAGCATATCAATCTCTGCCATCTCTGGCCTGTAGATTTGAACTTTTCATACTGTTTTGACTGTTGTGGGGCTTTAGTAAGTATGTGAAATAAAATTTGAGTATTTCCATCAGTCTATGTTCAATGATTATTTCAGTATTCTTAAATGTTGGTAGTATGGTTGCAAAGAACATTTGCCTAAAACAATGTACAGCCATTTGTTTTGGGGGACTTAGGGACCACGGGCAGTGGTACTCGGGCTACTTATGGCTCTGCTTAGTATAGTGACTGATGGTGCTAGTGGGGATGGGGGGAGTCAAGTTGGTGGAGATTCAAACTAAGGTCGCACATGTGAAAACGAGAAGTGTCTTGCTCATTAGACCATCTATCTCACTGGCCAACTTAAAAATTTTTTTTTTATTGAATCACAGTGATATGGGAGTTACAAAGTTGTTCACGATTGGGCTTCAGTCATATAATTGAATACCTGTCCCTTTACCAGTGTATGTTTTCCACCACCAATGGTCTCAGTTACCTTTCCCCCTCCTCCCTTGCCCCCCCCCACCCCACATGCCTCTATGGTAGACAGACTTTAAAACTTTTTTGTGTCTCTGAATGCATATGAGCAGAATCTTATAGTTTATTAGACTCCAGGTATTTTACTAGTTTTATTATTGGGAAGGACAAGGAGAGAGAACTGTAGGTTTTGAAGACTTAGAATAGTTTCCCCCTTTCCTCATTTATATTTCCATTTAAACCCTCTCCTTTGGTATTTTTAAAAATTTTAGTTCAGTTTTTGGGTCACATCTGTGGGTGCTTAGGTATCACTCCTGGTTATGTTCAGGGGACCACAGGTGCTGCTGGGGATTGGACCTGGGTTGGCACTGAGCAAGACAAGCACCATACCTGCTGTTCTATCTCTGACCCCACAAATATATATATGTATTTTTTTTCTTTGAACCATATTTAGAGGTGCTCAGGGAAGGATCACTCCTAAACAGTGCTCAGGGAACCATACGAGGTGCCAGAGAGCAAACTGAAGTCAGCTTTGTACAGGGCAAATGCCTTACCCCTATGTCTCTGGGCCTCTTTCCTTTGATTTTTTTCTTTTTCTTTTTGGTCTGTTAATTTTGGGGGCCTTCTCTGATTGGTGCTCAGTGCTTACTCCTCTGTGCTCCGGAATCACTCCTGGCCAGCTTGGGGTACCATATGGGGTGCTAGGGATCAAACCTGGGTTGGACACATTAAAGGCAAACCCACTGTCTTATTTCTCTGGTCCTCTCTTTTGATTCTTAAAGCAGTAACTTGGTTGTTGTAAAAGCCCTCCATTATTTAAATGTGCCAGCAGAGGGTCTCACACACTTGGTCCTGGAACTTGCATCTTGGTTCTTGCTGAGGGTTTGAAGTCTATCTGCGGTGCTGTGCTAGCTAGAGTTGCTTTGATGCTTCATTCGTGGGTTTACCTGCTGATTGCAGTGTGATTAGTGCTGGGATTTCAGATAACTACCAGGATCTCACTGAGTGCATGTGATGGCTCTGGGGATTGAACTTCAGACCTCATGATGGCAAGGCATTGTAAGGTACGCACTGTAACTTGACTCATCTCCTAGCCCCTAGTTCTTGACATTATATTACCTGAATATCCTTTTCTTTTTTTTTCCTTTCTATTTTTGGCCACACCTGGCGATGCTCTGGTGTTACTCCTGACTGCCCTCAGGAATTTCTCCTGATGGTGCTCGGGAGACTGTCTGGGTTGCTGGGGATTGAACCCAGATCTGCTACGTACAAGGCACGCGCCAGACCCAGGTACTCTCTGCCCCCTGAATATCTTTTCTAACTAATCATAATAGCATAGGGAACTTAAGTTTTTCATTTTATTTTGCTTTCTGTGTTTTTTTTTTTTTTTTTTTTTTTTTTGCCACACCAAACTCCTGGCTCTGCTCTGGGTTCACCCTGGCATTGCTCAGGGGACCAAATGGGGTGTGGAGACTGAACTCCAGCACGGCCGTGCAAGGCAGGTGGCAAGTGCCCTACCCACTGAACTACGACTTCAGCTTACAAATTTTTTATTTTTAGCAAGAAGCAGGGTAAAGAAACTTTTTTTTTTCTTTTTGGGTCACATCCAGCGATACTCAGGGGTTACTCCGGCTCTGCACTCGGGAATTACTCCTGGCGGTGCTTGAGGGACCATGTGGGATGCTGGGAATTGAACCTGGGTCGGCCGCGTGCAAGGCAAAACGCTCTGCTTGCTGTGCTATCACTTCAGCCCCAAGCAGGGTAAATTTTTAACCCCTGTTCTTACCCATTTATAATTCTATATGTGTGAAAATTATAAAGCTGTTGACTAATTAATAATACTTCTTATAGGGTAAGCAGTAGGGTACATGATAGCTTGAAGTACCTATTTCAAAATAACTGAAGTACATCCAGGAATAAATACATGGTTTTCTGCATGAAACTTATTTACTCATCTGACTTTTTAAAAGGGTGTGGGGGGAGGCAGGGCAAAACTTTAACATAATATTTTGAAAATACCTGATATGTTTACATGGACGTAAGTTTGATTTTAATAACGTTTTGATTTTGGGTCATTTAATGCACATCATTGGGGCACCTAAAGGATAAACTTTGGTTGTATCATAGTCTTTAAATTCAATATTTGGTGTTCATTGAGGCTTAAATTCAACTTCTAGCCTGATCTTTAAAAATTAAATGATGTTATTTTATGTGTTAACAAACTGGGATATGCAAAGAATATAGAATAAATTTCGAACATGAGGATTTTGTTGTTTTAGTATAGTTAATTTGGTATATGCTTTCAATATGGAATATTTTATTTTTTAATATAGGGCAAACTTGATGATTACCAGGAGCGAATGAACAAAGGAGAAAGGCTTAATCAAGATCAACTGGTAATGTTGTTGCATTTTATTAAATACTTAATACTTATACTAATAAAATATTAGTCTAATTAGTATAATAAGAAAAATGTTTTGTTTTAATAGTTAACTCTTTCGTTTTAGGATGCTGTATCTAAGTACCAGGAAGTCACAAATAACTTGGAGTTTGCGAAAGAGTTACAGAGGAGTTTCATGGCATTAAGTCAAGATGTAAGTTATGGACACTGCATATTCATGAAATTATGAGGAAGATAGAAAATTCACTATTTTGGTTTTAGTCCTTAAATAATCTTGGCAACCTTTCTGCTAGGTAAGAGGATTGGATCTAATTATTTCTAAGGTACTTTTCAATTCTATCACTGTCCTCCCGTTGTTCATCGATTTACTCGAGCAGGCTCAGTAACGTCTCCATTTTGAGACTTGTTACTGTGTTTGGCATATTGAATATGTCATGGGTAGCCTGCCAGGCTTTGCTGTGAGGGCGAGATACTTTCTGTAGCTTGCTGGGCTCTCTGAGAGGGGCGGAGGAATTGAACCCAGCTCTGCTGGGCTGGCTGCGCGCAAATGCCCTACCGCTGTGCTATTCAATTTTATAAGTTTTATTATTTTGGGAGGCGTACCTTGCTTTTTGCCTGAGGGCTACACCACCTTATGCTGGCAGGGGCCGGTGGATAATGGTCCTAATCAGTTTTCCACGTGCATCGTATGAGCTCTGCCTCTCAACCATTTCCCGGTCCGCTATTCTGTAAATATGGACATTTTTTGGGTGTTTTGGGAGCACCTGGCAGTGCTTCAGGCTTACTCCTGTCCTTTTTTTCCTGATACGGCTCAGGGATCCATATGGGCAGTGCAAACGTCTTAGCAGCACTACTGTTGCTTCAGCTGTTTTAAGTTCTCTAGCTATAGCCTAGAGAACTTTGTATTTTTCGGTCTTTTTTTGCTCCTCATTGGATCTGATGTAGTTTTCTTTAACATTTTTTGTGTTCTCTTTAACTACGTAGATTTTTACCTTTTGATACCTAAAGACCTCTCTACTCTTGGTGTTACATGCTTTAAATTCAGTAAGATTGCAAGCTCTCGGTTGGAGAGAGCACAAAAGCTGCTTAGTCCTTTGAGCACCTCTTAGAACACTCTTGCTCAACCCCCCAAGCACACTGCCAGGAGTTGGCTAGGCAGCACCCCTCTCACTTCACAATGGAGAATGAAAACACCTTAGTCTTGTTAGATGTCTAGTTTTTCTTGAAGTTTTCTTTTGGGATGCTCATTGATGTTCAGGAATGAGGCGTGGTGGTCTGGTATCACGAATTTGAACCAGTGTTGGTGCTTGGTGCATCACGTGACGAAGTTCTTATCACCCTCTTTTAGACAGAACTCAGCCCTCTATATGTTCTATTTACTTGTCATACACTGTTAATGTGTTATTGAATCCATTTTTTTTTTCTTTTTTGGGTCACACCTGGCCATGTACGGGGGTTACTCCTGACGTTGCACTCAGGAATTACTCCTGGCAGTTCTTGGGGGACTATACAGGACACTGGGAATTGAACCCAGGTAGTCTGCGTGCAAGGCAAACACCCTAACCCGCTATACTATAGTTCCAGCCCCTAATTTTTCTTTTTGTTTCAATTTTAGGACATCCCTGGCTGTACTCAGGAATCACTCCTGGCAGACTTGGGGGGACATGGAGTGCTAGGGATTGAACTTGGGTTGGCTCTATGCAAGGCAAACACCCTGTTCACTGTACTACTGCTCTGCCCCTCCACTAGTCTTATTTCTTTCTTTTTTGGGGCGGGTTAAATCTACTAGTGCCCGGGGTTTATTCCTGGTGGGGTTTGGGGATCATAGAGGTATTGGGGCTCTAATTCAGGTTGGCCATTTGTAAGGCAAGCACCTTTCTTTCTGTACTCTCTCTGACCCCCAAGACAGACCTCTTTTTTAGTCCTGGGTTAAAAAAAAGACATTCTGAATTTAGTAATATACACCAAGGTCAGTATCTCTGGGAGAACAGAGAGTAACAAAGAAAAAGAACATTCATACTAACTAGCTTTTCTTTTTGTTTTTGGGCCATATCCAGAGGTTCCTTGGCTCAGTGCTCAGGAACCACTCTTGGTGGTGCTCGGGGAAACATATGGGATGCTGTACTATCCTTTTGGTCCTTTTTTTCGGTTTTGTTTTTGGGGCCACATCTGACTGCTTAGGGATCTCGTAGTGGGCTTGAGGGACCTTACAGGGTTCCAGGGATTAAGCCCAAGTTGGCCACATGCAAGGCAAATGCCTTACTTGCTGTACTGTCACTCCAGCCTTATATATCATACTTGGCATTTATCTATTTTTACTGCATCCTTTTTTCTGTCATCACCCTTTTATTAAAACAAATCTTGTTTTCTCTATTTTCAGTATATTGGGGAATGTGCGTCTGTTCTCCCCCAACCCTTTTTTCCCCCTTGGTTTTATTTTATGTAAGTTTTCAGTGGGGGGCTATTTACTGTCTTTTGATCAGTGTTTGGGGCTTGTTCCCAGCATTGCTTAGAGGTACCATCTGGGGCTACCATGTGGTGGACCCCTGGGCCCAAGGTGCTTGGTTCACCAGGGCCTGTGTTTCATGGCGGGGGAAGCATGTGATGCTCTGCATCAAACTTTGGCCTCTGCCATGTAGGGCATTTGCTTCTAATCCTAGAATGCTTTTATACCAATAATGGGAGCTTGGAGCGATGGTATAGTGGGTAGGGCTTTTGCTTTACCTGGAGCCCTCTTTGGCATCCCATATGGTTACCCAAGCACCACTAGGAACAATTTGAGTGCAGAACCAGGAGTAACGGCTAAGTATCGTTGGGTATGACCCCAAAAGCAAATAAATAAACTATAATATCAACAATGAATTGGGGTGAAGGGGAATGAATGGGTTTTAGTATTTCCTTATTATTTAACAGCAAAACTTTGGACCATTTTTTCCATATATGAAACAGGTATCTTGTTGAAATTTTTATTGGTTGGGATCCTTAAGGAAGAGTTTGAAAGGTTCCATATCCAACTAGTACATAATATCTGCAACTATTCTCTTGTCTGCTAAATTTTCTGGATCAACTTGCAAAGCCATCATTTTTTATTTCTTATTTTTTTTATAGTTACAAAGCTTTCTTGTTTGAATTTCGGTCATAACAATGATCAAATACCATTCCTCCACTAGTGCACATTTTTCACCACCAAAATCCCCAGTATCTTCTGCATCTGAACCCTTTCCTGCCTGTGTGGCAGACAATTTTCACAATACTCTCTACATTACATTCAATATTTTGGCGCCAGTCCCACTATTTGGAATTTTCCCACCACCACTCAAAATCTGCTGGAAAGGCAATGCTAGACAATTTGTTTTGTATTGCTTGTTATGAATAGCATATAATGTCCCGCGGCTGTGTGCTCCTGGAATTCTGAAATTTTAATAATTAGGGTCAGGAGACTGTAGTGAGCTGCTTGGTTCCGAGATTCATTTGTGTGTCTCTGGAACATGGCTGTTTAGGAGCTTAATAAGTAGCCGAGGGCAGTTCATGGGCGTCATCTCAGAGTCCCATCAATGCCATCATTTGAGTAGTGTTTCAGTAGCATATCTTCTTGGAAAGAATTACTTTGAATTTCTAGCAAGTGCTTAAAATATGGGCAATGTTTTAAATATTGTTTATAAATTCTAATCATTCTTCTTGTAATCATTCTGTGCATCAGTCTAACTCATTGAGTCAGATACTTCTTTGGGGGGACGTTTGGGTTGTACCCTAGGTAGTGGTACCTAGGTTTTTGGGAATGAACTGGGTTCAGTCATACTACACGACAAGCAGCTGGTAACCCCGCTTGTACTATTTCAGTAGTCCCAGTGAAATGTTACTTTAATTGCATTGGACCAGAAATTGAATGAAAGGAATTTTGTAAGATTTTGTTTTATGTTTGTATTCTTCTGAAGATTCAGAAAACGATAAAGAAAACAGCACGTCGGGAGCAGCTTATGCGAGAAGAAGCCGAACAGAAGCGTTTAAAAACTGTACTTGAGTTGCAGTATGTTCTGGACAAATTAGGAGATGACGAAGTGCGAACTGACCTGAAACAAGGCTTGAATGGAGTGCCAATATTGTCCGAAGAGGAATTGTCAATGTTAGATGAATTCTACAAATTAGCAGATCCTGAACGGGACATGAGTTTGAGGTACAGTGAGTTGTATTTGGTAATAGAAAGTTGTTTGGGGGCCATAGCTGGCTCTGCTTAGGGCTTTCTCCTAGCTCCGAGCTCAGGGATCACTCCCCATGGAGCTTGGGGGGGCCATGTATGGTAACAGATTTGACCCGTTACCTGTTAAGACATATGTTAAACATGCAAGGTAAGTGTGTCTTACCCACTTATTGTCTTGTGTCTCCAGTCCCAGTAATAGAGACATCTAACTTGGATTAAGTTGGCAACTGAAAGGTGGTAATCTGTTGTTTATTTTGTAAGGTTGAGCGAACAGTATGAGCATGCCTCCATTCACCTGTGGGACTTGCTGGAAGGGAAGGAAAAGTCTGTATGTGGAACAACTTGTGAGTATCACTGATGATTTTGGTTTCGTAACCTGAGAATATTTTCAGACATTGTTTTCAAATAATGAAATTTAGAATTACGTAAGATTTACTGTTTGATTTTTAGGTTTATTTATTGTATTTTGGGGGGCCTGCTCCTGGCTCCGCTCAGGGTCTATATGTGGTGCCAGTTGAACCAGATTTATGACTGCACCTTCATTCATACAAGGCAAGCACCTTAATCTAAGGTGCTCTTTTAAGCTCTTTTCTAAATACAAGTATTCTGCTTTGGGTCACAGCTGGAAGTACTTAGGGACTTTTCCTGACTTTGCTCAGGAATGACTTTTGGAGGTGCTCAGGGGACCATAGGTAGTGCTGAATCAGGGTTGTAACTGAGCCACATGCAGAAAGAACCTTGACTTTGTATTTATTATAATTTTTTTTAAATGAAAATTTGGGTAGTTTGGGGTCAGAGCAGTAGTATAGTGGAGAGGGCACTCAACCTTGCATGCGACCTGAGTTTGATCTCCATCATCCTTTATGGTTCCCAGAGCACTACTGGATGTGGCCAAAAAACGGGAAAACATTGGGTGATTACTTCAAACAAAAACAAACACCTTTTTTCCCTTGTTCATTGATTTGCTCGAGCGGGCCCAGTAATGTCTCCATTTTGAGACTTGTTACTGTGTTTGGCATATTGAATACGTCACAGGTAGCTTGCTGGGCGAGATACTCTCTCGTATCTCTATATTCTCGGTAGCTTGCTGGGCTCTCAGAGAGGGGCAGAGGAATCGAACCCGGCTTGGCCGGGCTGGCTGCGCACAAGGCAAATGCCCTACCGCTGTGCTATCGCTGTGGAAAATTAATTGTGTATTGGATTGAGCCAGTGGCTTCCACACACAGAGCATGTGGTTCAGCTCTTGGAGTTACCTTTCCCAGCCCTCTTTTCCTTCTTTTTTTGTAATTTTTTTTTTGCATATTCGTGCATATGTGTGGGAAAGTTCCTATGTCTAATTCAGTATGCCAGCCACAAATCACCAGAAATTTGTATCAAAGGGTCCTAATATGATTTTGTATCTAACATAAAATGTGCTTAAAGTGAACATCAAGTTGCCTTTTCCTGAGTTTTTGATATTAGAGGCTGTTTCTTCCTCGTAGTTTTAGTCTTTATCATTGCCCTGGTCTTTAGGTTCTTTTGGGTCACAGTCACTTTTTCTGTACCTGAAGTTGTCCTGATTTATTCAGGTGTGGAATGGGGTTTGGGCCTGATAAAAGCTTATTCCTAGCTCTGTGCTCGGGGATCACCCATGGCGGTATGTAGGAGTCTGTAAGTAGTAAAGGAGATTGAATGGTAATCTGCCTTGACCAGGTGCCGTCTCTGGTCCAAGAGCCACTGTTCATGTTCTGTGTTTGTATTTTTACTTTACTACATTTTTGACCTTTTAAAGTACTGTCACAAATGTGCACTGAATTGATCATTCAAAGTTTGGTGGGGAAATAAGTTACACATGCATGAACTATTCTTTATTCTTATCCTGGAAAATTAGTTTTAGTCTCAATGTTTTTCACAAGCATTGTTGAATAATAAGAATTAGACATTTAATCTTGTAGTGCTGTTTTTGTTTGATTTTGGATCACACCTGGCGGTGTTCAGGGATTATCCTGGTGGGGCTCTGGGGACCATTAACGGGGTGCTGGGATCAAACCTGGGTGTACATGCTGCATGCACGGGAAGAGCCCTATTTTGTACTTTTGCTCTGCTTATAATCTTGTAGCTTGGCTTGATGTTGCTTTTCTATCTAATCTTGTTCCCATTCTAAGAAATGAAACATTTTTATTTAGTTGTGAAATTGACAAATGTACTTCAAATTGTGTTTCTATGTAAATTTGATTTTCTTGAAAATAAAGTCTGTCATAAACCGATTAAAAATTTTTTTGTTTTATTGGGTCACACTTGATGCTCACACTCTTTGCTCTGTAGTTAGATATCACTCCTAGTGGGACTAATAAAGGGGGACTGATTATGTGTTATGCTGGAGATAGAACCTGGGTCAGCAGCAGGCAAGGCCTTACCTGCTGTACAACCTTTACGGTACTTTATGTTAATTTTATCTTTTGATATTTGATATGATTCTGGAAGTTTTATTTTTCTGTGTAGTAGTCTTACTAGGGAAGACATGACACCGCCCCTCCCCCCCCCCACACACACTGTACCTCTTAAATACAGATGGAAAAAATTTGAGATTCTTGATAACATTGTGCCTCTGGCCACCTATATTCTTGTGTTCCAATTTCTGACAGTTTTATTTGAATTTTCTACTTATCTTCATTGATTACTTTTCTTAGACCATCCCCATTCTACTTTGTCTTCTTTCTCCCTGTTTTGATTTGGGGCCACACCCAGTGATTACTCCTGGCCTTGTAATCAGGCATCATTTCTGGCAGGCTGTGGGAGGAGCATATGGGGTGCTTGGAGTCAACCCAGATTGACCACATGCAAATCAATTCCCCTATTACGTTGGTTGTGCTATGTCTCCGGCCCTTTTTCTTTGAAAATTGTTTAATGATTTTATTTTGCTTATGTTGTATATGCAGTGCTTTTTTTGTTTTGGTTTTGGGCCTTATCCAGTGGCGTTCAGGACTTATTCCTGGCCCTTTACTCAATAATTACTCTTTTTGGGCTCAAGGGACCGACCGTATGTGGTATCGGGACCTTATGATACCTGGGGATAGAATACAAGTTGGCAATGTGCAAGGTAAGCGCCCTACCTACTGCACTGTTGCTCTGGCCCAATATTGTATATATACATTTGAACTTATCTTCGACTTACTACCCTTCACTTACTGACTCCCCATTTTTTCCCAGTTTTTCCCACCAGTTTCAAAATTTAAAATATTCAGCTATAAGGCATACATACTTTCTTTTGTTTTTGGCTCATACCCAGTGGTGCTCAGGATTTATTTCAAGCTCTGCACTCAGGAATCACTACTGGCAGTCTTGGGACCATATGGGATGATGCGATCAAACCTGGGTCAGCCACATGCAAGGAAAGCATCCTGCCTCTCCTGCACTATATTTCTGGCTACAGGTGCCTACTTTTAGTGCATACTTTTGATTATTTAAAGTTTCGCCCCTTATTAAGACTTTGTATCTTGAAACCTTTCTCTCACTTTATTTTCCAAATCTAAGTTTTTGCAGCATTTAAGTGAGTAAAGTCTTCTGTCTCTTCCTGACTAGGTTCAAACTATTGTACATTTGTCTCTCTCTCTGTACACACACCTGTGTTCTGGATGCAAGGCAAGAAAGGGACATGCATTAGTCACATCAACTCTCGTTCTTAAATTTTTAATAATTGAATCACCATAAGATACACAATTACAAAGCTGTTCATGGTTAGGTTTCAGTCATTCAGTCAAACACCTTTCCCCTTACCAATGTAAATTAACCACAACCAATATCCCTCCTGCCAACCCCTTCCCCCCCCATACATATGCGCGCGCGCGCACACACACACACACACACAGCTTACCTCTATGGCAGGCATTTTTTCTTTCCTTTTGGGCATTATGGTTTGCAGTACAGATACTTTGTCATGGTGTCCCTTCTCTTGCATATCTGGGTCTTTTCACGCGTATAAATATTATTTTATGGATATTAATGACCATTTATTTTAAGTTGGACAGCAGGAAGCTATGAGAGCCTGTTTTTCCACTTGTAGTCTTAATACCTAGCATGTATTTGAAAAACTTGAGTGAATAAATGTTACTTGTAAGCTTGGGAGGGACTAATTTACTTAACAGGTAAAGTTTGATAGATTATTTTCCTTCCTTAGTTTTATAATTTCTGTTCTTAGGATTTCATATTATGTGTCTTAGTAACTTGATGAGGTTTTTCTTATCACATAGTTATGTAGAATTTTGAATCTTTTAAGTCAGGCATCCTTAGATGGCCTAACACTGTTCATTCATACTTATTTTTAAGACAAAGCTCTAAAGGAAATTGTTGAGCGTGTGTTCCAGTCAAACTACTTTGACAGCACCCACAACCACCAGAACGGATTGTGTGAGGAAGAGGAGGCAGCCTCAGCACCTACTGTTGAAGACCAGGTAGCTGAAACTGGTGAGTGCCTATGTGGGTGTAAGCTTTAGGTGGTTTTCCTTGTTTCATTTTGCTGTATTGGGGATTGAATTCTTCCAGGTCCTCATAGGCATGTGTTTCAATGCTTGAGCCATCTTCCTGGTTTAATTTCTTGAAGTTCCTTTTTCCCCCTTTCTGGATATATATATTTCAGTTTGATTAATATTTGGGGGTGGGGTGGGTAGGATCATGGTGATGATTAAAATCCAAGACCACCAAGTCACTTTGTGCATGCCACTAAGCCAAATTTCTGTTCCTGGAGAGATCTGGTAGTTTTTGGGGATACTGGTTATTTTTTAAAGCTTTCGGTTTTGGGCCACATCTGGCTATGCTCAGGGGTTACTTCTGGCTCTGCACTCAGGAATTACTCCTGGCAGTGCTCAGGACCTTACCGGATGCTGGGCATCAAACCCAGTTAGGCTTCGTGTAGGGCAAATCCCTGACCCGCTGTGATATTTCTCTAGCTTGGGTTACTGTGTTTTTTAAAAGATACTAAGCATGTTAAGATACAAGCAGAAAAGCTGATTAGGAATTACTTCCAGAAGTATTGTCAGTCATTGATCTTCCTAATTTTTCTTTTTCTGGTTTTTGGCTCAGCTGCTGCTCATGTGCAAGGTGCTCATGTGCCAGGAATTGAACCTGGTCCTCCTGTTGCAAAGCTTAACAGAGCATAACCTGAGAAGTTCCTTTCTGGCCTCTAGTTTACTGGTCTTGATCACAGAGATTGGCTTTTTTGTTTGGGGGCTGCACTCAGTGGTGCTCCAGGCTTACTACTATTAGCTCTGTGTTTAGGGATCTCTGGCAGACTTGTGGGACCATATGGGATGCAGGGGATTGAATTTGGGTCAGCCATATGCAAAGCTAATGCCCTCCTCATTGTACTATCACTCCAGCCCCAGAAACTATTTGATGCAGTATTGCTGGGCTAGAGTAGTTTAGGATGGAGAATTGGTGGGGACAGTGGACTCGCGGGGTGGTTGTCTGTGGTCCTGGGTGCCACTTTTGATGATACTTGGCTACCAGGCCAGCAGTTTATTTCTAGAGTTTGTTAATTAAGTACGGATCTTGAAGCCAGTGGTGCTCAGTACACTGTATGGTGCTAGGTATTGAATTGATCGAAGATTTATGAATTTGTATGTTGATAAAGGCAGGCAGATACTGTAACGCCTTTTAAAAAGAATTTTAACTTACATGTTCAGATTGCTGTTTACTATGACAGCAGTGTTAGGAACTGAACGTTGTGTTATACTTGATTATTTTTTAATTTATATTCTGATAATCACCTCATAATTATGAATTATAAACCCGTCAGTGGCAAGTTAGCACATAGTACAAAACTAATAAACACTATCAGTACTGAATGATTAGAAGTATGCTGATGAAAGTTTTTGTTTTGCTGTGGTTAAAAGTATGAACTTCAAGAATCAGATAGCCTGGGTTAAAATTTTGGCCTGTTTTTTCTTTTGGGTTTTCTTGTGGTTTGGGCTACACTCTAGTGCTGGAAACTCTTCCTGTCTCTTTGCACTGGAGTGCTTATGGGACCATACATGGTGTCAGGGATCAATTTGGCAGTGTTACCTGCTAGAAAAGCACCTTAGCTCCTGTGCTCAAGCTCCTGTGCTCACTCTGGTCCTGGTGTACTTTTTGACTCTGAAATTCTGGGCAAGTTATTAAACTTTCTGTACCTCAGATTCTCCTTTTAGAAGTAATAGATACGAGGTATGTGTATATATATCTATATAATACATATATACGTATATATGTATGGTGCCTGACACATATCATGTGTTGAGGTTGAAATGCGAGAGAAAAAAATTACACATTGAAAGAATTTCTGATTATAGATTTGTAAAGTACTCACCCTGTCCCCCTTTGTTATTTTTATTGAGTTGATTTTAAATGGGGGAGTATGATTCTTTTGGGAGGGCTGCATCAAACTTGGATCTTCAGCATGTGTGCTTCACCCCTTTTAATGGTTTCTTTTCATGGGCTCCACACCATGAAATGGTTATTTCATTCATGCTTGCTATAAAAGCTGTTTCTAAGAAGATTTAACATAGCTATTTACTGGTGTTTTATATTGTCCTGAAGAAATGTTGAGGGTAATGTCTCATTAGTCCTCCCCCCTTTCAAGTATCTGGGATTAAACCCAGGTCTCCTGGATTTAAGATGCGCCACATTCCACTGAGCCACGTTCCTGACCCTACTAATAATGGAATAAACATGAAATGTTTCCAAGTATATTGTAAGAATGATAAAATGTAGACATTTAACTAATAACTAGACAAATCAGACAGTATCGGTTTACTTGGAGTTTAAACTGTTAATGTAAGATTTCTTACATTTCTTGTGTCTTTTAAACTCTTAGAACCTGAACCAGCAGAAGAGTACCCTGAACAAAATGAAGTCGAATCAACAGAGGTAATTTTTTTTTTTTCAGTGCTAGCTCTCCTTTTTCCGTTGCCTTTCAAACAGAGGTCTGAAACTTTTCCTTTCCTTTGCAGTATGTAAATAGACAATTTATGGCAGAAACACAGTTTAGCAGTGGTGAAAAGGAGCCGGTAGATGAGTGGACAGTGGAAACCGTTGAGGTAAGAGTTCACTCTATTGCCAGGTTGATGGCTTGTTTTAAATTGTACTCCTTAAAAATCTGTGAATTGAATGCTAGGGGGTTTTTTTGCATTATTTACTAATATGTTTGTTATAGTTAACAGGTGATTATTGCTGGGTCTTTGGTAGAACCACTGCTTTGCTCAACATCAAAAAAATTAGTCACCTAACTTTGGGTTAATCTGTTTATTAAAATAGATAATTACATCTATTGATACCAGGTTGCTTCGGTAAAAGTCTGTGGTACCTTCCACATGGCTTGATGTCAGAAACACCTTCCAAATATGTTGGCATCTTAGGCTTTCACCCTAATATTTTCCTGGTTGTCAGGTTCTAGATTACTTTTATCAGCTTCCATTATACCTTATAAGTTAATTACTAGAAAAATTAGTTTATCAAAAGAATTTAATCTGTTTGGTTCCTTGTTTATCTAAAAGATAAAAATAAAGGCAGCTTGCTTTACTAATCTGGTTCTAGAATTCCTTTTCATTTTCTTTTGTACACTCAGCTTTTAGACATAGATGCAGGAAGTACTGGGGAGATCAAGGAATAGAGTGAGTCTGAGTTAGGTTGCCAACCCCCAGTGGCCCTCTGAGAACTGCTGCTCACATCAGGGCTGCCTTGGTGTGAGCAGCATTGTGTCATTGGGGCTGAGAACTGAACTGTCACGCTCACAGCGCTTCTGAGGATAGCTTCGAGTAATCTTGTACCCACAAAGTGAGGAGGCCCTTCATTTTATAAAGTTTAGAAAATGAATTTTAAACTGTGAACAGTATTTTCCTCTCCCCAGTATTACTCTTCGTATTACTCTCTCAGGATCATTTTCAAAGTTGTTGCAACTGTACCACTTCATGTAATAAGATAAACTGATGGGGGTCAGAGTGAAAGTACAGTGGTAGGGTGTTTAAAAAAGAGAGAAAACTACAAAAACCTGATGGATTAAGTAAAGAACTTGTTCTTTATGCTCCAAAAGTAAAGTTAGTAGGATCAAAATACTATTCATGAAACTCTTAAAAATTGTAGGATGGGGGGGGGATGAGGGGTGGGAGGGATCCTGGGATCAGTGGTGGTGGAGAATGGGCACTGGTGGAGGGATGGGTACTCGATCATTGTGTAATTGAAACCCAAGCACAAAAAGTTGTAAGTCTACAACTGTACCTCATGGTGTTTCACTAATAAAAATTTAAAAAATATTATAAGATAAGCATGTTTTTTGTGCTTTTTGGGTCATACCCAGCGATGCAAGGGGTTACTCCTGGATCATGCACTCAGGAATTACTCTTGGCGGTGCTTGGGGGGACCATATGGGATGCTGGGAATTGAACCTGGGTCGGCGGAGTACGAGGCAAATGCCCTACCTGCTGTGCTGTCTATTGCTCCAGCCACAGATAAGCATGTTTTTATGGAATTGATTACTATTAGGAGGGCTGGAAGGAAAAAAAAAACAATATAATGGTGATAGATGCAAGAGGAATGAAAATTTGCTGTACCCCAAGAAGACTGGATATATGCTTTGGGGAATATAGGTAATAAACACGTATTAGTGTGGATGTAGTGATATAAATGTGTCATCGGCATATTTGCATTAAACATTAGAAAATAATGGGTTGCATAGTAGGAAAAGGTTGGAAAGTAGCATACGCTATTTTGTAGTTAAGTACTTTCCTTATTTTATCTACTCACCAATGTGCCAGTTAGTGTTCTTTGTACCTGACAGGTGGGTCTTTAAAACAGTTATCCAGATGGGATTCTAGGAACTTTGTTTTATTTTGGAGCCACAGTTGGTGGTACTCAGGGTTTACTCTTGACTGTGTTTTTAGGTTTCATTCCTGGTGGGCTCACAGAATTATATGGAATGCCAGGATCAAAGTCAGGCATGGCTGAATGCCAGCCAAACTCTACCTTCTATGCTGTTTCACAGGCTCTTTTAGTGAAGCCTGATGTAAACCAGTTGATCTTTCTGGTAAGGTAGCTCAAAGGGATGGGATGTACAGGACTCTTAAGCGTTTCCTTAGTCATCTCCAGCACCAGTGTACCTAAGCAGCATTTCCTCACCAGACTTAAGCATCCAATAAGCCTAGCTGGGGAGGGCCTCAGCAGGTCAGGGAGTATTAGAAGAAATTATAACTAGAAGTTAGTAGAACTAGAATTGAAAGATAGTATAAGCTTTGGCAGAGAATGAAATGGTAGGAACTTTTGGAGTGTGATCAAAAATAGTATTTCTAGTGCTGAAAATTAATACATGTATAACAGTTAAAACATTATTTTAGAAAGTAAATGTTATGTGTTTACTGCATAGTGATTTTGTGGAATTGAATGCTAGATATGATAGCGTATTTTGGGGGAGGGTTAAACAGATTGTAGTGTGCAGGGTCAACTGTCAACTGAGCTTTGGTGGGGGGACGGACACCATTCACTGTTAGGGAATGAATTTAAGCCTCTCAAATGGCCCAGCCTCTTGAGAGCTACCCAGCCCATTGTTAACATCTTACAAGTAAGTGATCATAATTTCACGTCATAATTGTGGTCAGTTTGGGAAATTATGTAAACTAGCCTATTATGCTTACTGTATGGATGAGGTCAAATTGTGGTGATGATGATGAATGGTTCAGTACTTTGATACTATACATCCATCCATCTCTGTTCCATTTCCCCTTCTATTAGGTGGTAAATTCACTCCAGCAGCAACCTCAGGCTGCATCTCCTTCAGTACCAGAACCCCATTCTTTGACTCCCGTGGCTCAGGCAGATCCCCTTGTGAGAAGACAGCGAGTACAGGATCTTATGGCACAGATGCAAGGACCCTATAATTTCATCCAGGTTGGTGTGTTTAGTTTTTAAGCCCTATAAAAGATGTTTTAAGTGTTTACATTATTTAAATCTCATATCTTCATTGTAGGATTCCATGCTGGATTTTGAAAACCAGACACTTGATCCTGCAATTGTATCTGCACAGCCTATGAATCCAACACAAAATATGGACATGCCCCAGCTGGTTTGCCCTCCAGGTTAGTAATGGAGATATATGTGTGTGTGTGTGTATATATACATATATATACGCACACATATATATGTATATACACACACACATGTGTACTATAGGGCCACACATTCCAGTGTTCCCACACAGACTGCAGTTCCAGAGTTAAATCTGGGGTTTCTGCATGGAAATCTTATATTTTAGTAATTTGAGCGATCTCCAGGGCCCCAGTAATGTCATGTATGTATATCATATATATATGATCTCTGTGGAGTTTTTTGGGCCCCATCTGGCAGTGCTCAGGGGCTACTTCAGGCTCTGGTTCCCTTAGATCTCCAGGGATTGACTCAGTGTTGGCTACAGTAGAGTGTTGGTGAGTGTAGCTGCCCTCCATTGTTGGCCACATACCAGGCATGTGCTTTATGCCAGCACTATCTATCCCAGATGTGTATTAAAATATTTGTAGAAGTTTATTCTTCTATTTTAGTTTTGGGATTGTTAATTTTGGGGAAAAAAAAACTACTGCATGTAAATAAATAGAAAAGTACAGTGCAAGGACTAGAGACACAGTGATACAGTACAGAAGATAGGGAGTTTGCTTCTCAAGCAGCGGAACTGGGTTCAATCCCCAGCATCCCTTGTGTTCCCCTGACAACCTGAGCAATGCCAGAATTGATTGCTTAATGACAAGCTTGTAGTACCCCTTGGGCATTGTCAGGTGTGGGCCAGAAATTAAATTTTGCAAGATCGGAGTGATGATACAGAGGTAGGGTGCTTTGCTCTTGTGCATCCTGGGTTTGATCTCTGGAACCATTTATGGTCCCCAGTTCCCCCAGCAGTGATTCCCTGAATGCCACCTGGTGTAGCCAAAAAAAGAAAAGAAAAGAAAAGAAAAGAAAATGGATTATTAGTAAATGATGGGATGTGGGTGCTGTTTCTGCCCATATTCTCCCCTGTGCTTAGGGCCTGGCCATACTCTACTGTGCTTAGGGCTTACTCCTGATAGTATATGGTGCCGGGGATCAAGCTCTGGTCAGACAAAGGCTAGCACCTTATCAGCAGAACGCTTGCATTACTACTGGTACTGTCTCTCTGGCCTGTTCTTTTTGGGGGCTGGGGAAGCGAGTTGTCAGGGAGCATCCCAAGCCTTGCTCATGGAATCGTGGGTTTACACTGCTCGGGTCCACTAGTGCTGGGTCCCCCCAGGCCTACATCCTAAGGTTCTTGGGAACCATTTGGTACTGGAGATAAACTTGAGTCCCTTACACCAGGATTATGTTCTAGTTCTTTGTTTTGGAGCCTAGTGTTGTGGAGGGCTTACTCCTGACTCTGAGCCAAGTAGTCACTCTTGGCAAGCTTGGGAACCATATGTGGTGCTAGGGTATGGAGACTGGGTCAGCTGTGTACAGGGCAAACACTGCCTGTTGTACTATTTCTCTTGCTGTCTTTTTGAAAAATTTGACATTATATGAAAAGTTGATAATAAAATATGTATATCATGTATGGTTTTTTACTAACTGCATAATTTTGTGTTACGGTAGTCACGGCTTTAAATGGGTCTAGTTAAAAAAAATTGAGGCATTGTGACTTAAATTACTGTTAACCATTTCAGGCACACAGTGCTCAAAGTGTAAACCAACACCTACCACCCCTATCAGAATCCCTCTCCGTCAGTGTCACAGGGTTCCTAGCCCATCTCATTCTGTCCCCTTAGCAAACTCATTTTTAAAATAAAATTTAATTATGATTTGGAACATATGCTTAGACTGATACTGACTCTACGGGTTTTGTCTTTGTTTTGAGCCACACTCAGTGCTACTCTGGCTTACTTCTGCTTCTCCACTCAGGGATTACTCCTGGTCCAGATTGGGGGCCATTTGGAGTTCTGGGGATCGAACCTGGCTTGCAAGGCAAGCACCCTACCTGCTGTACTATCTCTAGCCCCTGACTCTTACAGTTTTGACTTAGTTAACTTCATCACTCAGCACCAGTGTTAAAGGGTGTCTGTTTTTTGGGTTCCACTGGCATTGAATTGTTAATATCTTCCTTAATACTTGGATTAACATCTTTGCAAAACAGAATGACAGCAATTGTAAGTTTATGAATGAATAATTACAACCCCTAAGCAAAACTATTTATATTCTATTTAATAGCTTTTAAATTATTTCCATGGAAGAGAAAATGTTCAGTTAGCCTTTAGAAATATACTTTGAATCACCAAATAAGAGTCTTTTAGAAGAAACTTAAATTTAGATAACACTGTCTTTGGGTCTGTTACAGTTCATTCTGAATCTAGACTTGCTCAATCCAATCAAGTTCCTGTACAGCCAGAAGCAACACAGGTAAGAATGATCTAGTTTTTCAGATCTCTCTCTTTTTTTAAACTGGGGGAGGATACACTTGGCAATGGCAATGTTGGGGGCATACTCCTGGCTGTCTGCTCAGAGATCACTCCTGATAAGGTTCAGAGATCACTCCTGATGGGATGCCTGAGATTGAAATCGGGTTGTTCAGGTGCAAAGCAAATATCCTAGCCCCTGTCGCGTTGCTCTGACCCAGCCTCAGACCTTTCGTGTGTGTATCTGGTGCTGGAGATCAATCCCAGGGCCTTAGGCATAAGACAGAACTGCTACTGCTGAGGCTTTTCGTGGCCCTTGTCAGGTGTGGCGATCTGATTTTAAATGAACTCTTGGGGTTCTTTGGCCTTTGGTTGTGAATCTCAGATTATTGATTTGTTATCAAAGTTCAATGTTTGTAGCAATAACTTGGCTTGACCCTGTTCAGGGATCACTCCTGGCAGGGTTTGGAGACGAAATAGAGTGAGTGCTCGGGATTGAAGCTGAGGTGGCTGCATCAAAAGCATTACCCTACTTGATATACGATCTTTCCATTTTATTTTTCTTTATATTTTTTTTTTTCAATTTTATTCCTATTTCTATTTCCTTAAGTTTTTTTGGGGGGGAGGCGTGGGAGGGGGACTGTACTATAGCTGGTAAGATGCTTCTGTAGCGTGCTGCTGACAAAGTTTGAACCCAGCATCTCATGTTCCCCCTAGCATAATGAGTAAGGTGTGGTCCGTACCCCCCAAAATTTTTTTATAAAAACACCCGTGTAAATTGGGAATAAACAATCCAAGGGTTCTTTAAATGAGATTCCTTTGAAAATTTTGAACAAGGCTATGTGGTTGAGGAGTTTTGGACAAATGTTTGAGTGGGGCATGTTGTGATACAGGAGGTAGACCTGAATTATGGTTTGATGGGCTTTTTCTTTTTTAAAACATGATTATAAGGAGTTTGTATTTTAACTGAGTTGGCTGCTCTGCATCACATCTATGGTGAAAAGAAATATGCTTGTATTGTGTTAGTACTCATGCTGAATAAGCTGAATTGTACAAAATTTAAACAACAGTCTTGGTCAGAATTGAGCTTGACATCTTCTGGCTCTTGAAAATGAAGAAACAGCAACAGGAAATTCATATCACTCCAGTAATTAGAGAGCCAGCAAGAGTGGTAGAAGGTCAGAAACATTTTTTTATACTAACTGCACCTTCTAACTTATACTTACAGGGGTCATAGTAAAGCATCCCAATGAGGGATAAAATAATTTCCTTATGCGATCCTTTTTTCGTTTGTTGCTTTTACTGTGTATCTTTATCTTTAGTTTTTGCCATTTAATTACATTTGTCTGTATTTGGGCTTATGTATTTTTTTAATCTTTTGGACTTTATCTGGTGGTGCTCAGGATCTTAACAATCTATGCTTGGTGTTTACTGCTGGTGCTGCGTGTTGTTTGTCCTTTGCTCTGTTTTTGTCTCTTACTGAAGGAAGTTTTGCTGGATTTTTGGGTTTGTTTTAGAGGATTAGATCAGTTTCTGTGTAGATTAATTCTAGTTTTGGCAAATTTTTGCTGTGAACCTGGGAGGAGGAGGCGAAACATAGCTTCTTTCTCAGCCATGCTGGCCCTTGTCCTTGTCCTCTTTTCCCTATTATCTTGATGGTTTTATTTTTTTTTGCAAAGTTTGGTTTATAATTACATTGTGTTACGTGGTCACTGCTGACAGGCTCGGGTTACCATATAGGATGTCAGGGATTGAATCTGTCAGCCATATGCAGGGCAAGCAAAGTAAACCTCTCCCCGCCTTCCCCCCACCCCATCCCTTGCACTGTCCTATCTCTTCAGTCCTGAAGGAAAATGTTTACAAATATCTGTCTCACTGAGTAGAATTTGAGTTGCTTTAATTTGATCTTTTTTCCCCTCCCTTGTATTGGGCCATAGCTGGTGGTTTACAAGGCCTTTTTCCCCCCCTGCTCTTTGCTCTGCAATCAAACCTGAGACTCCTACATACAAGCAAGCATGTGTTCTTAAGCCTTTGAACTATCTATATCCTCACCCAGGGCTATAATTTCTAAGTTTGGGTCACAATGTTGAATTTTCAAAGAAACAATTATAGGAGGGTTTGAACTGATTTAGGATTTACTTGAGTGTTAATACATGTATAGGCCCTTTCACAGATCTGTTTGTTTTCTACTCCTGTGTGTATTAAGATTCATAGTAGAGTTTTGATTTCTTCTATGTAGGTTCCTTTGGTTTCATCCACAAGTGAGGGATATACAGCATCTCAACCCTTGTACCAGCCTTCTCATGCTACAGAGCAACGACCACAGAAAGAACCAATTGACCAGATTCAGGCAAGTTTTGTTACCAAATCATATAAACTTGGTGGGGCATTTATTCATGAACTGGACGGAGAGAAATTCTGTTTACTTTACTGATTCTTGGACCTGATAAGTGCACATCGGTATTTTATTTCTGCAAGTAGTTGAATTTGCTAATAGAATCGATTAAGTTCTGTTGATCATTCAAGTGGCTCTTTTCACTTTGGTAGGCAACAATCTCTTTAAATTCAGACCAGACCACAGCATCCTCATCCCTTCCTGCCGCTTCTCAGCCTCAGGTGTTCCAGGCTGGAACAAGCAAACCTTTGCACAGCAGTGGAATCAATGTAAATGCAGCTCCATTCCAGTCCATGCAAACGGTAATCAAATTACTCTAAGTAAAATTTAGTACTTGATGTATTTTGTCATAATCCTGAGGTCTCAGCGGAGCAGGCGGAGACATTCCAAGCTATGTTCAGTGCTTACTCCTGGCAGGCCGGGGAGACTAAATGGGAATTGGACACAGGGTGGCCACTTTAATGCAAATGTTCTTTCTCTGTTTATAACAAAATGTCTAACTTGAACTTTGCAGTTAAGTCTTCTCCATGCCTTTTAGCTGAAGGATATATTTGACCATAAACTGATTTTCCCTATGTGCAGAAGTAAATTATATTCTTACGACTTACATGTCTTATTTTGTAATTGATAATCCAAAACAGTAGACAGACAAATGTCATCTAAATCATCACCTTGATATAATAGGTAATTTACCACATTTGCATATATCATGTACTGAAATATTTTAAATTTTAGGTTTTTCTGGTTCTTTAGTGAGCATCTGTAAATTGAATTTCTAAGAACATAATGTATATATTGTAGTTCATCTGATGCGGTTAAAACAGTTCATAGGAAAGCTCATAGGATTAATTAAGTGCGTAAAATTTGGGGGTTGGAGAGATCTTTGCCTGTAGAGGGCCCAGCTTCATCCTTTGCACCTCACGATGTTTTCCTAGACACCACCAGGACACTCCACCCATCATTCCCCAAATCACTTTGGGTTTTTTTTTTTTTTTTTTTTTTTGGCCATTTTGGGTCATACCCAGCCATGCTCAGGATTTACTCTTGACTCTGCCCTCAGGAACTACTCATGGTGCTAATGGAACTATATATCGGATGTTGGGGATAGAATCTGGAACAACTCTGTTCAAGGCTAACACCCAACCACTGTGCTATGTCTCCAGCCCCAGCACTCTTCTTGGCCATTCCTGCTGATGCTCAGGGGATATCTTTGCTCCCTACTTGGGAACTACTCCTGGCGGTGTTTGGGAACAGATGGGATGCTAAGGATTGAACCGGGGTGGCCTAGAGGAAGGCCTTCCCATGTACTATCTCTCCAGACTCCTCTCCCAAACACTGTTCTCTTCTCCCTCCCCCCACACCCCAGCATAAAGCCAATAGTCCCTAAACATGGCTGGTTATGGTCCTCACAAAAGGGAAAAATTTTAATTTTGTGTGTGCCAAGAGTCAAACTCAGAGCCTTATTCCTGAAAGGTGGTACTCTACCACTGAGCAATACTTTTAGCCCTAAAATGTTAATTTGAGTTAAATATAAAAAATTGAAAAAAAAGGTTTGAGACTGACTCAGGTGGAAGAGTACATGCCTTGTGTGGGTGATACCCTGGGTTTGATCCTTGGAACTGCGGCTTTTATTCAGAGTACCTATAGCAATAAGAAGAAAATTTGAAAATAATTTAACTCAAAGGTCATAAGGTAAATTAATTTTGGGAAGGGGTTTTGAGCCACACCTGGTATGCTCAGAGGAATGACTGTAATGCCAGGGATTAGAGTCATATCTCCTGCATTTGATGTTGTTTTTTTGTTTTGGGGCCACACCTGGCGGTGCTCAGAATTGCAGTAGGGGGTGGTGGTAGTGATGTGGGGCTTGGGGACCATATGTGGTACCAGGTATCAAATAGAGTCCTCTGGTGCAAGGCTAGACCCCTCTGTACTATCTCTCTGGCCCCTTAAAAAAATATTTTAAATGAAAAGTTCATTTTTCATTGCATGTCCAAGGCTGCTAATGGTCATTTTGATTTTTGTAATTCCTACTGAGACTTTGGAGATCATGTTGCTTGGGATACCTTATGGTGCCATGGGTCAAACCTCAAACCCCAGGCCTGAACTTGCAGCTCTTAGATTCAAAACATGTAACCGAATCCTTTGAATTAAAGTAAGTGCTAGATTACATATAAAGTACATGTGTATTTTTCCTCATGATGCAATATATCGAGGCTTATGTAATTAGGAATGATTGTAATAGTTGAGTTGGAGACGGTGTGGGACTTTTTAAATTTATGGTTGTGTTAAAACTTGGATTGTTGGGTCAGAGAGTCAAGATTCCATGCTGCAGGCTTGGGGTTTGATCCCTTGTTTTATCCCTTGTATTATCCCAAGCATTGACTTTGGGTATGATCTCAAAATCAAACAAAAAACAAAACAAACTTGCACTGCCATCTGCTATCATAAAAATAGGGGAATTGTCAAAAAAGGATGAGCCAGTTAATCATTTATTATTACTTTCAGGTGTTCAATATGAATGCACCAGTTCCTCCTGTTAATGAACCAGAAACTTTAAAACAGCAAAATCAGTACCAGGCTAGTTATAATCAGAGCTTTTCCAGTCAGCCCCATCAGGTAGAACAAACAGAGCTTCAGCAAGAACAGCTTCAAACAGGTAGGAAAACATGGAACACTTTATTAGCTAATTGATTTTCATTTGCTGTTGAACAGTGTCGTAATGTAGTTTAGATTTGAGTGGTGGTTTTAACGGTTTGTAGAAGTTGTAAAACTTAAAAGTTTCTTATTGATCATTCTGAGTTAGTTTATTATATGCAGCTTATTTGTAATTTTTGGAAATGTTAATACCCATTTTCCTTTGGTTACTGAGCTTTCATAATCCAGTTTTTACTATGATTTCAGTGAATTATAATCATTTTTTAAAATAATTATTTTATTGAATCCCCTGTGAGAGCATTACAAAGCTGTGCATGATTGCGTTTCATTCATACACGCATTCCTCCACCAGTGTAATTTCCCAATACCCAGTTCCCCCCACCGCCACCCTCTGCCTTCCTTCCTCTCTCCATTTCCCCTAACCCCTTCTCTCTTTCTCTTTTTAGGCATTATAGTTTGCAGTACAGATGCTGAAAGTTTTATCATGTATATCCCATTACCTACTTTCAATGCTCAGTTCTTGTCCAGAGTCCTGTAATGATGGACCCTCCTCTACCTTAACTACCCTCTATCAACCACATCCTTTGTGGTGATTCCCAACCATTGAGCAGTCCTCCTGGTCCTTTTTCCCTGGCCTTGGATATTAGTTTCTGGTTTTTATTTATATATATATGTATATATATATATATATATATATCCCACAAATAAATGCAGAGCCGTTTAATTGTGAAGTGATGTAAATCTGTTGGGATGGTCCACCAGCAGATAAGACTTTTGCTTGTCATTGTCTTAATCTCAACACTTCAGTCTATTCATTTTTTTCCCAACACTTCAGTCTATTCAACCATGGAATAAATATTAAGTTGAAGCAAAGTTCTTGTTTAGAAAAAGTCATAATTGGTGATACAGCTCTTATAGATTTTGTCTAGCAGGTTTTTCAGTCGTTACTGGAAAGCTCCCCCATCCCCTTTGTTAAAACCAAGAAGGCCATAATTTGGATAGGTAAATCATTTAGTATCATGATCTCTTTGCTTTGGGTCTGTGAGTATTTAATCCCTTGGTGTTTTATTTTATTTTAGTTATTCGGTCACATTCAGGTTATGCTGAGGTCTATTTCTGGCTCTGCACAAAAGAAATATTACAGCATATGGGATACCTGTGATTGACTGGGGTCTGGAGTGTACTTTCTCTCTAGCCCCTTAATCTCTCGGTGTGTTTAATTGGATTCCAACAATTAATCCCTGCTAAAATCAGAGGAATTAATTTTCAGGCTGGTTTTTAAATAACAGTGTTTCAGTTGTCCTTACTCATAGGCCTGGATCATTGTTATAGATTTTTTTAAAGTACTAGATTATTAGCACACTGTGATCAAAGGTTGAATTTAATTGAAAATTGAAAATGCTGAGTTTCTGAATGATGAAAGTGATATCTGTTACTACAACTCATTAGTAAAGTGATGCTTGTTAGCATTTTGCTGACATGCATATTACTTTACCATTACTTCAGATGATTGTGATGAAACTTAGTCAGGTAAATATCTCAGGGGCTGGAGCATATGCCTTGCATTTGCCGAGAACCTGGTTTCATTCCCTAGTATCATATGGTTCTCTGATCACAGCTTGGTGTACAGCCCTGATGGACCCTGAGCATTACTGGTTGTGGACTTAAAGCCCCACAGACCACTGGTGGTTACCCCTGTAGTAAAAGTTTTCCTTAGTTTTGCCCTTTATGCTAATTGATTTCAAACAGCATTGTTACGTTTCACTTGACTTTACTAATTGACTGAAGTACTTGAACTGGATATAATTTCTTGGTTTCATTGCAAAATAGTTATTTGTGAAAATTAACATGTTACAGTGTAAATTGGAAAAAACTTCACCTTCTTTTCTGTAATCCAGGCAACCATCATCTGTTACCTGGTCTTCTGTACTTTTTCTCGACTTATAAGTTTTGCTTACTGTGTTCTCAACTCAGTGTACTGTCACCAATATGTTCATAGAAAGTCTCCTTTTCAAAAAAATGTATTGATGTACCATATCGAATTTTAAAATTTTTTAAAAAATTTTTTGGTCACACCCAGCTAGCTCAGGGGTTACTTCTGGCTCAGAGCTCAGGAAGCAATGCCTGGCAGTGCTTGGGGGCAGTGCTTGGAAGCTGAGGACTGAACCTGTTTCGGCTGCATGCAAGACAAATACCCTGTACTATTGCTGTTCTATTGCTCCGGTCCTGATCCTGCTATTTTAAACCTCTTTATATTCCCATTCTAGCCATAAACACAGCAAGGCTTCTGTTCTCAGGCCTTTATGCATTCTTTATTGGAATCTTTTCCACTGTTGATTGCATAGCTCACTTTTTTCACTTTTGTCATGCACTCAAATACTGCGTCAAAGAATGATCTCCTTTCAGTACCCTGTCAATACAGTGCTTTGATTTTGCTGGCTTGTTCATCTTTTTTCCCCTTCTCACCACTTAATTATTTGGTACAGTATTTGATGTTTTTATTTACATTTTTTTCACTTTATTTTTCATTAAAACTTCAGAGGGCCAGAGTATGGTACAGTGGGTAGGGCAATTGTCTCGCACTCTGCTGACCTGAGTTCCTGCCCCAGCAGGTCATGATTTCCTGAGCACTGCCAGGTGTGGCCCCAAACCAAACAAAAACAGTAAAATTTCCATACTGGGGAGTAGGCATATGAGTTGGTAGTTGACATATTCTTGATCAAACTGCCTGCCATATTGAGGACACTTAGGTATCTGTTGAATCAATACCTTTTTTCTTTTGAATTACTATCTGTAATTAAAAACAACATGACTAAAGATCCTTTGCTGAGGGTTCTTTGCTCTTTTTTTTAATTAGCGTTTATGAATTAGTAGACACTCTAATTCTACAGTAGGAATTCTGGTATTTGAAAATAGAGATCACATTTTAATTTTTCTGCTATGAGTTTCTTGCAGTGATATATGACCAGGAGTAATAAAATTCTTAATGATTAAAAAGTGAGTTGAAAATTCAGTTTTATTTTCTACATGCAAATAAATGAATATTTAGATAGAAAATGTTACCTATACTCAATAATCTGTTGTGATAAAATGTAACACGTATTAAGTAATCATTCTGTGAATATTGTATTTGGTCCATTACATCAAAATAGTTCCTTCCCTTTGGAAATCTCCAGCTTTTCCATTGCAAAATAGTATCTAGTCTTGGGATATGGGCTTTTTCTTTGGTTCCCTCCCCACTTTATTTTCAAAGGATCTTACCTCCCAAAGATACTGTTAGCCTCCTAGAGTTTTGTTTTTGTATTTTAAACTCCTCTGAATTGGGGTAATAGAAAATAACTTTTATTGATATTTGAAAGTTGCTAGGTTCTCTGCTGTCCTTATAGTGGAAAATCGGGGATGCGTAATGTAAACTTTTCTTGAACTCTGTTTTCAGAATATGTAAAGAATAGAAAAATTAGAAATTCTTGAATCAGACACTATGAGAGCAAGTATAAGTTGATGAGCCTTTGCTGATTTAGCTTTGTAACTTGATTGGATATTTTACTCTGTAGTTCCTTAGCTGTGAAAAAGCTTGGTTTTTTTAATCATTAAGGGAACTTTTAAAGAAAAAGGAAACTAGTATAAAGTGGTTGTTTTCATTTTCTTTTTTTTTTCTTTTTGCCACACCATGATGGTCAGGGCTTATTTCTGGCTCTTGGCTAAGGATTGCTCTTGTGGCTTACTTCCTGCTCTTTGCTCATAGTGTTATAGGGTGGTGGGCAATCGAATCTGGCTTGACAGCACACAAGGCAAACCCTTGTACTCACTGCACCCACTGGCCCCAATGGCTTTTCATATAATGGAAACACAAATAATTACATGGTACAAAATGGTAATTATAAGACTATCTAAGATCTTTGAGTTGTGGGTCTCCTGCTAATAGGCAGATGGCCTCTTATATTTAATACCAAAGCCCTTTGAATCATTTGTGAAAGATTAAATTACATGCTTTTTACATAGATGTGATCTTTCAAAGATTCAGAATCATTGGAGAATCTTACTCTTCTTACCCAAATACATAGATAGGAGAGATCTAGGAACTTAATGTGCACTTTTCTCTCACTATTACCAGGAAAATTTACTTAAAGTTAAATTTTGAGGTGATTGTTTAGGTAGTTAAACAACTGAGACACATGGGAGAACAAATTGTTAAGAGGGTGTGAGTGAGTGTGTGTGTTGTGTGACTTTTTTCTCCCTTTTTATTTAGTGGTTGGCACCTACCACGGTTCTCAGGACCAGCCCCATCAAGTAACTGGTAACCACCAGCAACCTCCACAGCAAAACACTGGATTTCCGCGTAGCAGCCAGCCCTATTACAACAGTCGTGGTGTGTCTCGTGGAGGCTCTCGTGGTGCTAGAGGCTTGATGAATGGATACAGAGGCCCTACCAATGGATTCAGAGGTACAAAAGCAAGAAAGGAAATGATTTTTCCTAATGTGTAAATGATAGAATTGTGTTACGTGGTTTGGGGTAAAGATTAAAAACCTTTTTGGATTATTCCTTTTCTGAAAAATTCACATTTTTCAGTTTGTTTTAAATGAGTTATTCAGACTAAAACTGAGTTTTATGTTTCATATTCATACCTCCTACTGTTAGGTACTAGATAATTGCTCTCTTTCCATTATCAGAATTTATAGATAGTGTTGAGGTGATACATATGCATGGATGGGTAAAGATACTGTGACCTACAATCCATAGACTTGGATTGGGGCATGGGATTAGATTGAACAGCTTGGCTTCAGGAGAGAGTGCAAGTGGACTAATTCTGACGTTGGTGCAGACACTGCATTGAGCATGCAAATTTGTTATGTTGGCATTTAATAATACGTACCCATTCAATAGCGATAGCACAGCGGTAGGGCGTTTGCCTTGCACGCAGCCAACATGGCCGACCCGAGTTCGATTCCTCCGCCCCTCTCGGAGAGCCCGGCAAGCTACTGAGAGTATCTCGCCCCTCATGGCAGAGCCTGGCAAGCTACCCATGACGTATTCGATATGCCAAACAGTAACAAGAAGTCTTGTGATGGAGACGTTACTGGGCCCGCTCGAGCAAATCGATGAACAACGGGGAGGACTGTGACCGTGACCGTGACCCATTCAATATAATCTTTATGGTTTGGTTTTTGGGCCACAGCTGCTTAAGTTATATTGCTAGATGCTCTGGGGAGCAGAGTGGACTCTTGACTACAGCACACAGTAGTAGCTGCCGTTTCTGTCTCTTCTTCACCACAAAAAAGGGGGAAAGGAGAGTAACTAATTTGGTTTAACTTTAATTCCTCACTTGGTAAATAGTAAAGAGGTAAAAATTCCTTCAGGAGATAAATTGTTTTCTTGTCTTAAATTTTAGGTGGATATGATGGTTATCGCCCTTCATTCTCTAACACTCCAAACAGTGGTTATACACAGTCTCAGTTCAGCGCTCCCCGGGACTACTCTGGCTATCAGAGGGTAGGTGAAGTCATCTTAAAATATGAATGTTGCTCTAAACACCCAATGAAAATGAAAGATGTAGTTGTTTCTTGGAGTTAAGGAGTGCAGTAATTTGGGACTAATTTTGTACCTTGGTGCAGACACTGCATTGAGCAGTTAAAGTTGTTACGTTATCTTTTAATAATAGGTACTCATTCAATATAGTCTTTATGGTTTGGTTTTTGGGTCACACCTGGCAGTGCTTAGGGAATACTACTGGCTCTACTCAGGATTCCTAGCAGGACTCTGGGGACCCATATGGAATAGAACCTGCGTTGGTCATAAGGAAGGCAAGTACCTTTACCGCTGTACTGCCTCACTAGCCAGTCATTCAATAGTCTTAAAATTTTTTGTTTGTTTTTTTTTTTGGATCACACCCGGCAATGCACAGGGGTTATTACTCCCGACTCTGCACTCAGGGATTACCCCTGGTAAATGCCCTACCCGCTGTACTATTGCTCCAGCCCCCTAAAAATGTATTTTTAAGAGCATTGAAATTATAGTTCACTTGAAATATTATTGCCAGTAACTAAAAGTTGTAGGAAAACAGTTGTGGTGTATTGAACTGTTCTAAAGAATAGAAAGAACTTTATTTATAATTTGGAGCCTGGAAAGATAATAAAGAATAAAGGCATCATGCAGGCAGCTGATCTTAATTTGATTCCTCTGGCACTGCAGGGTGTGGCCTAGGTAATCCGTGGCACCACAGGGCCCAAACTTGGATTCCAGGATTGAAGTCTACCAGCCTGCTGGACTGAGAATTGGTGGGAGAGTTCTCTGGGCCCTCTCAGCACCGTTTGGGAGCCCCAGTCCCCACTCTCAAATACCCTTATTCTATAAAGGCTAGGCTGTAATAGTGTAGACAGGTGGAGGTAAGCATTTTTCAAAAAATCGTTTTCATCATTACTAACTAGCTTGTCTTTTAGGATGGATATCAGCAGAATTTCAAGCGAGGCTCTGGGCAGAGTGGACCACGGGGAGCCCCACGAGGTAATATTTTGTGGTGGTGATCCTAGCTCCTAAGTGGAGCTTCTGTTCTGGCCTTGGAAGAACTGTTCATAGTCTGCATGTAGGTTACATGTTAGGAATACATTCATCATTTCCAGACTTGTTGCTAGGGATTAAATGAAATGCTGTTTCTAAAATTTATCTTGAACCCAAATTTAATTTTTGAATGACTCTCCCTGTTAACATAAACTGTCTTGAACTAGAACATTTCTCCTCAGAAAAAGTGCTTTTCCAACTGCAAATTATTTTTCAGGTCCTAAAACCTGCTAAATGTTTTTAGGAAATAAACACTGAAACATTTTTGTAAAACATTTTTGGAATGAGATTGCACATTTATATAAATTTATAATTACTCTTTCATTTTTGAAACCTGCATATTATATTTTAGGACCAGCTACCCTTTAATGGCCAGATAAACTATAGTTAAATTTAGAGAACCATTTAGAACGACTAAGAGTAAATAAAATTTCAATGTTTTTTCATCAGTATGAGTGAAAATTATTCTTTACTTTCAAACAAAACCTCTTCCTAATTTATTGAACTGTACTTAAAAACAATAGACTTTAAGAAGTTTTTGTTCTATTAATGTGGGAAATTTACTTCCTGCTTGAGTAAAGTCAACTATAAAATGATTTAAATGTGACATGATCTGAAGTTCTAAATGGTTCTCTGAGGGAAACTAAATTGACTAGGTTTCCTCTAATGATGGCCATACTTATGTGTAAAATGTATATTAAGAAGGGATTTTCAGTACAATGCTAGTAGAAACTGGCCAGTCCTCTCACCCATCAAAAAATCCTGCATTTAGAAAAAAATTAATGGATCATTTGGGAATTACTGATTTGAAATTTGAGGATATTTGCATGTGAATACAGGTTATGTTCTTTTTCCTCACCTTGTAGCATATTCTATGAAAGTTGAGTTGACTGGTAGCTCACAATATGTTTTAACAGCATGTAAAAAGTTACTTTATCTGTTACAAGTCATTATACAATCTTGAATGTTATGTAGCTTCTTTTTAACAGTTTAGGTAAATAAGGTCTGTTTTTCATTCTGGTGCTTTTAATTTTGATAGTATGATGTTACTACTGAAATGTAAGCTAGAGTGTACGCTAGAATGTAAGCTCCATGAGAGCAGGTACCTTGTCTGTCTTTATTGCTGTATCTATTTCCAACGCCTGATGACAGTGCCTGGCACATAGTAGGCACTCAATAAATACTTGTTGAATGAATGAGTACTGGTGGAATACTCCATTAGTTCTACTCTCCTTGTAGCTAGAGACCATGAGCAAATTTGCGCATGACAACTTCAAGACAGGTGAAACTTGAACACTGAAGAATTGACTTCTTAATCCTAATAATGTCACAGCTGCCCACATGCTTCTTGACTTCAGGTGAAAATCTGCTTGAAGGCAAAACAAATAATATTGAAAGAAAAACCAAATGCCATTTTTGTCTTCTAGGTCGTGGAGGGCCCCCAAGACCCAACAGAGGGATGCCGCAAATGAACACTCAGCAAGTGAATTAATGTGATTCACAGGATTATGTTTAAACGCCAAAAACACACTGGCCAGTGTATCATAATATGTTACCAGAAGAGTTATTATCTATTTGTTCTCCCTTTCAGGAAACTTATTGTAAAGGGACTGTTTTCATCCCATAAAGACAGGACTACAATTGTCAGCTTTATATTACCTGGATATGGAAGGAAACTATTTTTACTCTGCATGTTCTGTCCTAAGCGTCATCTTGAGCCTTGCACATGATACTCAGATTCCTCACCCTTGCTTAGGAGTAAAAAAGGCATAATATACTTTATGGGGTGATAATATCTCCATAGTTAAATGAAGTGGCTTTGGAAAGAAAGACTTGACTTTTGACATTGGCTAAAATCTAGAAATCAGCCCTCGAGTTATTCACTGGTAATAGATAAAACTAAAATAATTCCCTTCAGAGGATGATGGAAGAAGTGAAATGTGGCTGCCAGACAACTGCATTTCCTAACTGTTTCAGTTAGATTGGAGCACTGAACATGTAGGTGCATACCAAATTATGCATGGACCCTTGATCACATGAATAAGACTGGCTGTCAGCTTTGACACCATAGTTATGGCCAAAAGATTGTGGTTAAAACACAATGTAAATTGCTTTTTAACAGCTGATACTGGATAACACAAAGCCAAAATGCAAAATTAGGCTTTGATTGGCACTTTTTGAAAAATATGCAACAAATAGGGATGTAATCTGGATGGCCGCTTCTGTACTTAATGTGAAATACTCTTTTTTTTTTTGAACACGTAACCTTTTTTTTTTGACAATGGCTTTGGTAAGGATTGGTAGTATATATCATTCCTTATAACATACATTGTCTGTCACTAATCCTTGAATCTTGCTATACTGTCACATAAATTGGTACAGGTACTGATGGAAATTTCTTAATGGATAAATAACACTTGGTCACATGTTTATTCTGCAGCCTAAAGGTTCTTAAAAGAAAGATTCCAGATACCTGCTGCTACTACCCCTTTAAATTGCTATCTTTTGAAAAGCACCAGTATGTGTTTTAGGTTGATTTCCCTGTTTTAGGGAAATGACAGTAGTTTCGGTTCTAATGGTATAAGCAAAAGAAATAAAACATGTTTATAAAAGTTGTATCTTGAAATACTGGTGTTCAACAGCTAGCAGCTTATGTGGTTCATCCCATGCATTATTCGTGTTTCAAATTTCTTCGGTATCTCCAACAGCTACTTGCACTTACTTTTTGTCTAATCTAATTGAATTACTTTTTTTCCTTTGAGGCTTATTCATAATCAAAATGGTGATTCCTTCCCTTACATGGATAGGGAGAACCGCAAAATTGGATGGGAACCACTAAACTGAGTTTGGTGATTTAAGTGCTGTGTAGAGATTTGAGCTAGCAGTTTGAGCACTAGATCTGTGTGCCTATGATCTTAATACTGCTGTCATAACCCATGTCAACTACATGAGGAATCACCCCTGTAAAGCAAAGGCTTTTAAGTTAATGGTATTTTCTCAGCAGAGACTGAATTTTGTTTTCAGCCTCCAGCTAAGGAATTTTTGCAGTAGGTGTTCAGCTACTTAAACTATTCTCAAACATTCATCATGAGACAACTGGATTTTTTCCTGTTTTGTAATCTAAAATGGATAGGCTGTTGAACATTCCATATTCAAGTTTTGTAGGGTGGTGGGGAGGGGGTGGATCTTCAATGTTTATATTAAAATAAAATAAGTTCTTGACTTCTCATGTGTGGTTGTGGTACATCATATTGGAAGGGTTATCTCTTTTGCAAATGAGCATTTATTTTGCTAGCACCTCCCCTTGTGTGCTTTAAATGACATCTGCCTTGGGTGTACCACAACCATATGCTGTATTTTAGGGAAGATAGTCAAAATATTCCTGGTTTACTGGTTACTCCTTAGACATGTATTATATAAAACTAAATTTGCTACCTGTATAGACAATGTCATGACTTTTAAAATCGAAAATGAAGTTCTTTACAGAACTATCGCTATGAGTCAGTTCAGAGATGGACGGGGCAAAGAAATGATTTCTAGGTTTCAAACTATGCATTAGTTGCAGATGTTGTGAATGTATCATTACTTTTCTTCTATATATGTTTTTTAAAAGAATCGGTTCTTTTTGAATACTATAATTTGGGGGCATTCTACCATAGCAGCCTAAATGTAATTTTATGCCTCATTTTCAGACTATTTTTTCTAAATATGTGACTCATTATGGGTCCGACCTTTTTTGAAATTCCCATTAAGGCCTGAGGCTTGGTACTGATTGTTCTGTGTACTATGTGAATACTTGTCCTCCCTGTAGGAAGGCCTTCTGTTTGATCAGATTTTTAGCCCAATTTAGCAGAGTTGTAAAGAAGTTATTGTCACATTTACTACAGTAGCTTTTTGGTATAGCAAGACTCCATGTATAGTTTCATAAATGCACAATAATCATCTCACAGGGATAATGAGACTTAACGTTTTACAGCTTTAAGGTAGGACGTCATTGATTACCTTGCCTTGGTTTTATTTTTAGATCCTAATATCCCAAGAGAATATGAAGAGTTCCTCCAATCATTGTGTGTTATTAAGACAAATATCCCTTAACATTTTTGAGTCAGTTCTTTGTCTCCTATATATGCAACTTTATTGTGTGGGAGACTTTTCCACTTTCAGGAGATGGGAGAATGTTTATTCTCAGAAGGCTCATTAACTGAGGTGCTCTATTGAAAACCAACTTATAAACGTAGAAGGTAGTTGAGTAGTTAGCCTCCTAAGTGTCTTAGTAAATTTGTATTCATTGTATTTTCAATAATATATTTAAATGGGGTACAGGCAAGCACACTGACTTCAAACCGTTCGTCTTTAAGCTCCTGAATCCTCATCCCATTTGATGGGATTTTTAAAGGCACTCCTTAAGTTTTACTGACTATAAATTTAAAAGTATCAGTATTGCCCTTGAGCTTATCCCTTCCTATTAGAGTTAATGGGAAGGGAAAACCCTCAGGAAAATGAAAGTAAATTAACATTTCATCTCTCTAACTTTTACCAATTTTGAATTATATAAGAAGACTGGAAAAGGTTAGTGAATGTTTAAAATGCAGTAGATTAAAGTATTAAAATTAGATTCTTATTCCTGATTGAAATCTGCTTTATCATCTATACCATCTAGCGAAGCTCTTGAGTGGAGATTAAAGAGCTTACTAAATATCTCTGGTAGCCTTGTCTTCTAAGAAGACTACACTATTACATATTCTGTGAGTTAGGATTTTCATACCTTTAACAACAGCTGTTTTGAAGCTTAATTCAGTCTCATGTAGAAGACTGTTCTTTGAGTGGGCAGTGAAAGACCACCTGGTTAGTAAAGGCAAATTGTACTGTTTTTATTGGAAGTACTAATTTTAAGTACTGTGTAAACTAGGGAGCCACTGTATTAAGTGATTGGTTTTGCAAATTTGGGTATCCTTTGCCAGGCAGTATGCCGAGCATAATTGAATGGTGACATCCCAGCGGTTCCTGCTTTCATACTAAGATAAAGTGAATGCCATGTTGCAGCAACATGTGTGATAAGCGAACGACAAGGATCATCAGGGAGAGCCTTTTGAAGGGGAGGATAATTGAGCTAAAACTTGAAGGATGAGTACTAGTAAATTATACTGGAAAACTAGACAAAGAAGCGTGTTTAAATTAAGGTCCAATTTCCAGTGACTTGAAGAGCCTTATGTCTGGCTCCTGGTGACAGTAAATGTTTTGTTACTAGAGACTGAAAAAACAGGTAAGGGTTACCATGGACTGCTTTCTAGTTACATTCTCTGTTCAGTTTTGTATCTTGAGAACAGTTGGAAACTATTGAAGATTTTTAAGCTTTGTGTGTATGGGGGTGAGGTGAGGTGGGTGGATGGTGGGTCACCTAATAAAATTGCCATTTAAAGAACACATTGCAGTGTTGGAAGCAAACTCTGGGGCAAAATGTGGCTATTGCAGTAGCCTAAGTTGGGTTTCATTACACAAGTGGAGGGTGGTGAGTGGATTCTACACGTCCAATATCATTGGCCACTTCACCGTGTATTCTTCTGGCCTGATGGTTAAGAGTTCATTTCCAGCTGTGTTCTCCCTTCATGCTATCTTCAGTCCCGCAAGAATGAATATGAGGATACCGGTGCCATTGCTATCAATTTGTGTCCTAAATTCCTGCTTCAGCTGTTGGTTAGAAGGTTTGAGTATTCCAAACGGATTTTTAAGTCTTCATTCATGGTGTTGCTCAGGGCAAATACCTTTAATGCCATTGATTTCTTTAAGCAGACCTATGTGCTTCAACTTTAAAAATGGTCAGCTAACACTTGTGAACACCACCACCATCTTAGAACAGGTAACAATAGCTTCTAATGGTTTACCCACTTCAGCTTGATCTCCTGGACTAGAATTTTTGCACAGCAGTCATGTGAAGCCTTTTTATAGGACAAATCAGTCTGTGTTGCTTCTCAAAGAATGGTTTTTCATTCAGCTCAGAATTTTAAATACCTGGTTTGTAATCTGATTTAACACACTACACCACCACACTAGGTGCTGTGCCAAGATTTTCCCCTCTAGGAATTCAACATGGGAAAACTTAAGTCTGTTAAATAGTCTGGTCAAGGCTCAATCTTAAATTCAGAACTCTGCTTACATGGGGGCCTAAAAAAAGCCATGCCCAACTCTATAAAGAATCACCCTCGACACTATTTGTTGTTTAGCAATTTGTAAGGTTAATCAAAAGGCAGAGGATAGTCCTGTCACTGACATATACATGAACTTAAAGAATTTGATGCCGGGTGGTGCTGGTTACATCGGAGTGAGTTTTGAGGAAGCGGGAGACTGAATATTGGCGTCTGAAACCTTGAGTGCAGGGTCTTCGAGAAGAGTATCAAGCAAGTAGTGGGTATTCAAGGCCAGTCATCTTGAATCAGACCGAAGTGAAAGCATTGTGTAGTTCGTCCTTACAGCATGCGGTGGTTGGGTAGTTTGGAGGGGTAAACTGGGATTGGGGTTGGTTGGAGATGCAAGATTGAAGGAGAGCAGGCTGAGCCTGGTTTGGGGAGACCCGGCATTCAAGCACATCTGTCCCCGTAGAATTACAAGTCGGCAAGGTGGGAGGGGTTGGGGGTCGGCGCGGGCGATACAAGACACAATTTCCTCAATTCCCGTGTGAAATGAGATGCTTTAAGATCGCGCGATTGCCTAAAGTCGTCTCGCCAACCTAAGTCTAACCCTGAAAACCACTTGGCGCACACGGTCCCGCGCCGACCTAACCCTGGCGTTTAAACCGTTTCCATCCGGTTGGGGGGGGGGGGGTGCAGCTATCTGCCCGCTGCTGAGTGTAGACGAGCTTCGCCCGCGGCGGTGGCCCCGCCTCCGTGACGCCATCACGCGGGGCGCGCGGGGAGGAAGGTCCCTTCTGCGCTAGTCGCCGCGTCGCCCGCGATGACGTAGCGCGTCGCGGGCGGGGGCGGACGCGGAGCGGGGCCGGGCGGGCGCCTGCGCGCGGCAGCAGCCCCGGAGCCTCCCTCTGCTCGCTTCGTGTCCCACGTGCTTCCGGCGCGGCAGCGGGCGGCGACACTCCGGGCTCCCGGCGCAGGTACTCGCAGTCGGGGCGGCGGTTGGCGCTGGGCGCCGAGGGTCGGGGACAGCCTCTGCGCTCGGCCTCTTCGGCCCCGGGTGTGCGGCCACTCCGGAGCGGGTCACACTGGGGGCTTGGCGGGACTCTGAGCTCGGGGAGCGCCTGCGTGAGGAGTCGGGCCCGGCGGGCGCCGGCGCGGAGGTCCACGGACTTGCCCTGTGTGTCCTGGGGGCAGCGCGGAGCCTGGGAACGGGGTGTCCACCCCGCAGCTAAGCGCGTTCTCATGACGCGTTCTCTAGCAGTGATGTGCAGAACTAGCCTGCGGTGACTTTCAGGCCATCGTGGCGTCATTCATTTCAGGCCATTAGACGCTGTTACCTGTTATCTATAAAAATGACAAAAACTTTTTTTTTTTTTTTGGTGACGCTGAGTTTGAATTCAGTGACAAGTGCTTTACAGCAGAGAGCGACACATCCGGTCCTGATTTTATTTTTAGACCAATGGACTTGCATCTTATAATGAAAGCTCCCTGAAGTCCAGGTTTTATTTATGGGGCTTTCGAAGAGCTCGTGCAATAGACAGTATTCTGCTAGTTGTTGATGAACTGTGGAGCCTTTTCTGTGGCCAGCAGCATGACCCGTAAGCTGGGCAGGTACCTGGCTCCGTAGGGGTCAGGTGTTAGTAGTCAGGCCAACTTGTTATGCACAAGTCACAATCCTGTCACCATCGCTTCTCTTTGAAATAGTTTATACTTGCCCTTTTCCTTGTGAAATAGCCAAGAGCTATTGAAGTACATTGTTTTAATTGGCAGGCTCGAGTATAGTAAAGGTATAAAGTTTATTAGCGTGCTTTATATTTGGAGCGAGTGGGCTCTGGGCCACATCCAGAGGTACTCAGGGATCACGCTATATGAGGTGCTGGGGATTAACCAGGGTGGGCTGTGCAAGTCCTGCACCTTAATGCCTGCACTATCCAGCCCCGGCACTGGAGTTTTTAAGTAACAATTTTTTTTTAATGTTGTAATTGCTGTTTCTGGTAAATGGGGGGTGGGGGTGTGTTTTTGTTATTGCACATGCTTTTTTGGTACACACTCTAACTTTTAGGTCTATATAAGTCCTCTATGAATGTTATTCCCTTTAGAAAACAATTTCATTGTAATAGTCACTATTTTCTTTGACTTTGTAATACATACGAATTAATGCATATGGGTTTAAAAAACAAACTCAGAAGTTAGAACAAAATAAGAATCACCTGCAATCTTAACTGCCCAGAAATAACTATTTAGGAGTTTCCTAGTCTCCCCCTTCTATATAGTCTTTTTCCTATTTTTTTTTGCGGGGCGGGGGGTGGGGGGCACCTGATGATGCTCAGGGGTTACTCCTGGCTTTGCACTCAGGAATTATTCCCATATGGATGCTGCAGATTGAACACACATGCAAATGCCCTATCCGCTGTACTGTCACATCGGTTTTTGATATCCTGTATAATTATCGACTAAGATACCATACTTGGTTCTGCCATGTTAATCTTACAAACATCTGTAGCCACAGGTGTTTTGTAAATTTGTTTTGATTTTGGGTCACACCCTGCAATGCTCAGGGCTCACTCCAGGGTCTGCACTTAGGAATTACTCTTGGTAGTGCTTGGGGCATCATATGGGATGCTGGGGATCAGATCTCAGTTGACCGCATGCAAGGCATGTGCCCCTGCCCTCCTCCTCTATTTTTGTGTTCGTGTTCCATCCATCCTGTCCTCCCCCCTGCCCCCCGTTGTGCTATCTTTCCGGCCCCTCATAAAGGTAAAGTAAAAGTAAGTAAAGGCCCTCCCGTTGATCATCGATTTGCTCGAGCGGGCCCAGTAACGTCTCCATTGGAGATTTTGTTGTTACTGTGTCTGGCATATCGAATACTCTCGGTAGCTTGCCGGGCTCTCCGAGAGGGGCGGAGGAATCGAACTCGGGTCGGCTATGTTGGCTGCGTGCAAGGCAGACGCCCTACCCGCTGTGCTATACGTGTAGGGCTTAAGTTGCTAGCACTATAGGTAGGGAGCTTGCCTTGCAAGTGGACAATGTGGGTTCAATTCCTGGTACTCCATATGCTCTGTATGACCTCCCAAAATTGCTGGGAGTTACCGTTAAGTGAAGAGCCAGAAGTAAGCCTGGACACACACACGAGAGTTTGGGAGAGGCACATCAGGTATTGCTCAGGGGTCACGGCTGGCAGTGCCCAGATCTATGTTGCCACATGCTGCATCCTGTTCAGCCCCCTGTATATGACTTACTCTTATTCCCCCCCCCCTTCATTGTTGCTGTGAGGATGGTGGCCTCACACCTTTAATTGGGGTGCTTGCTAAGGGTTGCCATGCTTGCACTCTGGGTCACAGTGCTTTTGGGGGTTGCACTCCTTTACTTTGTGGGGATCTCCCAGCTTCTGTTTCAGTGTCTGCACCGCCATGGCTGTGGTGGGGCTCCTCGACAGCAGAACCAGCAGGACCGGGCCTGGTGCTTCCAGTGGCTCTGGGGGTTGAGACCTTAGGTTTTCCAAACAGACTTCTGTCTTCTGGGCTCTTCCTAGGGTCCACCACAGGTAATTTTTGAAGATTGATTTTGTTTTTTGTTTGGTTTTGGTTTTTGAGCAATACCCAGTGCTTAGGGATCACTCCTGGCTGTGTTCGGGGATCATATGTGATGCTGAGGTTTGAACTGACATTGGTTGCATTCAGGACAAGCACCTTACTGCCTTTACCACCTTTACTATCTCTCTCTGGCCTCTGAAAATAATTTTGAGAAAGGTTTTTATGTCTTGGTTGGGAGGTGGTGGTGTTCAGGGCTTCCTACTGGCTCTGCACTCAGGATAACTCCTGGTGGGCTCAGGGGGACCATACAGGGTGCTGGTCGAGTGTGCAAGGCGAGTGCACCCACACTATCCACTATATTATCACTCTGATCCCTACAATGTTTTTAAGCATTTCTGTTTTGTTTTGTTTTTTTCTTTTCTTTTTGGTCACACCCAGCGATGCTCAGGGGTTACTTCTGGCTCTGCACTCAGGACTTACCCTGGCAGTGCTTGGGGATCATTGGATGCCGGGGATTGAACCCAGTTAGGCTGCACGTGCCCTACTGCTGTACTATCACTCCGGCCCCCACATTTCTGATTTTTTAAAAACCTTTGAATTCAGTTGTGAACCAGCCTTCATGCTGAGGGAACAATTTCACCCCCTTTCCAAGTCTCAGTTTGTAGGGGTGAAGTAAGTTGATTTCAGTAGATGTGCTAGCTTAGCCCCTGGCCCTCAGCTATGATTCTTCACTCAGAATTTGGTGTTCTATCAGGTTTTCTTTTGTTGTTTTTTTTTTTTTGGGGGGGTGAGCAGTGGTTATAAGCCTTGTGATACTTAGGGGTTCCTCCTGGTGGTCTCGTGGGACCATAGGAATGTTGGGGAACAAACTTGGATTGGTCACGTTGCAAGGGCAGACACCCTTTCCGTTGTACTATTACCCAGCCCTGGGTCTTCTCCTATCTTAGTGCTGTTCCTTTTTACCTTTTGTTACAGTGATCACCTTTCACCATGCATCGGAAGAAAGTGGATAACCGGATCCGGATCCTTATAGAAAATGGGATGGCGGAGCGGCAGAGGTCCCTGTTTGTTGTGGTCGGAGATAGAGGAAAGGATCAGGTGAGACCCCATGATCCCTCCCTTCCGGCCAGGGTGGTGCCTGTGATTTTCCTGCATAGGCTTCAGGGCTCACACATGGCTGGCCTCCTTTGAAGCAACTCACTGACTTGGAGGCTGTGTGTTTTTTCTGGACCCACAAGTATTCGGTCTGAGAATCAGCAGCAGATGGTGGCCGGGGAATGCGAGCCCAAGGCTTGTTCATGACCTGTCTTCCTATCCAGACTGGGTCATTACTTGCCTTGTCACTTGGGCCCTTGGCTCTCAGTTTTATTTGTCCATGAGAGCTTGGGCCTGACAGTCTCTAAAGTCTCTCTCTCTATTCTGTTTTTGGGCCACTCGGAGCAGTGCTCAGGGATCGAGCCCGAGGTTCCTGCATGTAGAGCGGGGACTCTAGCCCGCAGAGTCTTCTTTCCTCCTCTGTGGTCTCTTTTTGTGTTTGTTCTTGGGCCGTACCTGGTAGTGCTCAGGGATCACTCCTGGTGGTGCTCAGGAAACCACATGGGATGCTGGGAATCAAACCCAGGTTGGCCGCATGCAAGGCTCACAGCCGACCTCCTGTACTATTGCTCTGGCTCTTGTGATCTCTTTTTGGCCCGTGAGATTCTGTGACCTGTGTCTTTTGACAGGTGGTCATTCTTCATCACATGTTGTCCAAAGCATCTGTGAAGGCACGGCCGTCGGTTCTCTGGTGCTATAAGAAAGAGCTGGGATTTAGCAGGTAAGCTTGGCCATTTTGAATTATCTTCGATCCTGTTCAGTTCCTGCTCATTAGTTTGGTGCCAGGACTTCCTGGATGTAGTTTTTTGGGGATTGTTGGTGCAAGTGCTCTCTTTGAGGGCATTTCTAAGCAGAAACCCTAAGAGCAAATGCCCCTTCTTCCTGGCAGTAAATTTCAGGTCCTTTTCATGCCCGTTCAGTTTACAGCTCAGCTCTTATTTTCTGCACTTGATTGTTCTTCTTTTCTAAGTTGGTTAAGTGTGTCTTTCTCGTTGAGGGAAAAGTGTGTGTGTGTAGGGGAGGGTGTTGGGTTGCAGAGTCAGGGCAGAGATTTTTTTTTTTTTTAACAGACTTACCACTGTTTCCCGCAAAAGCCCAACTTCTGTCCACTTTGTTGTAATGTCCTTCCAGTTTCTTCATGTTTCAAGTGGGGATAGTGACCTACAATTTCCAAGTTTCCTTCTAGCTTTGAAGTGGTCAGCGGGTGATCAAGTCTCCCAGTTAACTGATTCTCATGGGATTGGTGTTGGGGGGATGCTCTTTGCAGTCACCGGAAGAAAAGAATGCGACAGCTACAGAAAAAAATCAAGAACGGGACGTTGAACATCAAGCAGGATGACCCCTTTGAGCTCTTCGTAGCTGCCACCAACATTCGTTATTGCTACTACAATGAGACACACAAGATCCTGGGCAACACCTTCGGCATGTGCGTTCTCCAGGTGGGTGAGCTCCTGTCCCTCTCTGGTGCCCTGACGGGACAGGGGGACAGTGAGGATGGATGACATACAAGAAACTCCTGTCCCCGAGCATGTTAGCAGCAGAAGCCTTGGCCCCTTGAGTGCTCACCCTGTACTGAACGAGAAAGTGGGGGCTGGAGAGATAGTACAGTGGGTAGGGCATTTGCCTAGCATGTGGTTCACTGGGGTTCAATCAGTCTCTGGCATCCCATATAATTCCCCAAGCCCCGCCAGGAATAATTTCTGAATGCAGAGACAGGATAACCCCTGAGCGACACCTGGGTGTGACCTTTTTTAAAAAACAAAAAACAAAACAGAACAAATGGCAATAGAAAGGGAAAGCATTGAAGGCAGCTCTTGTGTGGAGGTGACCTCCATGCTGCCTCACTGTCTCTGCCTGGCCAGCTCCAGCTGAGAAGCCGGCACCATGGCCTTCCAGGGATCCTGGAACTAAGGAAAGGCCCTGCTCCCCAGGGAGCCGTTGGCCTGGCCTTAACCAAGGGGGCTGACTTCTGCTCTCGCGGGTCTCGGTGACCCTGTGCTTGATTAGTGTCACCCATGCCAGTCTGCCTGTCCTGCCAGTCCTTCAGAGCCTGCCAGCAACTAAAGACCTGGTGATTTGTTTTCTGTTCTTGCAAGCCTGTATGCCCAGGTTAATGCTTTCTATGTTCCTAACCTTTTAAACTATCTGGAGGCAGTTTTCCAAGTGTGCCTCAGGATAAAAATAAAAGTGAGCAAAGGGATAAGAGGGTCGTGAACATAAGTTGCCCTGTGCTGCTGTTTCGCGTTCCTCAGCGGAGGCCAGAAAAGTGCATTTGGCCGCTCTCCCTGGTCTCCACTCTGCAGGGAAGCTTCTTGGTTGGTCTCTCACCCTTTTCACTGATGCCTACTTTAGGCACTAGTGCCCCCGTGTGGTGCAGTTGAGTCTCCTCAAGTAGATTTGATCTAGAAACTTGATAATATCAGAAGTTTCTGCCTTCAAATAGGAGTCAGTGAAAATCGGAGCACTTCTTTCCACATGGGATTCTATCACATTATTAGAAATCCCATTTTTGTTTGTTTGGGGAGGGGTCACACCCAGTGGTGCTCAGGGCTTAACTCCTGACTCTGTGTTCAGGAATCACTCCTGGCGGTGCTCAGAGGACCATATGGGATGCCGGGGATTGAACCAGAGTCAGCTGCATAGCAGGCAAGTGCCCTACTTGCTGTGCCATCTCTCTACACTCACCCGCTGGAATTACTCCTGACATATGTGATGAGATACACCTGTTCTCAAGGCTGACCTCAGTACTAAGGGGCGTGTCCTCAGTACTAAGCAAGGGGCTATGAGAGAGTGAGATGGTTCTGGTGAGGGAATATGAAAGAGACGGTTAGAGTAGAGGCTGGCTTGGGTTTGTGCCGTCACACATTGTTTTCACCTGTCTCCTGGATTTTGGATATGCGTCTGTAGGAATGCTCTTTGCAAGATCAACCCTTTTTAAATTTCCCTTCTTTCAGGATTTTTTTTTTCTTTTTTTTGGTCTGTTTGTTTTGAGGCCATACCCAGTGCTCTCTCTACTCACTCCTGGTGGACGTAGGGAACCATATGGGGTGCTAAGGATTGAGCTTGGGTTGGCTGTGTGCGAGGCAAGTGAGTAGCTTCTTATCTGCTGTACTATTGCTCCGGCCTCTCTTTCAGGATTTTGAAGCCTTAACTCCGAACTTGCTGGCCAGGACTGTGGAAACAGTGGAAGGTGGTGGGCTGGTGGTTATCCTCCTGCGGACCATGAATTCACTCAAACAGTTATACACGATGACCATGGTAAGTGTCTGCATTATCAATTAGTTGGAAATTAAAGTTTTCTTGCTGTTCGCCACTTTGTTTCAACTTTTGGTGGTGGCTAGAGGGCTTTGGGCCATACTCAGCAGTGCTTGGGGCTTCTACTTGACCCTGGGCTGAGGGATCATTCCTGGCAGGGCTTGGGGGACTGTATAGGACCGAGTGCAAGACAATCCCTTACTCTCTTCAGTGTTCAAAGATCATTTTGGTTTGTTTGTTTGTTTGTTTGTTTTGGGGCCACTCCTGCATCTGTTCAGGAATTACTCCTGGCGGGGCTTGGAGGAACCATATGGGGTGCTGGGGATCAAACTTTGGGTAGGGCACTTGTCTCAGGGTTCGAACCCCAGCACTCAGTAAGGTCCCTTGAATTCTGCTAAGAGTGGTTCCTGAGCGCAGAGCCAGAATCACTGAGCATCGCCATTGCTGCCCCTAGACCCCAAACAAAAAAAAAGAACTGTGTTCATGGTGAAAGACACTTTCTACCCATTGATCCTGCTCTGTGTTCCCTGCCATTTGCAGAACCCACTGCCTTGGCAGGCATGTCTGCTCGGCTTCCTGCCTCGCTGCAGTCTTGCTTTGCCTGAGACCCCCGCAAGGGGTCTTTCTTTCTCCCCACTCACCTTTTCTACTTTTTTTTCCCCTTTTTGGGTCACACCCAGCGATGCTCAGGGGTTACTCCTGGCTCTTAACTCAGGAATCAATCCTGGCGGTGCTCAGGGGACCATGTGGGATGCTGGGAATCGAACCCGTGCAAGGCAAATGCCCTACCCACTGGGCTATCTCTTCAGCCCCTCACCCTTTCTACTTCTTTCTTTTCCTCAGAGCTGCCTAAAGTGAGATACTTACAGATGAGCTGTTTGATTTCCTGGGCTGGGGTCTTAGCTCCATGGGACGGGGGACCTCTGTTTCTTCCCTGGTGTATTTAGTGAGCACTTTTCAAATACCGAGGCCCACCTTGCTTCTTTCTTCTCTTCCCTCTGACTCCGTCACCTGCTTTCCTACTCAGAGGGTCTTTCTCACTGCCCCTGTAGAAGAACCCACCCCCCCCACCTCCCACCCCAATCCGTTTTGCTACGACTGCACCCTATTTTTGTTTGTTTTTGTGGCCGGGCCAAGCCTGAACATGTTCAGGGCTCACTTCTCGCTCCCGGGCTGGTGCGACCACATGAGATCGAACCCAGGTCAGCCGCCTGTAAGACAAATGCCCTACCTGCTGTATTCTCCCTTCTACCTCCGTACCCCAGTTTTCATTTGTAGCATTTGCCAGATTTCCCTCAAGCATTAGCGGACTCCATGTGAACTTCGGTCACTTTTCACTCGCACGTGGTCACCCTGTTTGTCTAGGATGGCACAAATGTGCCACTGAATGAATGCTGTTCGCGGGTCTGGATGAAGTGGGGGAAAGCACCTCCGTCATGAGGTCAGGGGACGTTGATGGGCCTAAGGAAATGTGCGCTCTGCTCTCTGATCCCTGGAACTCACCTTTGGTGGGTCTGGCCCAGCAGGTGGTAAGGGAACGGTTGTGGTTTCCATTTCCAGCAGCGTTTCGGCCCTGCCTGGGGCCCAGGTTGCTTCCTCAAGCACTCAGGATGCCTTACTAACCCACACTGTCTCCCTCAGGACGTGCATTCCCGATACAGGACCGAGGCTCATCAGGATGTGGTGGGGAGATTCAATGAGAGGTGGGTCTGCTGCGGGTCTCCCTGGCCTGGTCAGGGGTCACCTGGGCGGTAATAGGAGAGGGGGGCCAGTGCGGGCGTCGTGCACGGTCGCTTGAGTCAAGCGCTTGAGCGAGGGGGAGGAGAGCTGTGGCCGGGCACCTGGGCTGCCTGCCTTCCGCCAGTCCCAACTCTGCTTTCTGCTGCAGGCTTGCTTCTCCATCAGGGCTGAGTGTAGGTCACCCACCTACCAAAGTGTTGTCTGGCCCGCATAGCTGGGGAATGCCAGTTGCAGTGTTTCGTTTATGTGTTTCGTAGTGTTGTAGCCAGCAGAAATTGTGGTGGTGGGGGGTGAGTTGGGGGGAGAGGATTTTGGGCCACACCCAGTTGTGCTCAACGGCCGTCCCTGGCTCTGCTCAAGGTCACATTGGGGTAGTCCCTATCAGGCCTACCTTGCTGGTAGTGGCTGGGACCACGAGGGCCTGCTGCTGGATTGATTCCCAAGTGTGTTTCACAGAACCCTTGACTGGGCTGCACGGCTGAGTAGCCGTGACTCGTCTTAGGAAACGCCACTTCGAAGGTTGCCATTGTGCAGCTGTTGACGTGTGGCAGTTTCTGGAGACGTTTTTCTAGTGTGGTGAGTGCTCCCCAGCACAAACCTCAAAGGCCGCTGGGATGGACACTGCTCTCCTTGCCCGGTCCCAGCTGGCACGTGGGTCTGGAGATGCAGCGCTGCTGGGAGCCGGTGGTGCTGGGGCCAGCAGGGTCACACTTGGCAGTCCTGGGGCTGCGGGAGGTGCGACATTTGATGCCAGGATCAGATGTGGCCGTGTGCAAGGCATGTGCTTCCAGCCCATTAAGCTGTTTTCTTGGCCCCTGGAAGCATGATCATGAGTTGAAATGGAGGAGGTGAGGGTTATGCTATTAGCAGATCATGGGTAGAGGTCAGAGGTCTGCGTCACCTAGGTGCAGCCACCAGCATGGAGGTGTCTGGACTCATACTGAAATGGGCAACCCAAAGCCCACACAGCAGGGTCTGCCTGCCGTCACAAGAGAAGACGGGAAAAGGAGACAGGCTATAAGCGCGAAAGCTCCCTCTGAGAAACAGAAACACTCGTGTGTTTAGACAAACAGGAGTGTGGCTAGAAAGACAGCGCTGGATGGGGCACTTTCCTTGCATGCCGTTGGCCAAGGTGCCATCCCCAGCACCCCATACGGTGCCCTGAGCACAGCCAGGTGTGGTTCACCCCAAGCCTCTTCCCCCTTACCTCCCCCAATAAAGAAAAGAAAACCCTGAGCACAGGCTGAAAAAAATCCCGACTGCCACAAGCACCAAAAAACGGCCTCCCATGCTGCTCTCAAGGTCTAGTGTATCAGGGGCGCGTGGCTCCCTCTTTGCCTTCCCGATCTGCTTGGCCCGTCCTGCCTCAGGTCCTGCCTTGGTGGGGAGGGGGGCGGGAACCGCTCGCTTCCCCTGTTGGGGACATTCAGCTCCCCTTCTGCTGCTCTTCAGCCGGGACATGGCTTTCTTTTCTTGACCTTTGGTGTGGCGCTGGAAATGTGGAACGATGCCGGAAATGATGGTGAGAAAGAGTCACACGGTCACCGTTGGATATCCACCGCCCAACTAATGGCACTTTTGTTCCTCAGGTTCATTCTCTCCCTGGCCTCTTGCAAGAAGTGTCTCGTCATCGACGACCAGCTCAACATCCTGCCCATCTCCTCTCACGCTGCCAGCATCGAGGCCCTACCCCCCCAGAGCCAGGTGAGTGCCAGGGCTCGGGGCGGCTGGAGGAGGCCAGGCTTCTGGGCCCCCCCCCACCCCAGGGCACGGACAGACCTGTCCTTTTTCCCCTCCTCGTGTGCAGGACGAGAACCTGGGCCCTGCTGACCTGGAGCTGAGGGAGCTGAAGGAGAGCCTGCAGGACACGCAGCCTGTGGGTGTGCTGGTGGACTGCTGCCGGACCCTGGACCAGGTACTTGTGCCCTTTGGGGCTCCTGGGCTCAACAGTCTGAGACCGGGTTGGCTGGGAAGGGCCTTTTCATGAGCTCACACACACAGCAACCCCAGGATTGCCCGGCTCACAAGAGAACCTCAGCGGTGCCCCCGCCTCCGGAGCTCAGGACCAAGGGCAACGATGCTTTACTTTGACAGTTATTTAGTCTTTTATCTGTGGGGGGTGTTGAGGGGTATCTTATGGCCTTCCCCCACCCCCCCCTTTTCCCCTGGTATTTGCAGCTACTCCCATCAGTGCTCAGGGTCATTCCTGGCTCTGCACTTAGAAAGTACTGCTTGGTGGTGCTGGGGGAGCCCAGATGGGGTGCTGGGGACTCAAGCCCGGGGTGGCCGTGTGCAAGGCAAGTGCCCTACCCACCGTACAATCCTCCAGCCCTCTCCTGGCTGTTCTTGGTCAGCGGGGCTGGTTCCATGTGAGAGCCTTGTGGTGCTCAGGGGCCTCCAGGCATGCACCCAGCAGTCCTTTGGGGACCGTTATGTAGTGCTGGGGATCCACAGTGTGCAGAAGTATGCACCTGATCCCCTGTACTGCCTCTCCAGCCCCAGGTGCTCCAGACTGTTTGAGGGCTGCTTGTGGCTGTTTGGGGGGTGTTTCCCTGCAGTGCTCGGGGCAGACCTTACTGTGCTAGGGATCAGACTTCCTGTGTGCAAGGCATGGGCCCCGCTAAAATGGGTTCAACTTCTTTTTTTATTTTCTGGGCCACACCCAGCAGTGCTCAGGGGTTGCTCCTGGCTCTGCACCCAGGGATCACTCCTCGGGGTGCTCTGGAGACCATATGGAATGCCAGGGATAGAGTGTAGGTTGGCTGCGTGCAAGGCAAGTGCCCTCCCTGCTGTGTTATGCTCCAGCCCTGAAGTGGGTTTAATTTAAAGAGGAGGCCGCTTGGTAGTTTTCCCAAGATGGGGTTCTTTGGCTTTGATGGCATCTTGTGGCAGGTTTTTTTGTTTTTTGTTTTTAAGTTTTAGGCTTGTGGTTTCTATTAGTGGCCCAAGAGCAGATGTGCGGGAGCAGTGGTATGTGTGTGGCAATGAGGTCTAACCCAGACCTAGAACCTGTGTGTGGGGGGGTCATTGGCAGCTGATTCCTATTTTGAGCTTGCTAGTGGGAGGGGAGGGCCACGTGCAGAGCCTTCTCTGGACTCGGTCACAACTACAGCTCCAATCCAGTAGCACAGACAGGCTGGGCGCACGGGACCGTCTGCGGTGTTCCCGGTGGAATGGCAGATGTGGGGGCGGATCGGTCATGCTCCAGCAGGAGGAGGAGATCTGTCTCCTGTCTGCCTCAGCTGTTCCTAGCCACCCTGCAGGGCCGCTGCTAGTGGGCTGGAAGTAAGGTGCCCGTCCCGCCTCACCTAACGCACACCTTCTCCTGCCCGCAGGCCAAGGCAGTCCTGAAGTTCATCGAGGGCATCTCAGAGAAGACACTGCGGAGTACGGTGGCTCTCACCGCAGCCCGCGGCAGGGGCAAGTCTGCTGCCCTGGGCTTGGCGATGGCTGGGGCAGTGGCTTTTGGGTGAGGGGCCTCACCTTTTGGAAGACCGGGCTCTGGGGGAGACTGTGTGCGGGTTCCGGGCAGGCTCCCTGCATGGTTCCTCTGGGTCCCGGGTGTCAGGAAGGAAGCGGCAGCAGGAGTGTGATTGTCCCCTCGGGCAGCACTTCTGTGTGTGGGGGGGGGGGGCGCGGGGGGCAAACCCAGATACACACTCCCGGGGCTTTGATGGCTACAGCAGAAAGCAGAGAGGGAGGTGAAGAGCTTCAAAACACTTGGGAGACACGAATGTACATGAACAGCTGGGCTGACTCCAGAAAGTTTGTTTTTTGTTTCGTAAATTAGAGAATTTCTGTTTCTTCTGTTGAAATTGGCTTCCACAAAAGAACGAAAAGGCAGCCTGCCAGTTGGGAGACGGTAGTTGAGCACTGTATGTCGGTCAAGGAGTCGATTGCCGAAATCTGTAATCCACACAACTGAACAGCAAATATGCAAGCATTGTAGTAAAAATGGCAGACTACTAAACAGAGATCTCTCTAGGTCAGACCTGTGGGTGACCCCCACAAGATGAAAAAAACCTCAGCGTCCTTGCCGTTCGGGGAACGAAAAAAAAAAACAGGCAGCCACCTCAGAGTGATGAGAGTCACATGTTGGAAGGATCAGCAAGATAGTGTTGATGAAGGGCGGAAGGGGCAGAACTCTCGCTGAGGGTTAAGGATGTGAATTGGTGGGAGCGCCTTAAAATGAGGGGTACAGAGGGAAGGGGGCTTGCACATGGCTGACCAGGTTCTTTCCCTGGCATCCCGTGTGGTCCCTGAGCACCAAGAGCAATTCCTTAGTGCAGAGCCAGGAGTAACCCTCGAGCATTGCCAGGTGTGGTCCCAAAGAACAAGAGAGAAAATGGAATATCGTGATGTGACAGTACCCCTCCCCCATGGGTGTTTATCCATAGACATGGAAAGACAAATTGGAGAGGATTTATTCAGCCTAGTGCTCAGGTCAGCGGTATTCGCAAAATAAAGACAAGTGCAAGTTTGACATCATTAATGTACTCATTACAGTTTTGATCACTGGCATAGCCTCGGCTGTTCTGTGTCACCGGGTAGAAGGTCCTGCAGTGGCCAGTCACTGTGTACCTGCCACAGCACCCACCTAAAAGGGGCCCGCATTGTTCCTCTTGTTGCCGGCTGCTCCGTTGTGGGTCTGAGATAGAGGAACCTGTATCCAGTGTCAGGGACTTCCCTGATCCTCCTGCCCTAGGTGCCAGCCGAGCAGAGGCTGTGCCCCCTACCCTGCCCCACTTCCCATCCTCTGCTCTTCGTCCTTCTCGGAGCTGCTGCACCTCCAGCCTGTAGCTGCGGGTGAGCTGGGTCCCTTTCGGCACCGCCAGCCGCTCTGTGTAGCCACCACTTTGGTCAAAGACACAGCAGTACCGGACTCAGCAGCCGATCTCCCAACAGCTTTTTCCCATCCTCCTCTCTTCTTCGACAGGTACTCCAATATCTTCGTCACCTCCCCCAGCCCAGATAACCTCCACACGCTGTTTGAGTTTGTGTTTAAAGGGTTTGACGCCCTGCAGTATCAGGTAGGTCCATGGTGTGAGACTATTTTCATCTGGGGCAGGGTGTAAATCTGGGGGCTGGGGGGGTGTCTCAGGGTGCCTGCTTGCTTGCTTCTTAGGTCATGTCTAAGGCTTGTTTTTAAACTTTGACCCTGATTTGACTCTGTCCCCATCAGGAGCATCTAGATTATGAAATTATCCAGTCTCTAAATCCCGAATTTAACAAAGCTGTGATCAGAGTGAACGTATTCCGAGAACACAGGCAGACCATTCAGGTGAGCTCTTCCCCAAAAACTGCTGCGGGGCCCATCCAGCTGTACTTATTATTTCTTCTTCTTTTTTTTTTTTTTTTTTTTTTTTTGCTTTATAGGTCACACCCAGCAGTGCTCAGGGTTACTCCTGGCTGGCTCTGCACTCAGGAATTACTCCTGGCAGTGCTGGGGGACCCTACGGGATGCTGGGAATCAAACCTGGGGCTGCCACATGCAAGACAAGCACCTTATCCACTATACTATCTCTCTGGCCCTGATTTTCTTTAAAAAAAAAAAAAATCATTTTGTATTTGAAGGTCTGGGAACGGGCTCCTAGAAAGTAAAAACAGACCAAGAGAATAATCAAGCTAGAGTGGGTTTGTTGAAATACTCCCAGGCGAGGTTTATGGGCTTCCAAAGAGACCCAGTGAAGTCCCACTCAGTATGTGTTCTGGCGTAGATTTATAGTGCAGCACAGGAAGCCTGGGGTTAGGGGTATGCTGGCGTCAGGACGTTTGAGCAGGTTCCAGAAATTACACCAGTAATAAGAAATCCCTGGGAGCGATAAGAAATCCCCTGGCAGTGGTTTAATGAGCCGCACGTGCAGGTCCTGTGCCCCTGAGCCGACCTAAGAATATCTTTTTAACATATCTAGCCTGAGGAATTCTTTGGGTGCTTGTTGTGGTGCTCAGGGGCTATCTCTGACTCTGTGCTCTGGAATGACCCCTGGTAGTGCCCAGGGGACTATATGTGGTGTCAGGGATTTGAATCCGGGGTGGCTGCGTTGCACAGCAAGTTATGTGCCTTACCTCTTTTAAAATTTTTTTTTAATTATTATTATTTGGCTTTTGGGGTCACACCTGGCGATGCTCAGTGGTTACTCCTGGCTCTGCACTCAGGAATCACTCCTGATGGTGCTCGGGGGACCATATGGGATGCCCGCGATCGAACCTGGGTCATCTGCGTGCAAGGCAAACGCCCTAACCACTGTGCTATTGCTCCGACCCTTGTGTGTATCCCTTGTCCTGTCTGTCTCCATTCCTGAGAAGTGCTATTGGATAGTGTGTTGATTTGTGATAGCTTGTTCCAGACTTTCAGCCTTTCTAAAGGAAAACCCAAGGCACACACATAAGTGTATACAGTTCAGTTGTAAAGTGTTCTCGTTTTGTTCCTCAGTGGTGGGAGTGAGGCTCCGGAGAGATAGGTAGGTGTCAGTGGAAGCGACTGAGACCAAGCACAGAGCCAGGAGTAGTGTCTGGGTGTTGCCAGGCATGGCCCACAGCCCAAGGGGAAACAAAACGAACCCAGTGGGAATTGGGATTGGAGTGTGGTCATTAGTCAAAAGAAATGCCTCATCTGACTTCACTTCTAATTGCTTTTGGTGACTGCAGGATATGAAATGGTGCCTCCGAGACTAGAACAGTGACCTCGCCCCTTAAGACACGTCTGTCAGACGCGCTCGGAGTCTGTGGTTCAGCCTGTGCTCTCTTTTCCTTTTGGACTAGTTCCCCCGAGTTTCTCTGAATCCCCAGTGCTCCGGACGCCTGCCCTGGGCAGAGGCTGTGGTGTTGGAGGGCCGCAGGGATGTGCCCATGCATAGGCTGGGAGACAGTTGACCTCCCAGATGGTGCTCAGAGCTGGCGGGACGAAAGTGGACCTGGTAACCTGGTGGTGTGTCCTGGGCCTTCATACGTATTCAGGCACATGTACGAGCCTGTCAGGGAAGTAAATCTCTATCAAAGATTCTGTATGATCGATTAGATCTTTTTAAAATAAAAAAAAAAATTGGGGGCCACATTTAGTGGTACTTAGGACTTTTTGCTCCTGGCTTTGTGCTCAGAGATTATTCCTGGCGGTGTTCAGGGGACCATATGGAATGTCAGGGATTGAACCCAGCTCAGTTAGTTACCTGCAAGCCAAGTGCCCTACCAGCTGTGTTGTTTATTTCTCTAGCCCTATCAATTAGATTTTTTTTTTTTTTTTTACTTTTGGGTCACACCTAGTGATGGTCAGGGCTTACTCCTGGCTCTCCACTCAGCAGTTACTCCTGGCGGCTCTGGGGGACCATGATGGGATGGTGGGGATCAAATCCATGTTGGCCGCATGCAAGGCAAGTGCCCTAACCACTGTACTATCGCTCTGGCCCCTCGATTAGATCTTAAAAGAGTTGCATCTTTGACCTCCAGGATCTTGGGTTATTTTTCGGTTTGGTTTTGAACTTACCAGGTCTCTTTTCCAGAATCTCTTCATTTCGTGCATTATTTTGTACATTACCTTTCGCCTGTGTCTAAGCTGGGAAGTGGCAGGAGAGTTGAGCAGGCACAGATGGGCTGGGCACGGTGCTCTATGGCAGACTGCATGCTCCGCAGGTCTGAAGCACAAAAACCTGCAGAGCAGGGAAAGAAAACCTATGCATGTGGGGCTCAGCCCTGCTGTTGTGGGTTCGCACCCGGACACATAGACAGCCCCGTGGCTTCAGGCGGCTCCTGGGCCGTGTGTGCCCCTGGAGGCCTCATTGCTGGGAGCTGAGGACAGGAAGATGAATAGTCTGTCACCCCTCCCCTACATAGACTTCCTGCTGCTGATTCAGGACCCTGGGACATCACTCAGCAGGCTAGGCGCATGCTTTATATATGTGACCTGGTTTCACCCCCAGCATGGACCTGGGCACTGTAGCCTTGAGCACTGCTGAGTGTGTGCCCATCCTCCCCACAAAAGAGTCTGAGAGAGGGCCTGATGAAGATACGCATCCTGCCGTAGGAAAGTGCCGGGTGGCCGCTTTCTTCAGCCCTTAACTTTCAGCAAAGCACTTTTAGCATCTCATTTGTAATCCGGTGACTTGGAACCACAGTGACTAAGCTGAAAAATGCAGAGACCAGCGCACTGCTCAGGCCTGGTTCTCAGAGTAGGAAATGTTGCTGTTTGCTCTTTGTTTTTGTTTGTTTGTTTCACATCATTTGTACTCTAATGTTGAAGATATAAATCATCAAGGGCACTTCAGTGTGTGTCTCCCCTCCACCCCCGCCCGTTCCTGCCCCCATTTCCTCTCTTGCTCCCCACCTGCAGCCCAGCTCTGAGGCTGGTGTCCCCTTGCAGGGCATGGGTTTATATCCCACTACATAATTATGTGTCCAGAATACTCTGTCTGAGATCCTTTTGTTTCTGAGCTTGTCTGTTTCTCCCCCAGTTCTGGGATTGAACCCAGGAGCTGCTCACACATGTAAAGGCAGTGGTGTGTGTGTGTGTGTGTATCCCCGTCTGTCTGTCCTGGCAGTTCTTGGGGGAATGTACAGGGTGCTGGGGATCAAACCCTAGCACTTGGCCATGTGCAAGACAAGTGCCCTCCTCCCTGTCCTCTCACTCTGGCCCCTGAGAGGGATGGTTTGTGCCTACGGGGATGCCTGTTGAGCTCAGGCAAGCTTGTAGGGAAGCAGGAAGAGAGGCCACAGGAGCCAGGGTGACACTCCCCCCCCCATCATGGGAGGAGACAGAGGCGCTGTGATGCGGTGTCCTGGCCGGGCCCCCTTATTGCCCGCTGCCCAGTGGGAACCCTGGCTGGCTCTAGGGCTGTTCCGTTTCCCCCTGCCAAGGAAAGGCGGAGGGGAGGATCGAGGGGTCCTGATGTGAGGGTGGCCTGGGTCTCCCCAGCCACCCAGCTGTGGGCTTCGGTGGCAGAGCTGAGAGTGTCCACTCCATGTCTCTCACAGTATATCCATCCTGCGGATGCTGTGAAGCTGGGCCAGGCTGAGCTGGTCGTGATCGACGAAGCTGCCGCCATCCCCCTGCCACTAGTGAAAAGCCTCCTGGGGCCCTACCTTGTCTTCATGGCCTCCACCATCAACGGGTAAGGCCCTTTGTGAGCATGTGTGAGGATGCCCGGGGGCCTGGGAGGGAGGGAAGAGTCCCTTTCCGCGAGCCCGAGTCCTGGGGCTGCTGCAGTCTCGGGGGCTCCTGGAGCTCCCCTGTGTCTGACTGTTGGTGGCACACAGGAAACCCTGGCGACCTGGAACCCGGGCGCTGGGGCTCCGCTGCCTGGGGAGTTTCAGAGGACAGAGGACACCGCTCCAGGCTTCTCTCTAGGGGGTGACGCGTCACTCGAGTGTCACTCGGAGTGTCAACGTCACTGAGTTGCACGAAGAAGCAGCAGCTCCAGGGCTTGGGCGTTCACACAGGATCCCTGCTGTCAGGTTTTTCAGTTGCAGAATGTATTTGGGCATGGCCCTGGTGGCACCCAGCACCTCAGCCCAGCTGTGCCGTGCAAGCTCAGCCGCTTGCCTGGCCCAGCTCACCGAGGATTGCTGTGAGAGGCCCCCTTGACCCTTCGCCTTCTGCAGAAGAAAATGGTTTATAGTGGCCCCAAGAACCTTTTTTATTAATTTTCTTTAATTACGAATATTTTTGGGTGGTTTTAGGGATCAGATTTCACACATGCAGGGCAGCTTGCTATACTGATGAACTGTATCTCCAGCCTGCAAGAGTCTTTACACCTATTTTTTTGAAATAGTGGGCTAGGTACCTGATGTGTGTGCTGGAGTCCCGGTTTGCTCCCGGCACTGCACGGTCCTAGGAGCACCTCTGGGAGTCACCACCTGCTATGGCTCATAAACCAAAATAAAAATGTTGGCGTGTACGTGAGGGGAATAATATAGTTTATGTTTGTTTTAGGTGAGCAGAAAGGGATGCCATTGGTGGTCTGGCTGTCCGGAGCAGTATTTGCCTGAGTGGGCAGTTCTACCTGAGGGGCACAGGACATTGCGGGGAGGGGTGGCAGCTTTGTGTCCACCCAGGAGGCACTTTCTGTTAGCTTGGTTAAAGATGGCAGATTTCCAGGGCTCTACCCCGAGCAGTGGGTTTTCTCTTGTGTGTGTGTGGGGGGTGGGGGGGCACATGGGGGAGACATACCCGACAGTGCTCAGGGCTTGCTCCTGGCTCTATGCTCAGGGATCACTCCTTGTGGGATTCAGTGGGACCGTATGTGAAGTTGGGGATCGAACCCTGTTGGTCCCATTCAAGGCAGTGTCCTGGCCGTTGTGCTGTCTCTCAAGCCCCATGAGTGCAGGGTTTTTAATTTTATTTATTTGTTTATTTTTGAGGTGGCAGCAGGTAGAATTCTTTTGAGAAAGTTTTATTATTACCATTATTTTTATTTTCTGATTTTTGGGCTACGCCCAGAGATGCTCAGGGCTTATTCTTGGCTCTGCGCTCAGAGATTACTTTGGTGGGGCTCTGGGGACCCTTTGGGGTGCTAGGGATCAAACTGGATTGACCACACGCATGGCAAGTGTTCTGCCTGCTCTACTGTCTCTGGCCCTAGAAAGCTTTCTTGTATGGGGCCGGGGAGGTGAATTGTTTTGGATCATTCTGTAAAAGTAGTGTTTGTGCAGGAGACTTAGTCCAGTGGGTGGGGCATGTGTTGCATGTGGCAGACTTGGATTCGATCACTGGTGGCTCAGATGGTCTCCTGAGCACTGCCGGGGGTGACCTGTGTGCCACTTGTTATCATTCAAACCGAACCCCCAAATGATAACAGAAACAATAGTAATGTATTTGAATAGAAAATATTTATGCTGTAATGAGGACGGGAATTATCGAGTGCCACAAAGACGGCAGTCTCTATCTCGAGGCATCACCGATGCTTGTGGCTGGAGATGTGGAGGAAGTAAAAATGAAGGGCAGGTCCAGCGACCAGATTTTAGATTCCCCACACTGGTTTTTCTGTTTGTTTTATGTCACCTTTTAAGTGAAAGTAGGAGTTGGGAGAATGATGTGGCTGGTGAGTTTTTTTAGTCTCTGTACTCCGTTCCGGCCATGTTCTCCCCTTGCATTCTTTTGAGCGTGCTGCTTTATTATTATGGGAGGATGTGGGACACACACACACCAGGTGCGCTCAGGGTTTACTTCTGCTCTGCCCAGGAACCGCTCCTGGCAGTGCTCTGGGAACCATGAGCGTGGCCAGGGATTGACTGGGTCGGGCTGGTGGGCAGCAGGGTCCTTCATCCCAATGTGTCCCCCATGTGTGCGCTGGCCGGGGAGAGGGCAGCCGCACGGGCTCTTCCTGGAGACAGGGACTCGGAGCTCTCAGCGGGACCAAGAAAGTGTTGCCTGCCCTTTGAGCCAGGCCTGACCATCTCTGAGCCTGACTGTCTGTGCTTTTGCTCCAGCTACGAGGGCACCGGTCGCTCCCTGTCCCTCAAGCTGATCCAGCAGCTTCGCCAGCAGAGCGCCCAGAGCCAGGTCAGCACCACCGCGGAGAACAAGACCACCACCACTGCCAGACTGGCTTCAGGTACCTGTCGGGCTTGAGTGGGCCCCAGGTGGGCACAGCCGCATCCTTCTCTGCATCACCTCTGTGGTGGGACTAAGTTGTCCTCCCATCAGCTGCAAAGCTGCGTCCCCAGGAGTTGAAGTGACCTGTCTCAGAGGGCTGGAAACTGAGGGGAGGCTGACTGGAGCCCTCTGGTGGTGGCTCCCTCTAGGGCCTGGGCACCCTGACTTAGTGGGGACCCAGGGAGCCACTGCACTGAGGCTGAAGTGGAGCCATGACAGGCTCTACTTTAAGACCAAAACTCAGCAAGCCTAAGTCTCGGTTTCCCCCATCAGAAAGTCCCAGTTTTTCAGAAAACAATATCACGTTGGACAGATAAACTGCCCCGTGGCAGCAGCCTTATCAGAGTAGGGGGCATGGGCAGTGGCACCCAGCCAAGTAGAGAAGGCCTAGGGATGGAGTCATGGGACTGGACAGGGACCAGAATTGGAAACATACTGCCAGTTCCTAGAAAAAAATGCTGTTATGTAACCAAATTCTATATAAGCTGCTTAGAATTCGGAGTTGGAGTTCTTGTCAAGACTCCACTGCGTTGGATGAGACTTGAACCCTAACTCAAGCTAGCAATAAAGGGGCCTTGCGTTTGCATCCTCACATTGGGTCTGGTCAGTGTGCGAGTGAAACTCCCTTCCCGGGATGTAACAGCACACAGCAGAGTGGGGAGCAGTCCTATTCCGTCTCTCTCGCTTCCCAGGGGAGAGGGGCTGGGGAGAGACAGGGCCGCAGTGTGTGCTTGGGGTGCATGAGGCCCACACAGCACCGTGTGCTCCCCTGCATGCCAGACTGGGACCGGCCCCTGAATCCTCCTGCAGAGGAAAGCTCCCGGGTGGGTCATGTTTATCTGGGCGCCACATGAGGAAGGAGCCATGGGACATTTGCCTGGTGCTTGCCGCGGATCCTGACGAGTGCCCGTTTCTCCTGGGAGCAGCGCGGACGCTGCAGGAGGTCTCCCTGCAGGAGTCGATCCGCTATGCTCCTGGTGACGCCGTGGAGAAGTGGCTCAACGACCTGTTGTGCCTGGATTGCCTCAATATCACGCGGATCGTGTCGGGCTGCCCCCTGCCGGAAGCCTGCGAGCTGTATCCTCCCACCTACAGCGGCCCAGAGTGGGATGGGGAAGGGGGAGGGCTCCACGTGGGGAACACCGCTGTCCATCCCCCTGCCTTCTTTCCTCCCTGATGTGATTGTTTCTGCTCAAGACTGCCCAGGCTCCTTCAGCAGCTGCGGGACACCCGCCCCTCCAGGTGACCCTTGGCGGTTGTGCGTCCCTGCCTGGGCTCTCTGTGGCTTGTTTTGGTTGCTTAACTCCAGCTCCAGCTACTATGTGAACAGAGACACCCTCTTCTGCTACCATAAGGCCTCCGAAGTTTTCCTGCAGCGGCTTATGGCCCTCTATGTGGCTTCTCATTACAAGGTAACGCACCGACTGTCAGGTGAACCTCAGCTTTGAATCATCTTTTTTTTTTTTTTTTTTTTTTGGCTTTTTGCCAATGCTCAGGGGTTCCTCCTGGCTCTGCACTCAGGAATTACTCCTGGCGGTGCTCAGGGGACCATATGGGATGCCAGGGATCGAACCCAGGTCGGCTGTGTGCAAGGCAAATGCCCTACCTGCTGTACTGTCGCTCTGGCCCCAGCTTTGGATCTTTTAGTACCTGGTCGTCGGTGACTGTTCTGCTGGACTTGACCGTGTCCCGGTGCGGGTAGGCCCACTGCTCTTCCTGGGGGGCTCGTGTGTCCATCGTCGCTCAGGCCAGTCTTGGCTTCTGGTTTTGCAGGCAGCTGGGTGTTCCTCCCTGGAGTGCCACAGGTGATCAGAGAGGGTGGGAAGCTTTTTGCCTGTTTCCATCGGGGCGCTTCTAACTTCCCAGCTGTCTGCTAGGCTAAGAGGACACAGATGGCGCTTGTTACCCAGAGGTACAGTTGTCCTGCACTCGGCCTCATGCCCCTAGGCTGTTGAAGGAGCAGAGTGTGTACATTTGAGTGTGTTTAGGACCTTTGAGCATCTTAAGAACTAAAGGGCATCTTGGGAAGTACCGTTCTTGGGGGTCTGGGTCGCATGGCATGAACACTCTGTCATGGAAGGCCGGGGAGTTGGAGCTGGAAGTGGGGTCAGGTGTCTGAAGTGGCGTCTCTGAGCAGGAGAGGCTCACCCCTGGGGGTGGGGACCTGGGCTAACACACCTGTGGTGGCAGCTGAAGCGAAGGCCCATCACGGGAGCTGTGATGCAGCGTTTGCTCACCAGAATATTCGGAAAGTTCTTCTTGGATTCAGCCCCCGCCCTGGCCATAGACAAGGTGGCCTTGCAGTCTCGATTTGATTCTGGAGCCAGCTCTGAGGCGGGGTGCAAGGAAGCTGACTGAGAGTGACCACACACCTGTGTTCGTGCCCCCACAGAACTCTCCCAACGACCTCCAGATGCTTTCCGACGCACCTGCCCACCATCTCTTCTGCCTTCTGCCTCCTGTGCCTCCCACCCAGAACTCCCTTCCCGAGGTGCTGGCTGTTGTGCAGGTACGGGCTGGAGGCATCCCCGCGGCGGTGACAGGAACTGCTCACTCAGGAGTGCGTGGGGGACGCTGGGGACTGTGGGCTGGAGCCGAGTGGTCGGGATCTCGAGACCGGTGCTCAGGGGGCCTGGAGGAAATCAGCCCCGCAGCCCACTGCAGGTGGAGGCAGGTGCTGCCCCATCCAGGCTGGACCCAGCACCTCCTGGCACAGGTTCTGAGTCTCTGTCTTTCCTTCGTTACAGAGAGCAGCATGGGGCAGGAACACTGGGGTGATTCTGGAAAACTCTGGAAGAAAGTTTACTTAACCTTCTTGCTCTCTTACTGTGCATAGCCACGGGAGCCCAGTGGATGAGCATCCACTTTTCCTTTCTGCGGTGTCACATACTCATAATGTACCTGGTTGTTTTTTTTGTTTTGTTTGTTTTTTGCTTTTTGGGTCATACCCGGCGATGCTCAGGGGTTGCTCCTGGCGGTGCTCAGGGGACCATATGGAATGCTGGGAATTGAACCCGGGTCGGCCGCATGCAAGGCAAATGCCCTACCCGCTTGTACTATCGCTCCAGCCCATAATGTGCCTCATTTTGAGGACTGCTCTGTGTTTCATTCTGGTTTTGATTTTTTTTTGATGGGAGTGGGGAGGGGGAGCTTTTTGGGTCACACTCACTCTGTGATGCTCAGGGGTTACTCCTGGCTCTGCACTCAGGGATCACTCCTGGCAGTGCTCAGGGAACCATATGGGATTCCGGGAATCCAACCCAGGTCAGCCACGTGCAAGGCAAACACCCTGCCCACTGTATTATTGCTCTGTTTTTGTTTCGGGGTCATGCCAGCAGTGCTCAGAGCTTACTTCTGGGTCTATATTTGGGGATCCATCCTGGAGGGGCTCCGGGGATCCTAGGGGGTGACAGGGATGTCACACCAGGGTGGGCTGTGTGTGAGGAAAACGCCCTGCCAGCTGTGCTGTCACTCAGGCCCCATATTCCATGATGTGCACGAGCCATACTGTGTGCTCTGGCCAGCCTGGCAGACTCGCCTCCTGTATTGGCGGAGTCACCGTCCCTTCTCCCCGACGTCCTTGTGCTTATATGCACAGACACCTCCTCTTGGTGGGCCTGGAGGGAGTCAGGCTGCCTCTGGGGCCTCGTAACAGCCTGTTGAAAGTGGATCAATTGTCCCAGGCAGGATTCTGATGGGGGTTGCGGTGGGAGTGTTTCTTGGACTCTGCGTGTGACCTGGAGCTGGGTTTCATGTCTGTCCCTCAGGTGTGCCTCGAGGGGGAGATTTCTCGCCAGTCCATCCTGAACAGCCTGTCTCGGGGCAAGAAGGCTTCGGGGGATCTGATTCCCTGGACAGTGTCCGAGCAGGTGGGGCACCGTCGGCGGTGGGGCCATGCGGGTGCGGGGGCTGCTTCCTCCCGCTCACTCTCGGGCCTGCGTCTCCCACTGTGCAGTTCCAGGATCCGGACTTCGGCGGCCTTTCTGGGGGACGGGTGGTCCGCATCGCCGTGCACCCGGATTATCAGGGGGTAAGATGTCCCCTGCCTGCCTCCCCTCAGGTGTGCCCGCTGGGGCGTGCACAGTGGACAGGAGGGGAGGCCAGTAGCGGCTCCTTCTTGCTTTGAGAGAGCAGCGGACTCGTGGCCCCTCTTTAAGCCCATTGAGCAGCTGGCTGTGGACATACGACCTGCTGGTACCTGGCCCCATGTGCAGGCGGCTGTCTTTACACCCAGGGTGGCCGGGCCGTGAGCGGGAGACGGGCAAGGGACCTGCTCTGCTAGGGCGTCTCGTCTGTGACCTCTCCAAGTGTCCCCTGAGTTTGGCTCAGTTCCGTCTGACCCAGGGCGAAGGTGTTAAGTCCAGTGGCACGGTGGGCATCGAAGTGGCTGAGACGTGGTCTGTCCCCCTTCTCTGCCCCTCGCAGATGGGCTACGGCAGCCGAGCCCTCCAGCTGCTGCAGATGTATTACGAAGGCCGCTTCCCCTGTCTGGAGGAGAAGGTCCTTGAGGCGCCACAGGAGATCCACACTGTCAGCCAGGAGGTGAGCCTCTCGGGGCCCCTTGTGGGGGTCCGGTCCTGGCCTGCACTCCGGTTTCCGCTCCCTTTCCACATTGCTTTCCTGACATGTGCGGCGGGTCAGCAGCGTGATCCATGCTTGGGAGCCTATGGTGGGGGGTGGGGGGGTGGGGGAGTAGGGGGGTGGGGGGAGGAGTCAATTTTCAGCTCCCGAAGCCCCTCTGATGAGGCTCCGCGTGCCAGGGACCATGGCGGGCATCTCCGCAGAGAGAGCCCTGCGCTGATGTGGCTGCCTGCTGGCCCCGAGGAAAGGCCTTGAGGAGGAGCAGGTGCTGGTGTACTGGCCACAGGGCATCGGCACTGGCCACAGGGTGTCGCCACTGGCTCTGGCGCGGAGGGCCGTGCCTTCTGAGTCCCAGGGCCCCACTCTCAGGCCTGAGACTTCTGGAAGCTGAACCATGTGGCTGTTTGCTGCCGAGCACCGTGACCCATGCCCGCTCGGGGTGGGTCAGTGGGAACCCACAGCTGGACTTGCTGGACTTGCTAAGGTGCCTCGGGCACCCAGGGTAGTGGGTGCGGGGCTGTCACGGCGCCCTCCCACGGTGGCCTCTGCTCTGCCCACGTCCCACCAGGCTGTCGGCTTGCTGGAGGAGGTCGTCACGCCGCGGAAGGACCTGCCACCCTTGCTCCTCAAACTGAACGAGAGACCGGCTGAGCGCCTGGACTACCTGGGCGTGTCCTATGGCCTGACCCCTAGGCTCCTCAAGTAAGGCCCGGTTCGCTTGCCTCACCTGGGCCTGGAGGGGGCCTGTGTCCACTGTCGTCTGTCTGCCAGGTGACCCGCTGTCTCTGTTCTGCTGCAGGTTCTGGAAACGAGCAGGATTCGTGCCTGTCTATCTGAGACAGACTCCGGTAGGTGAAGTCCTGCGCTGAGCTCCGAGCAGGCTCGTTGGTGTTGCGGCCGGCTCCACACACATTCTGCTGGGCCCTCCCTGTGCAGTGCATGCCAGGCCTGCTCACCTGTGGCTGCGGTTTTCCTTTTGTGTTTGGACCACACCCAACAGTGCTCCTGACAGGGCCCAGGGGACCGTATGGGATGTTGAGGATTGAAAGTGGGTTGGCTGCATGCCAGGCAGGAGCCCTAGCTGCTGTGTGAGGGCTCAGGCCCTCAGTAGCTGTTTGCATAGCGAGAAGGACAAACGTTGGATTGGTGCCCCTGGGCGGGCTGAGTGAGGGTGGGTTGGTGGAGGGGATTCGCAGAGAACGGAAGCCAGTCTGGCTCCCCCAGGCCGGAGAACATCATGGACCACCGAGGCCAGGACACACCCATTGTCTGTGCTGTGTGAGGCTCGTTGGGACTTGGTGCTGATGTTTTCTCACACCTTTGTCACACAGCTTTGTCACTCTTTGTCACACCTCTGTCACACGAAGCTCTTTAAAAGTTGGATTTTTTTCTAATTATTTTTATGTTTTTAAAGGTTTGTTTTATTGAACCTCTGTGAGATAGACCCTTACAGAGCTGTTAATGGTTAGGTTTCAGTCCTACAGTGTTCCCACAGCCATCCCTCCACCAGTGGACATTTCCCAGCACCCTGCTGCCCCTCCCAGTTGTTTTGTTCTCTTTCTTCTGCACTCTCTCTGTCTTTCTGTCTCTTGTCTCTCTCTCCCCTCCTCCCCTTCTCTCTGCCCCTCCCCCACTCCCTCCTTCCCGCCTTTTGGGCATTGTGGTTTGCAATACAGATACTGAAAGGTTATTGTGTATGTTCCTTTGCCTCATTTCAACACTCGGTTCTTGTCCAGAGTGATTTTTTTTTTATTTCTTAATTTCTTTTTTTTTGGTTTTGGGCCACACCTGACTCTGCACTTGGAAATTACTCCTGGCAGTGCTTGGGAGACTGTATGGGATGCCAGGGATTAAACCCAGGTTGGCTACATGCAAGGCAAGAACCCACTGTACTATTTCTCCAGCCCCAATTGTCGTATATTTTTATGTTGGATATTTGTGACTGTCTTGTAGATAAAACATTAAAAACCCGAGAGCCATAAAAATGCATAAAAATTGAAATCTGGGAGCCAGAGCCACAGTATAGTGGGAAGGGCATCTGCCTTGCGTGCAGCTCACCCCGGGTTGATCCCTGGTACACCATATGGCCCCCAAGCCCTACCAGAAGTGATTTCCATCTTTGGCGTAGAGCCAAAATAAGCCCTGAGCACAGCCAGGTGCGCCTCCCTCCCTCACAAAACAAGAACAACATGGAAACATTAAACACAATCCATAAACCTGAACCTGGGGCCTGAGTAATAGTATGGCAGCTAGGGCGTTTGCCTTGCAAGCGGCCAACCTGAGTTCAATCCCCAGCATCCCATATGGCCCCTCAAGCACTGCTAATTCCTGAGCGCAGAGCCAGGAGTAACCCATGAGCATCTTTGGATACGACCTCCCTCCCCTACCCCCCCAAATAATCTCTGAATCCAGAAAGGAGAATCAGGGACCCTGGCAGCTTGCTACCCAAGGGGTCTTCCCAGGCTGTGGCGCTGGAAATGGGGCCACGTGAGGTCCCATCCCGTGTGGTCTCCCAAAGCACTGCCAGCAGTAATTTCTGAGTGCTCTAGTGCACACACCTGTGTGGCCCAAAAAACAAAAGAACAAAATTATGGATAAAAAAATTCACTCTGGACAAGAACCGAGTGTTAAATTTGGTAAAGGGCTATACACCTGGGGGAGGAGAAAAGGCCCTGGCTGTGCCCGGCCTTCCTGCTGCTCTCGCTGGCCTGGGTGCTAGCACTGACCCGTTTCTCCCAGAACGACCTGACGGGGGAGCACTCATGTATCATGCTAAAGACGCTGGGCGAAGAGGAGGCAGCTGACCAGGCCTCCTGGCTCGGGGCCTTTTGGAAAGGTGGGTCGGCACGGATGGGAAGTGGCGAGGGGTTTGGGGGACCTTCCGGAGTGCTGACCCTCTTACTGCATCCCCCAGATTTCCGGAGACGCTTCCTGGCCTTGCTGTCCTATCAGTTCAGCACCTTCGCTCCTCCCCTGGCTCTGAACATCATTCAGAACAGGAACATCAGGAAGCTGGAACAGCCCGGTGAGCGGGGACAGGGCTTGGGGCCCGGGCTGTTGGTGGGACCTGGGGGGCAAGGAGGAGGCAGGCCGCCAGGCCTCTACCCCCCACCACCTCGCCCGTGTGTGTGTGTAGGGGGGCTCCTCTCTGCCCCATCACGCTCGGCCCCTTTCATCTTCCCCACCAGTCCTGGGGGTGGGGGGAGGCAGGTGGTCAGTGTCAGACCAGGTCACAGAGCTCCTTAATGATGACCGGGATCCTGGAGCCCCTCATTAGTGAACTGGGGTGTTGCTGACGGGCTTTGGCCTGGCCAGCGTGATTGGGGCTGTGAATCCTCTGTGACTGTTTCAAATGCGAAAACGTGGGCAGGATTGTGGATGCCCATGACTGGGGGCAGTGGGGGTGGGCTTCTCTGGTGGGAGGCTTCCCTGCTGCTCTTTGTACAGCGGGAACATCTCTTCTCCCTCATTTCCCCGGGAGAGGTAAGGCCCCGTCTCTGGATTGGGCTGAGCAAACCTGTTTGCCTCTCAGGGTAGCTGGGTCACAAGAAGTCCCAGCGGGGATGGGATGGAGTGTCAGGGGGTTCTTCCCTTTGGGGCTCAGTGGCCCCCTCCTTGGCCTGGTGTGTTGGCTCTGGGCGGGGGAGGGAGAGGGTCGCCCCCTCAGGCCTGTAGAGACACTTGTGTCTCTGACCGCTGGGCTCTGTGGCATTGCAGTGCTGCGCCGGGATGAGCTGGAGGCCCTGTTCCTCCCCTACGACCTGAAGCGGCTGGAGATGTACTCGCAGAACATGGTGGACTACCACCTCATCATGGACATGATCCCCGCCATCTCCCGCCTGTACTTCCTCAACCAGCTGGGGGACCTGGCCCTGTCTGCGGCCCAGTCCGTAGGTGGCCGCCTGCTTCGCGTGTCCTGGGAAAGAAAAGGGGCAGGGGCGGGCAACCACTTTTTCAGGTGGGACTCACGAAGCAGTCAGGCTCCGGGGGGCAGGCGGAGGCCGCTGGGCCAGAAGCCAGGGCTGTGGCAGCCATGGATCCCACTCCCCCCCCCCCCATCCCTCCCCCAGTGGAGGTCGGGGCGCACCTTGTGCTTGAGTGGCCGAGAGGCAGGGGGTTGGGGGGGTCGAGAAAGAGGGAGAGCTCGTTGGCGGCTTTAGGAACAGGACGCAGGAGCCCAGGATAGACAGTGTTGGACTGCAGGTCCTGCGCCGGCTCCCGGGGCCCTTTTCACGGGTGCAGACCTGCTCCCTGGGGGCAGCTCCTGCAGACACTTCATCCTCCAGGCTCTTCTGCTGGGCATCGGCCTGCAGCATAAATCCGTGGACCAGCTGGAGAAGGAGATCGAGCTGCCGTCGGGCCAGCTGATGGGCCTTTTCAACCGCATCATCCGCAAAGTGGTGAAGGTAAAGCTCGGCCCCGAGGCGGGTAGATGGTCACGTGTGATACACGTGTGTGACTGACAGGCACACGGTGTCTGTTGATCCCTGCTCGGGATATTTGCTGCCTGAGACCCACATGAATTCACCCCGTGAATCTCACATCTGCACCGTGTTTCTCTCTCTCTCCCCCCATCCCCACCCCCTCTCTTCCTCTCCTGTTGTGCTTTGTAGCTATTTAATGAGGTACAGGAAAAGGCTATTGAGGCACAGATGGTGGCAGTGAAGGATGTGGTCATGGAGCCCACTATTAAGACCCTGAGTGATGATCTGGTACGTACCTGCCCATCCCGGGAGAATGAAGTGCCCTCTTTCTCACCCATGCTGGTGCTCCTTGTGTCCCTCTCTGCCGGGCCCTTTCCCCCATCCGTGCGCCTGCCACTGAGGCCGTGCATCTGCATTTCTGGATGCTTCCTTTGCTCCTTTGGCTCCCTATTGGTGGAGTTGCCTTCAGTGGTTGCCTCAGGAAAAGGAGGCGTCTCCCCGTGGGATCTTGCTCGTCCCTGTCCTCTGCTGGCCTCTTCTGGCGGCCTGTGCCCGGCTTCACTCTGCCCTCCTCTGCCTTCAGGATGAAGCGGCCAAGGAGTTCCAGGAGAAACACAAGATAGAAGTGGGGAAGCTGAAGGGCCTGGACCTCTCGCAGTAAGCCTGCTTGTTTGGGGGCCACATCTGGCTGTGCTTCAGGCTTCCTCCTGGCTCAGCACTCATGACTCACACCTGGTGGTGCTCAGCCGACTGCAGGGGGTGCCAGGAATTGGGCCCAGGCTGACCACATGCCAGCCAAGCGCCCTGTCTGCTGTCCCCTCTTGCTCTGGTCCCAGCATTGTATTTTTGAAGCAAGGATTGTAGTACTGGAAAAATCAACCCAGCGAACACCTTGCTTGGGACCCTCTGGGAACGAGGACTCTTAGGCCCCTTTGTGTTGAACTCGATTGGCTTTGATGTAAATCACTTCAGAATTGGGGGCCAGAGAGATGGCTCAGTGGGCAGAGCTCCTGCTTTGCATGCAAGAGGCCAGTTTGAATTTCGGTTCTCTTGACTACCACCTAGAGTTAGCCTGAGCACTGCCCTGCCAAGTATAGCTCCCCCTCTAAAAACCAAAAACCCTAAAAAACCCAAAATCACTGCTGTCTGAGCTCTGTGAGTTACTATGGGACCATTAGTGATGTTGGCTGCGGGAGGCAGCTAGAAACTCGGGCCAGTCTCCGGCTCTGCTGTCAGCTTTCAGCGGCAAACCTGGGCCTTGCCAGGATTCCTGGATATCATGAGGAGGCCAAGGTGTGTGGTTAGGGGCCTGGTTCTAGGGCTTTGGGTCTCCTGCCCAGAGGTAGGAGACATCAGAGGGGTGGAGCTGCTGCATCTTAGGATGCCGGGTGATGCCAGGTGGTGCCCGTGGCCTTCCTCACGGTGGGAAGTTCTGTCCGGTAGAGCCCAGCTGTGTCTCCGCCGTGTTTTCTTTATGTGGTTCCATGTAGAATGCGACTTGTTAGTCCTGGTTGTTTTCTCTTGGGATTCTTTTACCACAGTCTTGGATAATGCCTGTCCTCTTTTTTTTTTTTTTTTAAAGATATATAATTCGTGGTGACGATGAAGAGTGGAATGAAGTATTAAACAAAGCTGGACAGAATGCTTCCATCGTCACCCTCAAAAGGTGAGGGGCTTGTGTGTGCGAGACAGGGAAGGGGCTCTGGCCTCTCTCCAGACTCCTGAAGGGCTCTCGGGGTAAGGGGCTAAGGAGGGAGGGGGAGAGGGAGAGGAAGAGGGAGAGGGAGAGGGGAGAGAGAGAGAGAAGAGGGAAGAGGCAGGCATCCCAGGGGGAGGGGGGACAGAATGAGCTTTCGTGAGAGGCACCTGGGCCGTGCCATGCGCGTCCCTGGGGCTCTGCCTTCCCTGGGCTCCCAGAATGTGTGGAACCTGGGCCTGAGCACAGCCAAGCTGCCCTGGACCACGCTGTCCCGCGTCCTCAGCAACCCCGGGGGCTGCTCACTGGCCTTCACTGCTGTGAAGCTGAGGTAATGAGGCGCCAAGGGCGTAAATAAGTTTCCCCTTAGCACAGAGCTAGTAAGAGGCAGAATTGGGCCCGAGAGATGGTCCAGTGGGTGGGGTACTTGCTGGGCCGGGCTGGGCCAGGCCAGGCCAGGCCAGGCTGGGCCTGGAGAGCAGCAGGTGAGGGCCGCGTGCCTGCGCAGCGCAGCAGGGCAAGGCGCGCCCGTGAGCTAGAGCTCTGAGTATTCCCTTCTCCCTGCTTCAGCGATAAGAAAAGGAAGTTGGAGGCCAAAACTGAACCCAAACAGAACAAGAAACCAAAGAAAAACAGAGATGCAAAGAACAGAAAAGATACAAAACTGAAGCGGAAGAAGTAGCGGCGATGCAGGGTCCTGGCGGGCAGCTTGTGAGGAGCCGGGACTCGCACTGCCCCGGCCGAGCTGGGTGGAGACCTGCACTGCGGGAACCTCGCCAGCCTGTCACACTCAGGCCGCCAGACACCGCCTGTGGCCACGCTCAGTTTCAGAGCCGTCTGCTGTGGACTGACATGTGGGCCTGCGGGGGTCCATCTCCAGCCCAGACTGCGGGGTCCTCACACACCAGCTCTGTCCCTTCTCAGGTCTTTGCTCCCCGGCTTTTGGACCCCACTTGGGAGGCTCCGATGGGCCCTATCCAGCACAGTGCCTGGGTCAGCCGACAGACAACCACGCCCGCCTCCTTGCAGGCCTGCTGCCTGCGGACACAGAAAACCCTCACCTGGGTCCAGGCAGGACACGGTGGGACTCATGGTTCGTCCGGTCCTAGGACAAAAGGATGGGAAGGGCCAGTCTGTTAGCTCGGATCAAGGAGGGCTCGATGCTATTTTTAATAAATAACCTAGAAAGACCAGTGGCCGTGGCTGCTCACTGCCCCCAGCCCTGGGGGGCACGAGTCCCCACCCAGTTTCTCCTGGAATGGGGGAACTGAGTGTCAGGGCGGGCAGTGTGGCACAGACTCCCCCGCCAGGACCATGCTGGCGCTGAGTGCGTGCTGTGAGGACCCGGCGTTGGCAGGGCGGTAGCCTGCATCTGCCCTTGACTAGGCCCTCTAACCTGCCCTCAGGCCCTCTCCAGGACTGCCTGGCTTGGCCCCTGGGGTCCTCCAGGGAGCACCAGCACAGCCCCTCGTGCTCGCTGCCCACCTGCCCACCTGCCCGCAGCCTCATGATCTCACAGGGCAGCCCAGCAGCTGAACCCCCGGTGCTTTGGAGACCTCTCGGAGGCCTGGGGGCTCTCGAGGCCCCTGTGCTGTCTGGTTCGTGGGAGTCCGACAGGAGGATGGGGAGAAGGGGCCCTGAAGTGCAGAGAGGGTCCAACAGGCCTCTGGCAGCCAACGTGGGGTGCAGCTTCCCCACTCTGCTTCCTGTGCTGAGGGCTGGAGTGAGCTCACCCACAGGCTTGGCATGGCAGGAGGCTAGGCTGGAGCGCTGGCACCGCCCCTGGTCCCTGAGCATTGCCGGGTCTGGGCCCAGAACCACACAGGACAGTCGACTCAGGAGAGGTGACAGTGTCTGGTCTCTGGGGCTCTCTGAGCCTCCTTTTCAAAGGGGTTTCCTTAGAGTGGAGGAAAAAAAAAATCCAGAAACGCCTCCCAGGTGTTCGGAAGTGGATGGTATCCGGATCGTTTCTGCAGAGACTGCAGGTATGGAAGTGATTTCCTGGCCGACCGCTCTGCTCCACTGTGACCCTTCCCCAGGCCACACATAATGGAGGGCCACAGTGGTTGGCCCCTTCCCCTGGCCCCAAGGAAGGGCTCGATGGTGCTCCTGGGGTTCTGGGGAACTCTGTGCCTCATGGTTGTACTTTCCAATTCCCCCAACCCTAAAGACCCTGGCTCCCCCACACCCCGCCATCCGGCCCCTGGTCAGTGACATCCGTACACGTGAGCGAGATGCATTCAGACAGGCCAGCTAGGAGTGCTGTCACCCGATGACGACCGGTTGAAGAAACAGAGACAAAGAAGGTTCCTGAGGGCTGTCTCCAGCCCTCGGAGCTGGGAGGGGCTTGATGCTGGCTGGCTCAGTCCCCGCGGACACAAAGGGGCTGCTGAGGCAGCTGGGGGGAGGGGACAGCGCACGTGACGGGTCACCTTCTCTGGCTCATTATCTGAGGAGGGGCCGAGTGGCCCCCTGCGGCCTGAATGGTGGAGGGAGGGTTGCTTACTTGAGAGTGCGCTGGGGGGGGGGGGGGGCGGGGAGGGGGTGTCTCCTTAATGCAAAGAGCTGTTTAGAGGGGTCCCCCGGGGATTCGTTTGGTCTCTGCGGCAGCAGAGCTGGGGCTGTGTTGCAGTGGAGGGCTTTGTGGATGACGGGGCTGGCCGGAAGGGAAGGGGAGCCTGGAGGACCAAGAGAACCACTGACTTGACCCCCCTACCGTGCACCCTCCCACCCAGGGGCTTCCATCAGAGTCGAGAGCGGGCATCAGCTGCAGGCACGCCCCAGTCTCCCTTCCAGGAGTCCAGCACCTCCACTCCCCCTGAGCCTAGTCCCCAGGGGCACTGGCTTCCTGTTGTGCTCTCAGGGTTCACTCAGGGCTTTATCGGGCGCCCTGAAAGGAGTCTGGCAGATAGCAAGTGGCGGGAGCCCCTTGTTTGCATGTGAGGGATCCGGGCTTCACCCCCAGGACCACATGGTTCCTCGAGCACCTCCAGGTGAGTCCCAGCAACCAAACCAAAAAAGAGCTGGAGTGCGGTCCTGCTGTGCCTAGGCTGGGGGTGGGGCCTCCCATCTTTCCCAGAGGGGAACACACTGGCCGGAGCGATAGTACAGCAGGTTGGGAGCTTGCCTTGCACACGGCCGACCTGAGTTCAATCCCCGGCAGCCCATATGGTTCCCTGAGCAAAGCCACGAGTAATTCCTGAGTGCAGAGTCAGGAGTAACCCCTGAGCATGGCCGGGTGTGACCCAAAATGCCAAATAAAGGGGAGCAGCTGCTGTGTGGGAAGGGAGGTGTTGGCCTGGGTCACGGGCACCAACAGCCACGAGCCTCCAGCCAGTTTGGGAACTTATTTTTGGTCTGGTTGGCTGGTCAGAGGGCTTGAGAAGGGTCACGGCTAAGTACTGGTGGGTGGTGGGGGCACCTCTGGAGGGCGGAACCTCATCTGGATGGTGCCCTGGGTGCCCCTCGCCCTGGCGGCCCCCAGAGGGCGCCGTGCATCCGCACTGGGCCTCAGGCTGGCCTGTGGGCCCTGGGCTCCGCCCTGCGAAAGCAAACACTGGGCCTTCACTGACCCGGGAGGTTTTCTGTGGGCTAAAGAACTCAGCCAGTCTGGAGGACGAGAGGCTCAGGGTTCTAAGACCGGCTACAAGGGAGCCTGTTCACGTCACCCGTCCCCTCAGAGGCGCTAGCTTCTCCCTGCACTTACCCAGGGATGCATCCAGGCTCAGGTCCTGGGAGAAGGGAGAGTGGCGGGGGGGGGGGGGGGGGGGGGGGGTTGTGGAACAACGTGTGTGTGTGTGTGTGTGTGTGTGTGTGTGTGTGTGTGTGTGTGTGTGTGTCACAGCCGGCAGACGGAGCCCCGGAGTTCCGAGGGGCTGGATTCTCTCCCCAGCCCTAAACAGGCACCTCCCGGCCTCAACCCTTGAAGCCTGGAGCCGAGGCTGATTGTTAACAAGTGTTTATTGTTAATAAAATCATGATACATTTACAGTGACCACATTAATGTATAGTTACAGTATCATACAATATTACAGCAATAAAATAATGCCTGTTCTTTTGTACATCCAGCTCCAGCAGTCAAAAATATTTTCCAGGATTGAAAGCCCCAGGGTTTTGTTTGTTTGTTTGTTTTTTAAGGTGATCTGAGTGACACCTCTGAGTCCCTGGGGCTTTGGGGGGAATAAATAGTTTCTAAGGTGCGGCCAGATGGCTGAAGAAGGCTGCACCCCAAGCAATCTGCCCAGGGTGCCCCCCCAGGCTCTGGCCCATAAATACAAGCGACCAGGCCCTAGGCTGCATGAAGGCGGGGCTGGGGGGGTGGGATGGGGCAAAGGGGTGGGTTCTCTCCAATGGAGACAGAAGGACCCGGGCGGGGGTCACTAAGGGCATTAAGGGGCAGCCTGCGCCTGGAGGGTTCAGCCTTAGCCTCTTTGGCCTCTAAGATCAGCAGCAACAACAGAAGCTGCTCCCCCAGCCCCACTCAGCTGCTGCTCCGCAGGAGCAGGGAAGGGTGTGGGGGGAGCCTGTGGGGAGCACCGCCCACAGCTCAGCCGCTCTGGGCACACGGGGGGGCGGAGGGTGAGGTCGCCCACCGTGACAGGAGAGCTCGGAGCACAGCCGCCACCCCAGACCGTGAAGACGGGATGCAGGGGGACAGCACCCCACGAGCCGGCCTGGGGCTGGGGGTGCGTGCACGGGCGCTCACACGCGGGAGGTGACGTAGACCGAGTGCAGGCGCGCGGCCAGGGTGCTCTGCAGCTCGTGCAGGGGGTCCAGGCCCTGCACCTTGCTGCTGCGGCCGTAGATGAGCTGTCGGAAGCAGTCCTGCTCGAGCAGCGCCTTCATGTGCTTCAGGAAGAAACCCTCGCAGAACAGGGCCAGCTCCGGGGCGTTGTGTATCTGTGGGGAAAGGGAGGCAGGTATCTGTGAGACCATAGCCCAGGGCCAAGGTCAGCCTCCACAGAGAGGAGTTCCGGGGGTGGGGGTGGGTGGGGGAGGATTCCCGGGGCTCACAGCTGCCCGGAGAGGTCAGCTCCCAAAGGATGCCCGGGCTCAGTGGAGGTCCATCCCTCAGCGCCCCCCCCTTGCCCCCAGCCGAGCCCGCATGGACCCGGGCCTCACCTTGGCATACTTGTAGGTGTTCACGGCGCTCTCCACGCTGAGCGTCTGCGAGCAGAGGATCTCACAGTGCCTCTGCAGCGCGTCCAGCTGGAACAGGCTGGCCGCCGACAGCAGCTGCAGGGAGGCAGAGTGGGACTTGGGTTGACTCAGTCAGGCTTCTGGAAACACACCCCGGGGACCCAACCCGGGACTGGGCGCAGAGGGGGCTCACGGGCATTTTGTGTCTCTTGGTGGTGTAGTGGTGAATACTGCTGCCTGCCTTCCACCCAGGGGGCGCTTTGGGGGTGGGCGAGGGTGAAGGGGGAGGCAGAAACTGAGTAGAAGAAGTGCTCAATTAACATATGCAGTGCTGGGGATGGAGTCAGGGTGGCTGTGTGTGAGACAAGCGCTTTAGCCCAACAGTAAAAGGCTTCTGAATGCACAATGACCAAAGCCGAATTCACAATCAACTTGTCTTGTGTCCCTGGCGTCCCTGGCAGCATGATCTGTGCAGCATTTCCTGGGGAAGGGGTTCTGGAGTGGGGAAGGGTCGGGAGGTGCTGTACCCACAGGCCTGCCAGCCAGCAGGCGGGCTCAGCCCGTGTCTCCCAGCCTCCGGCTCCTCACCCCCATGGGCATCCTTCTCATCCCTGGCCAGCCCCAGGAAGCTAGGTTTGTGGGCACACAAGCTTCTGATCTCCGGGGAAGGACCCCTGGGGCACCAGGAGGTCCCCATCTAACAGCTCCCCTCCCCTGCTGAAGGGTCCAGTGGGGAGACCAGCAGGGGGCAGCTCCTCACCTCCAGGATGTCCGCTGTGGGGATTTCCATGGACTCTGTGCCCCCATAGTACAGGTACCGCATCATCATCTGCAGGGGGAAGAGTCCCGAGTGAGCCCCTGTGGGGTCTGGAGCCCAGCCAAGCCCTTATTCCTCTGCCGGCTCAGGTCTGCACACATCACCGCCCTCACCCCCTGCAAACCCAAGGCTTACTCTGATAAACTCCCTTCTGGGACAGGAGTGGGGCCACCAGGGTTCGTGCACACTGCCCCACACCCCCCCCACCCACCCACTGTGTATGCACAGGGAGGCACGTGGCCCAGCTCCCAGGGCACAGCCTTGGGGGTACGCTAGGTCCCCGCGCTCCCTTGCCCCTGGCTGGCTGGCCAGGCTCTCCAATGCCTGCCTCGGCTCAGAACCGGTGCTGGGGCTGCCCTCGCTCTGGAGAAGGCAGTGGCCGCAGGTCACCCCAGCTTGTCTGAGCTGGGAGCATGAAGTGGGCGCAGGTGTCAAAGTCTTAGGCCGGCTACATGCAGGGGCTGCGTTTACTTTGCGGAGGTCTAATTTACAAGTTCTACCATCATGCTGGACCCTGGGAGGTTCCCAGCAGCAAAGAGAAAAAAAAACTGATCTCTCTGGTTGGCCAAAGAGACGGCAGCAGCAAGGGAGTTGGTAAGTGCGTGAGTCAACATGGCCTGGCCAGGAAGGGGCTCCTGAGGATCTGGGGAAGCCAGAGAGATGGCCCAGACAGTCCGGGGCAGACCCAGTGCTGAGGCTAAGAGGATCAGGAGTGCCAGGGGCTGGTTTGCCCGCTTCAGTCTGCCCGTTTGAGCCCTCAGGCAGTGTGGGCCTTGACCAATCCCCTGGCCGGTTTCCACCACTGTCCCCTGCCCATTGCCAAGGACATCCGCATGGCTGGCCTGTGACCCACAGGCAGAAGAGGAGTTGGGGCCTGTGCTGACCTGGCACCTCTGGAGCTGGCTTTGGGAGGGCTCAGCCATATATGATGGAAGTCCCCAGAGCACTTGAGGGTGTGTGTGTGTGTGTGTGTGTGTGTGTGTGTGTGTCGTGGTCCACAGAGCACCAGCAGAGGCCAGGGTGATAGCACAGCAGGCATTTGCTGGGCCCACGGCCAACCCAAGCTGAATCCCCAACATCCCATATGGTCCCCTGAGCACCTCCAGAAGTGATTCCTGAGTGCAGAGTCTGGAGTAAGCCCTGAGCACTTTGGTGGTGAGCTAGAACCAAAAACCAGCAAAACAAAACAAAACCAAAACAAAAAACCCCAAAACAAGGGAAGAAAGAAAAAAGAAGAAAAGGAAAAATAGGGGCTAGGGCTAGGAGATCCGGTCAATGGCTGGTGGGGAGCAAAGGGCAGTTAGGATAGAGAAGGGACCAGTATAACAATAATAGCTGGAAACAACAATTTGGACAGGAAGAAAGTCGGAAAAGGAATATACCTGATAAGCCTCCAGTATCTGTATTGCAAATCATAAAGCCCAAGAGGAAAAGAGGGAGGGGGAGAGGGGGGGAAGGAAAAGGAGAGGAGGAAAGTGCCTGCCACAGGGGTGGGGGTGGGGTGGGAAGGAAACCGGGGACATTGGTGCTGGGAAATATATACTGGTGAAGGGACATTATGTGACTGAAATCAGGAACAACTTTGTAACTGTGTATCTCACTGTGATTTATACTTAAAAAATAGTGTACACACACACACACACACACACATATAAAATAATAATAAAATAATATATAACCAAAAAAAAAGTTTTCTGTCCTTTGGATAGAGGGTAAGAAATAAATCCATGCTTTCTTAGTCTTTTGTTGGCTTCTCTTTGCTAAGCAATAAAATTGGAAAGTCTAAAAAAACAGAAGACAAAGAAGCAGAAGCAGAGCTCTGTGGAGTCTGACAGAGTGAGCTGAGCAACCTCAGGCTGGAAGCCCCCAGCAAGCCCCCCCAGCCCCCAAGCCTGCGTCTCCTGAGTCAGCAGCCCCTTGGGCCTGCAGGCGGTGCTCAGGACCCTCTGAGTTGCAGCCTGGAGGAGCGGGCCTGGCCACAGTGGAAGCAGTTTTCTGTAGTTGTGGGTGCAGCCCAGGTAGACAGGATGGCAAGAGCTGTCTCTCTGAGGCTTGTGGGGTCGGGCTGCCCTGAACCCCCCAGGGGGGCTTGGAAGGAGTTGAAATGTGGCCAATGTTGCAATGGGCAACAGCACATGCCTCAGAGATGGAGGCCCCTGGTTTGATCCCCAAAGAACACCAGCAAAGTGGTGTTCAAAATGAAGACCTACAGTACGAAAGACCTGGGATATGGAGAACAGTCGGAAACTAAAGCACACACACACACACACACACACACACACACACACACACACACACAAGGAAACTAAAGCACACAGATGTGTGAAAGTGCTTCCGTTGCTTGGTTGAGGAAACAATACTCTTTTGACTATGATGTATTAAAAATCAGTTAATGGGCTAATGAGTGCATACAAAATCAGTTCCAGGGGCTGGAGGGTTAGTACAGTGGGTAGGGTGTTTGCCTTGCATGCAGCCAACCCGGGTTCGACGCCCAGCATCCCATATGGTCCCCTGAGCACCGCCAGGAGTGATTCCTGAGTACAGAGTCAGGAGTAACCCCCTGAGACCGCTGGGAATGGCCCCCCCCTCCAAAAAAAATCAGTTCCACTTCTTCGGTTTTACTTCTTGGTGCCAGCTGGGAAGGAGAAGCAGCCATGTAGCCGGCCTGCACCATGGACAGCCCAGCCTGACCCTGCCCGTGGGCCTTAGTTTTCTGTTCTAGAAAGCCAACAGCAGCCGGGCCCCGTCCCCTCTCAGTGCTGGGGGCACAGGGATGCACTGGGGGCTAAGAAGTGGCCTCTGCCAGCCCCCGCGGAGCCCAGGAAGCAGGCGAGACCATAGAAAGGGGCCCTCCAGCCTGGTTCCATTCTGTGCCCAGATGACACCAGGCCAGGCCTGGGTTTGCTGTGGAGGTCCACGGGTGCTGTAGGGGTCACTGCCGCAGCCGTTGTGCTTACCCACGTGTCCTCAGTGCTGGGCTTGGGGCTCAGACACGCAAGGCACCAGAGAGTTCCCCACCATGTCAGGAGGGAGGGACGTGAGCAACAGGGGAGAGAGCCAGCCTGGCCCTCACCCCCACCCTCCTGTACCCACTCCCCCCCCCCCACTCACCTTCCCTCTGCTGGAGCCCTCCCGCAACTGTCAGGGCCCCCTAAGCCCATGGCTTCTCCGGAGGGTGCTTTGGAAATGCAGTCCTGCCCGTCTGCTCCCAGAGGCCTGGGGTTGGGTCCTGGCTCCAGCCCATCCCTGCAGTGTGACCTCTCTGCCCAGGGCGAGGGGTATGAGGGACCCCCACACGCACCTCGAAAATGTGGTACTTCATGTCGCTGATCTCAATGGTGTTGCTGCTCTCACCATCCGGCTCCGGTTTGTTGGTCATCAGCGTCTTGAACCTGCAGCAGAGGGGGCAGGTGGGGCCTGAGGGGAGTGCTAGCGGCCCGCTGACTGCTTTGAGGCACAGGCATTTTTTTTAAAAAAAATATTTATTTGTTTATTTTGCATTTTGGGTCACACTCAGCGATGCTCAGGGGTTACTCCTGGCTCTGCACTCAGGAATTACTCCCGGTGGTGCTTGGGAGACTATATGGGATGCTGGGAATTGAACCTACATCTGTTGCGTGCAAGGCAAATGCCCTACCTGCTGTGCTGTCACTCCGGCCCGGGGCACTCCGGGCATTTCAAAGTGACTGTGAGGGATATATTACAGTGTCCAGGCTCACCCCATCCCTGCTGTTCCCTTTACTTTTTTTGGGGAGGGGGGGGAGCCACTCCCTGCAGTGCTCAGGGCCCACTCCTGGCTCTGTGCTCAGGATCACTGCTGAATAGGCTCGGGGGGCCCTATGGGAAGCCGGGGATAGAATCGGGGTCATCTGCGTGCAAGGCAAACACCCTACCCACTGTGCTATCACTCCCCAGACAGGACGGATATGTTCTCTGGGGCCCTCCTGTCCGTCTGTCTGCCCCTGCTGCTCCTCTCCAGGGACCCCCGGTCCCCACCTGTTGGAAGCCGTCACCAGCAGGACTTTGTGAGCGTAGAATAACCTCCCCTCCACCAGGAAGGTCACGTCCGACATCTCCTTGTTGTTCAGGAAGTGAGGATCTGGGTGGGACGGAGAGGACACATGACTAGGATTCAGGGTCTTTCTTGGCATCAGAGGGGCTGGTGGACTCCCGGGTGAAGGGGAGAGGGGTGGGGGGCCGGAGAGGAGAGGGGCACAAGGGGCAGGAGCTGGGTGGCCGGGGCGGCGGTCTTCACCTAGTCTGGCCGGCAGCGTCTTGCGGAGCTCGGGGATGCTGGGGATGGGGCCACTGCCGTAGCACTGCGTGAAGACGGCGGCCAGCTGCTGCGTGATGGAGTCATTCTGTGGGGCAGAGGCAGAGTGTGGGGGGTTCACAGCTGCAGGCACGGGGGGTGCCTTTCAAAAGGCGGGGTCAGGACTCGGGCGCCCTGTCTGCAGTGCCTCCCAGGTCTGACTTGGCAAGAGACACCTGCACCCTCCTTGATGACGCCCCTCATGACTTTTCTGGCCAGAATCAGGCACCGACAAACCCCCACCACTGGCCCTCAGCAGCTGGGCAGTAGAAGCGGGGAGTGGGTGGGCACCCTGAGTGGGTGTGAGAATATGTACATGTGTGAATGTGTATGTGAGTGTGTTTGTAAGTGTGTATGACTGAGCATGTTTGAGTGTTTGTGTATGCATGAATCTGTGTGAGTGTGTGCATGCGTGTGAATGAGTATGTTTATAAGTGTACATGACTGAGTATGTGTGTTTGTGCGTGCTGAGGTTGTGTGAGAGTATGTGCATGTGTGAGTGTGCATGTGAATGTATTTATAAGTGTATATGACTGAGTATGTTTGAGTGTATGTGCATAAATCTGGGTGAGTGTGCGCATGTGTGTGAGTATGTGTTTGTAAGTACATGACTGTGTGCATGAATTTGTGTGAGAGTATGAACACGTGTGAGTGTGTATGTGTCTGTGAGTGTGAGTGTTTATGTGAGTGTTTATAAGTGTATATGACTGAGGATGTTTGAGTGTTTGTGTGTGCATGAGCCTGTGTGACAGTGTGTGCATGTGTGTGAGTGTGTATGTGAGTGTGAGTGCATATAAGTGTGGATGACTATATTTGAGTGTGTGCATAAACGTGTGAGAGCATGTGCATGTATGTGAGTATTTATAAGTGTGTGGCTGTGTGTGTAACTGGGTGTGTGCATGGTCTGTGTGAGAGCATGTGTGTGTGTTTATAAGTGTGTATGACAGTGTGTGTAAGTCTCTGTGAGAGTATGTGCATGTGTGAGAGTGTATGTGAGTGTTATACATGTATATGAGTGTGTTTGAGTGTGTGCATGAATCTGTGTGAGTCTGTGTGTATATGAGTGTTTATAAGTGTGTGACTGTGTGTAACTGAGAGTGTGTATGTGCATGATTGTGTGAGTGTGTGTTTAATAGTGTGTATGACTGTGACTATGTTTGCATGAGTTTGTGTGAGAGTATGTGCATGAGTGTGAGTGTTTGAGTGTATGTGTGGGATTCTTGAGAGTATGTGTTTGAATGTGTGTGTGTGATTCGTGTATTTGTGTGTGTGTGAGTGTGGGTGGGCGAACGCCTGCCACCTTTCTGTGCCCGCGTGTGTCAGCTCCAGCCTGCTCTAGGGCACCGAGGTTCCCTGCGGGAGCAGGCGCCGCCCACCTTGCTGGTCTTGAGGATGTCGAAGAGCAGCTGCAGGCCCTCGGTGACCAGCTCCTCGTTGTACTCCTCCTCCCGGATGGAACTGAAGTCCCGCAGGAGACTCTGCATCACAGAGTTCCTTGACTGTGAGAGGGACGTGCGCAGGGACTCGATCCACACGTGCAGCTTCCAGGGGACCCCTGTGTCACGGGGAGGCAGGAGTCAGCACGGCGTGCAGGCGTCAGCACGGCGTGCAGCTAGGGAATGGGTAGGGACCTCCAGGGAAGGGAATGGTGTGGCCTGGTGGCCTGGGGCATCCATCCTGCACTGCTGGGGGCCCTGCAACCACTCATTGAGGAGGACCCACTAACTGGGATGAGTGGCTAGGTGGAGCCAGGAACCCAGAAAACAGAAGGGTGGTCTGGACAATAGCCCCACACCCATCCAATCAGCACCTGGGGCATAAAAAGAGGGTTCAATTGCTTCCTGTTCGGTCCAAGGGGCCAGAGAGTAACTGATACAGCTATGAAGGTCAGAACAAAAACCAGTGATGCCGTGGGTCATGAGAGCTGCCCAGACCCGCCTCTCTGCAGCTGGGAAGTGGCTCGGTGGCCATGGTGCCAGGATGGAAGGACACAGTAGATGCTGTCCACCTGGGTTCTGACGGGAGGAGGTGATGGTACCCCAGGACGCAGCTGATAAGGCCTCCCTCTGGGGTTCGCGTGGGGGCCCTGGGACTCAGAATTGACTCCTTTTATGGCCTTCTCCTCGTGACCTCACACTGTGGGCAATGACTGTCTCTCTGAGAGTCTAATTGTCTATCTGATGGTCTGTGTCTAGCTGACTGTGTGTCTTCTGACTTTCTGTTTGACTGTCGGGTTTTCTTCTCGAGTCTCTGTCTGATTGTCTAATTGCCTGCCTGATGGTTTGCCTGTTTGTCTATAGGACCAGCTGTCTTCTGTCTGTTGAATTGTCTATCTGATGGTTTGTCTGTCTATCTGACGAGCTGTCTTCTGAGTGTCTAATTGTCTATATATATATATGTATATTTTTTTGGCTTTTTTCGTCACACCCGGTGATGCACAGGGGTTACTCCTGGCTCATGCACTCAGGAATTACTCCTCCTGGTGGTACTCAGGAGACCATATGGGATGCTGGGAATAGAACCTGGGTTGACTGTGTGCAAGGCAAACGCCCTACCCGCTGTGCTATTGCTACAGCCCCTAACTGTCTATTTGATGGTGGGTTTGTCTGACTGTGTGTCTGTGTGTCTATCTGTGTCTGTCTGTTGCCTGTCTATCTGGTTCTCCTGAACCTGAAGATCCAAGGAGCTGAGGTTGTGTGCCCAGAGGGCATCCAGCTGGCCAAATGTTGACTCGGGCTCAGCTGCTCCTGAGCGACCCTGGGCTGGGACATTCCCCTGGAGAGATGGGGACCCCCAGGGGCTGGGGTGGGGGCCTGGAACTGCAGCCTGAACCGCAGGTGTGGGCACTGCTCCTCCCATGCCTGGGGCAGCTTGTCCTTGCCAGTCTCACCCAGCGCCCGTAGCTCCATGGTGATGTCCACGTAGCCATGTTCGGCGCTGTAGTACATGGCCTCCTGGAGCGCCTTGGTGCGGGTCCGACTCAGCCCCCCGGGCCCGTCGCTGCCGCCGCCCTGGCTGGAGGAGTCACTCTCCTCCACACCCTCGGCCAGGATCTCCTCCAGGGACAGCACGTCCGCCTTGGCCTGCTGAGGCTGCGCCAGGAGCTTCCTCAGGACGTTCCTGTGGCCGAGGGACAGAGGTGATGGCTCAGATGGTGCCCACCTGTGGGACACCTGTGGGCCCCCAGCACTCCTGTCTGCCCCTCCCAGCAGAGAGGGCGGGGGACTGTGTGATGTAGATTTGTCGCCCCCTACCCGGCCCTGACCGCATGGCCCTCTGCGGGGAAGGTGATGATCCAGCCCCACCCTCTTTTTTAAATAACAATGCTCAGGGGTTCTTCCTGGCTCTGCACTCAGGAATTACTCAGGGAACCATATGGGATGCTGGGAATCGAACCCAGGTTGGCCCCATGCAAGGCAAACGCCCTACCCGCTGTGCTATCGCTCCAGCCCCATCACCCTCTTCTGGGGTAAAGTGAGGCCAGCATGGTTGCATTTGACTCAGGCTGACCGGTGCTGGCCACCCTTCCCGGGACTGTGTGCACGGCCCCATAAGGCCTGGGCTCGTCTCTCCCTTTCCTGCCCTTGGGAACAACGACATGAGGGCTCAGGGCCACAGCACAGGCTTTGCAGAGCCACAGGCCCAGTCCCGAGCACTGCATAGTCCCACACCCCCAACCCCCAAGAATCGCTGAAGTCACCCCCTGAGCACTGAGCCGGGAGCAGCCCCTGAGCGTCATTGGGTGTGGCCTCCAAACACGAAAGACATGAAGATGCGTCTACGCCCAACTCCTCCATGGGACCAGAGAGAGAGAAAGCTCAGTGGGCAGAGCTCCTGCTTTGTGTGTAGGAGGCCAGGGTTTGACTCCGCCCTCCCCAACCCCACCAGGTCCCCTGAGGAATGCTGAGAGGAGCAACCCAGCACAGAGCCTCAACACTGCTTGGGCATGACCCAGAAAAACAACAACAAAAGTATCCATCAGGGGCTGGAGTGATAGTACGGTGGGGAGGGCGTTTGCCTTGCACACGGCCAACCTGGCTTCAATTCCCAGCATCTCATATGGTCCCCCAAGCACCGCCAGGAGTAATTCCTGAGCAAAGCCAAGAGTAACCCTGTTCATCACTGGGTGTGACCCAAAAGGCAAACAAACAAAAGTATCCATCAGCCCCGGATGTTCCTGGACAGTCACCCTGACCCCCTGAGGCCCCTGAACTGTGCTCAGGTCACCCGGGACAGGACTCAGACCCAGGCTCTGGCTGACTATGCAGGAGTCACTGTCCAGGTCACCTTGGGACTGACACTGAGGGACTTGGGGCATGCCTGGGGTGGGGGCCTTACAGATATATAGTCTTGCTGTGGACAGTTGGGATAAGGCGGGCGGGGGGGGGGGGCATTCCACCCACTGTCTGAGGGTGCTGGTAGGGCTGGGGTCGGGGAGCAGCCCAGAGAGGGTGGGGATGGAAGGCCTGGTAGGGGCCAGACTGTAGGGCGGGGGCCAGGCAACACATGGTGGGGCTGCGGGGGAAGCAGATATCCACCCACCCTCCACAGCCTCCTGGAACCCCTTTGGCTCCCTCAACCCCTTTAGGTGCCAAGGGGTTCCCAGAGCCTCTGAGATGCACTTTCCTAGGGACACACATATTGCCATATGGTAACCAGCGTGCGTGCAAAGGGCTTGGGTGGGTGCTGTAGAGGTTGAGTCTTTTTTTTTTTCTTTTTGTCCTTTTTGGGTCATATCCTGAGTCATGCTCAGGGCTTCTTCCTGGCCCTGACTCAGGAATTACTCCTGCTGATGCACTGGGTACCATATGTGATGCCAGGGATAAGAACCCGGGTCGGCTGCATACCAGGCAAGCGCTCTAACCGCTGTACTATTGCTCTGGCCTCAAGTCTTTGTGGAAAAAGGGTGTTGGGAGACCGTAGCTTCAGACCCGGACTTAGCCGCTAAGTAACCTATTGGGGCCCCCTCCCCCACGTGGTCCCTGGGCTGTGAAAGCCCCCAGCCGGCCCCCAGCCAGCCCCCAGCCCCCAGGCCAGCTCATCAGCTCCCATCTGGAGAGTCAAGGCTGTGACAGCCCCGGGAATACCTGTGGCCGTGGGCAGCCGAGTGGCTGAAGCAGTTCATGTCCTCGTGGAGGGAGGACGCCATCCCGTTGGCTTCCAGCATACTGAGGAGGGGGTCAGCGCCGCGGCTCAGCAACAAGCTGACCAGCTCATAGTTTCCTGCAAGGCAAGTGGACAGGTGCCCCATGCAGCAGGAACCCTGAGGGGCATCCCCAGCGGGGCCCAGGGGGAGGGGCTGCAGGGCTGGCACATGCAGTCGCCATTGTCCAGGGCCAGTGTCATGTAGCCTGGTGCCCAGCAGGATGGCTCCATGCGCAGGGAGGGGGCACCTACCGGCCGCAGAAGCGAGCTGCAAGGGGGTCTCGGCGAAGCTGTCTTCACCACCGTTCACTGCTGAGCCCTCTACGTTGGCCCCTGCGTCCAGGAGCAGCTGCCAGGACACAGAGGGGGACACGTTATGATTTACTGTCTGTCCATTGATGTTCTTTAAAAAGAATCTTGACTGGGGTCAGAGCGATAGCACAGCAGGTAGGGTATGCGGCTTGAACTTGGCTGACCCGGGTTCGATCCCTGGCATCCCAGTTGGTCCCCCAAGCCCACCAGGGGTGATCGCTGAGAGCACAGCCAAGAGTCAGCCCTGATAGGGAGTGTGCTTGCCTTGCAGGGGACTCACCTGGGTTTGATCCCCAATATTTCTTTTTTTTCTTTTTTCTTTTTGCTTTTTGGGTCACACCCTGCGATGCACAGGGGCTACTCCTGTGCTTTGCACTCAGGAATTACTCCTGGCGGTGCTCAGGGGTGCTATGGGAGGCTGGGAATCGAACCTGGTTGGCCACGTGCAAGGCAAACGCTGTGCTATCGCTCCAGCCCCCAATCCCCAATATTTCATAAGGTCCCCCCAAGAGCACCAGGAGTGACCCCTGAGACCAGAGCCAGGCATAACCCCGGAGCACCACTAGGTGTGGTCCCTAAACAAACAAATCTTTACTGAGGTCCTGTGATTTACGTAACTGTCCATGGTGGGTTCATACCCTCATCATTCGACACCATGCCTACCACCAGGGAAGCCACTTCCCTCCACCATATTCCCCGAGGCCCCTCCTGTCCAGGCCCAGCCTCCACCCTGCAAACTCCGTGCTGTGGACCAGCTCTCCAGTTCTGCTGCCCTTGCAGGCCCTGTGCTGCTGAGAGGGGGACACTTTCATGTGGGGGATGTTGGGAGGCTCGAGGGGACAAATCTTCCACTCTCTCTGGGCCTATGACCAAGACTCAGGGCAGCCATGGAACCAAGCCGCAGAATTCCAGGACTCCGAGTTTCTAGAATTTTCTCCGCGCTCGCTAGTGGTGATGGCCACAACCCCTAAGACTGTCGGTAGCTGAGCATTCCTGTTCCTTCAACTGCTTCCCCAAGAGTGGGCTGCAGTGACCTGTGTAAGGCCTCGCAGTGGCCTCTGTAAGAGCACATGCCAGGTGTCATATCCCCTTCAATGGGAAAAACTGAGGCTCGGGAGGCCCTGGAGGCAAGGGGGGTGGGAAGGGGATTCTGTGTTGAATCAGAAGTTGCTGGGCACCTATGCGGCCACCTGGGGTCAGGAAAGCCCACTGGCTTCACCTGGGAGGTGGCGCGAGAGGCCGCATTGCAGTATTTTACTTGGGGGGGTGGGGGGTAAAATGACTCTGCTTCCCCCCCCCCCCCATCCCTGGGGACCCTGTAATGGGATTTTTGGATGCTCATCAGTGAGGCAGAGGGATCCAGTCAGGCCTGTCTGGCGGTGCAGCGTGGAACCCAGTTGTCTAGGCCACGGGGCCTCTCCCTGGCACAAGGAGCCGTCAGCCTCCCACTTTTCTCGCTTCCCTCCTTCCCGGATTTCTGGGCACACTGGGGGAAGCCCCAGCAGCCTGAGTGAGGGTCTGGGCTCTCCTCTCAGCCTCCCCCACGTGTAGGGCACGAGGGCGGCACCCCTCCTGTGCCTATAGCCGTGCCAAGACCGCAGAGGTGGCACCCTCCCCGCCCTGTCGGGGTGAAACTGGGCACCGGGCCAGGCAGGTCCCAGGCACAGCCCTGCAACCTGGCTCTGCCTGGCCCCTTAGGAGGGCGGGCCCCAGGCCAGGCTGGCCGGTCCCCTCTTGGATGCCCCTGTTCACTGAGTGCCTGCTTCAGGCTGGGGTGATGCCATCCACATTGAGAGCAGCTCCCTGGAAGTGGAACCATCCCCATAACGCCTGTAAGTGTGGAACAGTCTGGGCACCAAGGGCCACGGGATGGCAGCCCTGGCCAGGGTTGGGTCCTGTTCTGCTCCCAGTTTCCACACGCAGGTCTGAAATGATACCAGGCACAGCTCCCCAGGCCCAGATGGGCATAGGGCAGCCTGGCTGGACAGGAGAACTCATCTGATTCTCTTACAGAATGGGGAGCGGGCATGAGAGCGCCCCATGACTGAGGGAGCCCTGGTTGTGGGAAAGGACCTTGAGACTATACACATGCGCCCCATGGAGAGACACGAGAGCCCACCTCTCACAGTGATGACCTCCCCCGGAGGCCACCCAAGTGGGTCTCGTCCTGCTGCCTGGCCAGGCCACTCTCAGCCCTGCCACTGGCATCTCTGACTGCACCTGAGCCGGGGTGACCGAACCCCTCCCCACCTGCCCCCCTGCCCCAGGTAAGCCGGGGCAGGAACTCACCTGCACCACAGAGATGTGTCCATGCAGCACAGCAAACGTCAGCGACGTCCAGTGTCGGCTGTCGGGGTGGATGGAGGGGTGCCTGGGAGAGTTGCTTGGAACCTAGGAAATACCACCGATAATCAGTGATGGGGAGGCGGGGAGCGACCTTCGTGGCAGGTGATACCTGCCCCCGAGTCAGGAGGGCGCCCTGCAGACAGTCTGACTAACAGTCAACTCAAGCGCTCCCACACTGGCTGGGTAATGCCTGCCTTGTGACCAGCGAATGTCTAGTGGACATTCGCTGTGCAAGGTCTGTCCAGGACTGAGAGGCAGCGCTCAGTGTATCTGTGTGTGTGTGTATGTGTGTGTGTGGGGGGGGGGTTCGAATGGTTAAAGTGCAACAGAAGAGAGTCATGGCCAGTCTCTGCATTTGACTTGCCCAAAGCTGCAGGGACGACTCACTTGGCTAAGTGGGATCTCTCTGCCTCTTGTATTTTTTTTTTTCAGACCCACCAATCCAGAATATCACACCTGGCCTGCCCAGCTGAGGGACCTGGGAGTGACCTCCTGATGGGTCAGGGGCCTGCACGCAGCTCTTTTGAGGTTTGCCCACCTGGATGTCCAAGTTCGCACCAGCATCAATCAACATCTGGACCATGGCCTCGTCCCCCGCTGCACAGGCATACATCAGCGGTGTCATACCCTGCGGGAGTCGAAGGTGAGAATTCAACCATCAGGGCAAGAGAACACAACGTCATGTGTGTCACACACCCCTGCCCCAGAAGCCAGAATCCTGGAGCTCCTGCTTGGTCCAGGGCATGGCTCGGGGTACAGTTGAGTCTGGTCCTGGAAGGGCCCCTTCCAGGGTGAGTGGGGACAGGTCTGGGCTGCAGAAGCACTGTCCTCCCTCACCATGGGGCACTGTAAGCCTCATATGAGTGATGTGCACCACTTGCCTTGCACCTCCCTCATTTTTTTTTTAATTGAATCACTGTGAGATACACAGTTAAAAGCTGATCGTGGTTGGGTTTCAGTCATACAGTATTCCAACCATCCCTCCATCAGTATCCACTTTCCACCACCAATGACTCTAGTTTCCCTCCCGCCGCCCCCCTCCCTCAGTTCTTCGCTTTGAAACTGGCATCATTAAGCATGGCTGAATACTGTGTTCTTTTGATCATTTAATCAGTATTTTACACATCTGGATACCATGCAAAAGTAATGTTTCCTTGAAATGACTTTTGATGGTATGCTTCTCTCTCTCTCTCTCTCTCTCTCTGGGCTATACCCCCGGCAATGCTCAGGGGTTACTCCTGGCTCTGAACTCAGGAATTACTCCCAGCAGTGCTCAGGGAAACATAGGGGATGCCAGGAATCGAACCCAAGTCAGCCATGTGCAGGGCAAATGCTCTACTCGCTATACTATCACTCTGGCCCCTTTATGCTGCTTTTTTAATGCAAGCCATTATTTAAAGTAGCTACAAATGAAAAACGAAAGAAAAAGAAAAAAGGAAAATGGAACCATCAAATGCCTTCCACTCAGGGCTATTCAGAGTGTGAACTGCAGGCCAGAGAGATAGTACAGCAGGTAGAGTGTTTGCCTTACATGTGTCTGACCTAGATTTGAGCCCCTGAGCCTGCCAGAAGTGATCCCTGAGGACCACCAGGTGTGATTCCAAAACAGAACAAAATGGAAAGAGTGTGAGTTCCGGGAAACTGCGCAGACACCCGGCAGTGCTGTGTACCTCGGGCTGCACACATATAAGGCGAATGCTCTACCCTCACCCTCAGCTAGTTTAAAGTGAACATGGGGTCAGAGAGATAGTACAGTGGGTAGAATGCGTGCCTCGCCTGTGGCAGACCCAGGTTCAAATCTTTGGCATCCCTTGTGGTCCTCTGAGCATTGCCTGGAGTGACACCCAATTTCAGTGTCAGGAAGAAGCCATGAACACCACTGAATAGAGCCCTCCCAAACCAGAAGACAGATGGACATACCCTTATTGTCACCTTCTGCTTTCCCTGTCCTCCAGCCCTGGCCCAAGGGCATGAATGGTCCCCTCTAACACACGGATGCCAGGGCCGAGACCTGTGTTCACAAAACCACAGCTGTGTGTGGCCACTGGCGGCGGACACCAGTATTGATGTGAGAATGGGCACCGTAAGCCAGCTAGGAGGCTCTGTCATCTCCCTATCCCCCTGAGGAGCAGAGAAGGGGGGGGTCAACTTTCCCAGAGCGGCCCCATGAGTAGGAGGAGGAAACCTCGTTGGAAGGCAGGGCTACCTTAGCCATCCAGGGGTCCCACTGTTTTGGGGAGCGGGGGATGTGGCATGCTGGGCTTCTGAAAGCATATACCACAGCTCACCATAGTTTCCTGGGAAGTTGACAGGGTTCCCTTGCTGGTTGGGAATCATTCTCTGAGGTCACTAATAGCAGGGACCCGAGCAATAGTACAGTGGGTAGGGCATTGGTCTTGCACACAGCCAACCTTGATTCAATCCCCAGCATCCTACATGGTCCCCAGAGCACTGCCAGGAGTAATTCCTGAGTTGCAGGGGTTACCCTGAGCATCATGGTGTTATGACCCAAAAAGCTGAAAAAGAAAAAAAAAGCCACAGTAATAGCAAAGACAGACCCCTGGGACATGCCAGTCCACAGCCTGATGCTTGCCAGCATTTGTCTGCAGCCCTGTGATGTTGTTTATTAGGCTATTTGTGTGTAGACAAGATCTTGTGCCTCATAAATCCTTGCCATGCAGAGATAAAGAAATGTCCCGGGATTCATCACCGTCGGGGACTGCTTAGCACCCGTCACTCGGCATGTGGCGAGGCTCAGGGCATTGGCAGGAGGAAGCATGTAAACCAGGTCACCAGCCTTGAGGGCAGAAGTCACAAATTTAATTTATTTCCGCTGTCCTTTCCCTTTGCTGTTGTGAGGAAGGTAGTGCACGCATGCTTCAATGTGATGCCCAGATCCCAAATGGCAGGGCAGGGGCCGGAGCAATAGTACAGCAGATAGGGTGTTCGCCTTGCTGCGGCTGACCTGGGTTCAATCCCTGGCACTATTTATGGTTCTCTGAGCACTGCCAGGAGTAATTCCTGAGTGTAGAGCCAGGAGGAACTCCTGAGCATCACCGAGTGTGACTCCAAAAGCCAAAAAACAAATAGAGTGGGTAGGGCACTTGCCTTGCACATGGCCAACCTGGGTTTGATCCCTGGTATCCCTTATGATCCCCTGAGCACCACCAGGAGTAACCCCTGAGCATCGCTAAATGTGATTGAGTTCGATTCCTCTGTCCCTCTCGGAGAGCCTGGCAAGCTACCGAGAGTATCTAGCCCGAACGGCAAAGTTTGGCAAGCTACCCATGATGTATTCGATATGCCAAACACAGTAACAACAAGTCTCACAATGTTACTGGGCCCGCTCGAGCAAATCATGAACAATGGGAGGACAGTGGCAGTGACAGTGATATATAAATATGGGGCCCGAGCACTAGTACAGTGGGTAGGGCACTGGTCTTGCACACAACTGACCTGGGGTTCAATCCCCGGTATATATATATATATATATACACACACACACACACACATATGTAAATTTAGTGAACAGAGTCTAAGAATCACCATCACTCTCTGGCCCAACCTGCTCAGAATGACTATGTCCTGTGCTTTCACTCTGTCCAGGGAAGTCACAGCCCAGCCCACATGGACTATCATGGGGCAGGTAGACACGGGACTTGTGGTCCAAGAGCTCATGGCTGTAAAGGGGTGTCTTGCAATCAAAGGCCAGGGACCCCCAGACCCCCTCACTGTACCACTGAAGTGGGCAGAAGACTCCCCAGAATGCAAGTTCCCAGGACAACTGAAACTGGCACTGACGGGGCCGGAGCAATAGTTCAGCAGGGAGGGCGCTTGCCTTGCACACAGCTGGCAGTGCATATGGTCCCCCCTACCTTGCCAGAAGTGACCCCTGAGCACAGAGCCAGGAATAAGGCCTGAGTGCCGTGGAGTGTGACCCCAAACAATTGGCGTTGGCAGAGGGGCCTCTGGGAGGTCTGAGGCCCAGCCTGTCGCCTCCCCATCACCTGGCTGCTGTCCAGGCTACCTGCCCCTCTATGCTTCATTCCAATCCCTCTCCCACTGTCCGGGCTCAGTTCAGACCCACAGGAGGGCTTCATGCTGCCCCCTTACCTCAGCACCACTGAGACCCTCATTGTCGTCTCCCCTGACTTCCACATCACCTGCCAACTGCCCCTCACTGCAAAAGCACCTCCAGAACTGCATTCGAGGGGCTGGAGAGATAGCACAGCGGGTAGGGTACTTGCGTTGCATGCAGCCGACCCGGGTTCGATTCCCAGCATCCCGTATGGTCCCCTGAGCACCACCAGGAGTAACTCCTGAGTACAGAGCCAGGAGTAACCTCTGTGCATCGCCGGGTGTGACCCCCCCCCAAAAAAAAAAGAACTGCACTCGAGATGCCCATGGGGCTGGGTAAGAGCTCAAAGGGAGTGTGTGCTTTGCCCGAGTGAAGCCTGAGCTCAGTTCCCAGTACCGCCTGAGCACTGCTGGGTGTGAGTCCGGGGGCCCCCAGCACCACTGGGCCAGGCCCAGGCAATGAACTGACATGTGTGCATAGTCGGGCTGAAAAATTGCCTGGACTGACCTCTCAGTCACCGACTCTTCCGAAAGGGCCAGGAGCAGCTGCTTGCCACCTTCTGACCTCACTCTGCTCTTTCCTAACTGGATAAACTGAGGAGTATCACACCTTCTTTGTTTGTTTATTTGTTTTTTGGTTTTCGGTTTTTGGACCGCAGCTGGCAATGCTCAGGGTTTACTCCTGGCTCTGTACTCAGGAATTACTCCTGGTGGTACTGAGGGGACCACCGGAGGGTGGGATGCTGGAGGTCAAACTCAGGTTGTCCACGTGCAAAGCAAACACCTACCCGTTGTACAATCGCTCTGTCCCCACACCCTTGCCCCGCACCTAAACTTCAGTTTCCTCCTACGAGAAGCAGGAAGAAGGGCAACCCTGATGCCCCCTCATGGGACAACCTCCACATGAAAGAATTTCATCCAAGGGAAGTGCATGGAACAGCTCCGGGGCCACAGACACACATGAGGGCAAGTCACAGCGGAAGCAAAGCCAACACTCAGGCTCTCTGGAACAGCTACGCCACCCACAACCGTTCCCACCTCTGGTGCTGGTTCGGTTCAGTCTCAGAGTGCCTCATGTCCTAGATTCAACGTGCTTAGGTTTCTCACCATCAATCCTCACCAGTGTATTAACTATGTGAAAGCAAAGATGCATGAGTGTGTGTGTGTGTGTGTGTGTTTGTGCACTTGTGCGCATGTGTGCGCCCATGAGATGCTCTGAATCCAGCCACAGTGAGTATTAGCTTGACACCAAGTTGCTTCCTCCTTAGCTTGCGCAAGTCCTGCACCCCTGGGGCCGTCCCCAGCATCTCACCGTCTAGCACAGGGCAGCAGAAACCCCGCTAGGACATTTTCTTCTGACATGGCACAGAGAGAGCCCCATGCACACGGCCCACCTCCTAAGAACTTGCAGCTCAGAGCCTGAATGTGGTGTGTGCATGTGCGTGTGGATGTGTGTGTATGTGTGTGTGGGGGGAGGGAGTAGGGCTGGGGACCCAGGACAGGCTATGCCAGGAACCAGGCCACACAAGTGCCTGAGTCTTGTCCCGAGGCCAGGTCAGGGGTGCCCTGTACGCACCTGGTCATCCATAGTGTTCACACCGTCGGGGCCCAGGGCCTCGATGGCCTGGCTGATGAGGTCCGTTCTCCCACAGTTGAGCATACGGAAGCCCAGGTCCTGGTTGAACTTCTCGGTTGCCGCGCGGGCATCCAGTCTCCGGAAGGAGCTGAAGCAGCATTCTGGTCTGGAGAGGAGACTGGGATGAGTGTGTGTATGGCTGCACGGGGCTCCTCCCTGCAGGACACCCCCCCTGTGCTGGCTGGCGTGCGGTGTGGGGACAGGGTGGCAGTCCTAGTCTTGTCCCTGCAGCAGGGACTGGCCTGATGCACTGAGTGGTGGGAAACACTCACATTTCCCCTCTAGGAACACATAGGAAGCGAGGTCCCATCTCACTGGACCAGTGCCGGGAAAGTACAGCAGGGCAGGCAGTTGGGACTCAAGCCGACCCGCGCTCCATCCCTGGCACCATGTACAGTTCCCTGGTCCCTGCCAGGAGTGATCTCCGGTGTGGGACAGGAGTAAGCCCTGAGCACCGCTGGGAGTGGCCCCCAAACAAACAAAAAACGTGGGGCAGGGCTGGAGCTATATTACAGCAGGTAGGGCATTTGCCTTGCATGGGGCTAACCCGTATTCGATTCCCAGCATCCCATATGGTCCCCCGAGCACTGCCAGTAGTAATTCCTAAGTGCAGAGCCAGGAGTAACCCCTGAGCATTGCCAGGTGTGACCCAAATAGAAGAAATAAATAAACAAAAAAGGTGGGGGGGGGAGGTTCATGTTCTAGAGTGAAGTTCCATTTGGGGGGATGCCTAGGGGTTCCTCCTGCCAGTGCTTGGGGAACCATTTGGTGCTGGGAATGGAACTGGGGTCAAGCACGTGCAAGGCAAGTAAGAGCCCGACCAGGTCCAGCTCCGAGGTGCCATTTTCTGTGGGGATGGAGGAGACCAAAAATGGGGTCTGGGCAGTGGATCTACAAAAAGATGCAAGGCTCCCCCTGGCCCCCCGGCCACGGCAGGCCAGAGGGAATCTTCAGGAATAAGATCCAATACGAGAGGCATGTTGGCAAGGAAATGATGAGCCCAGGCTGGGGGCATCTGTGGACCAAGGTTCAAACAGGTACAAACGGGCTCAAACGGGTTCAAACAGGCACAGCCACTGTGCTGGCTGCGGGGAGGTGGGGATATTCTGGCTCCTCCCTGGTCCTCAGCATCCCTGTCTGTCAGGGGAGCTCCTTTCAGCCCTGAGACACTTGCCCATTGCCATGAAGACTAGATAATGCACTTATTGGGCTGGAGAGAGAGTACAGGGGTAAGTTGCTTGCTTTGCATGTGGCTGACCCAGGTCTGATGCCCAGCATCCCATATGGTCCTTGGAGGGAGCAGTGCCAAGAACAATCCGGAGTGCAGAGCGAGGAGTTAAGTGCTGAGCATGGCTGGTGTGGCCCAACCTTCAATTCTCCCCGCCACACCCCAAATCCAAATGCCCTTAAAAGGGCAGAGTTTAACATGGCTGCACCGAGAAGTGTCAGACAAGAGGAAAGAAGGGCCTCAGGTACCCCCAGCCACCACCCCCCCAACCCCCAGATCCAGGTGTGTCTGCTTTGGCACTGGCCAACGCCACGGACGCCATGCATGACAGCGTGACTGAGACCCACGGGGACGCACAGAGGGTCCTCAGGGCGCTGACTATCCCTGTCTGATGCCCCCAGCCCCACCCCTGGGAGTGGGAGCGCCCCCGTCCCTCCTGCCACCACCCCCATCCCACGTACTTGAGCTGCCGGGGCTCGCAGTCCAGGCCGGGCAGCAGCAGGCGGGCGGCTTGCCGGATGTCGCCGCTGTCCACGGTGAGGCTGCGGCGGTGCTCGGCGTAGGTGATGGCCACCCGCATCCACTCCATCAGCGGCGGCAGCAGCATGAAGGGCCTGCGGAGGGGCATGGAGATGCTGTCAGCAGACACCCCCCAGCTTCTGCACGCCCTCAGAGCACAGCCAGGGAAGAGGAGGCTGGGGGCACTTCCTGGGCTTTCTTCCCCTGGGACACCCCCCCCCCACACACACACACACACTTTGTCCAAAGCACAGAAATGTGGTCCTGCGCCCAGGCGGGAATCCCAGGAGCAGAACCCCAGAGCTTGCATGAACGCCCCTGCTCCCTCAATGGTTTCCTCTGCAGGGGCCACACAGGGTTAGCGGGTGGTGGGATCCAAGACCCAGGCAGATGCAAGATCCCAGCTCAGCTGCGACCTCTCAGCCTTGGCCGGTCTGCAGATGCTGCCACAGACCAACATTGGTTCCCACTGAGGCTCCATATAGACCACACAGCGCCTCCTCACCCTGACCGCCTACCCCCATTGTTGTCTTCCTGTCTGGAAAACTATGCAGGTCACTCATAATTAATCTCGGCCTTATACTTATTAGAACTGACTGGAATTTTGAGCTTTTAGTTTCTTTTTTAAAAATTTTTTTTCTTTTTTTAATTTGTGGGGGCTACAGCTGACTGTGCTCAGGGATCACTCCTGGCGGTGCTCGGGGACCACACACAGTACCAGGGATTGAGCCTTGCTTAAGGTTCTATTATGCCTCAAGCCCCGTACTATCTCTCCAGCTCACTCCGGGAATTGAAGATAGAACTAGAAACTAGAACTAGAAATACGATGCCGGGGTGGGGGAGATATGAAAGTACAGTGGTAGGGCATTTGCCTTGCACGAGGCTGGCTCAGGTTCAACACCCCCTCCCCGCGGCATCCTATATGGTCCCACAAGCACCATCAGGAGTAATTCCTGAGTGCAGAGCCAAGAATAACCCTTTAGGCATCGCTGGGTGTGACCAAAACCATCCCTGACTCCCAAAGAAATGCCGTGAAGCGATAAAAGAATATAAAAAAAATTAAAAAATAAAAAGTCTGCATCCTGATATTCATAGCAGCCTTTTTTAGAGATCTGGAAAGATCCCAATGCCCATTAGTGAATGAGTAGAAAGAGAGAGTATAGTGTATATATCAGACTATATATTACTCAGCTATGAAAAAAGCCTGAGCTCAACAGGCATCCTCGTAGGCACAAACCATCCCTCTCAGGGGCCAGAGTGAGAGGACAGGGAGGAGGGCACTTGTCTTGCACATGGCCAAGTGCTAGGGTTTGATCCCCAGCACCCTGTACATTCCCCCAAGAACTGCCAGGACAGACAGACGGACACACACACACACACACACACACACACACACACACACACACACACACCACTGCCTTTACATGTGTGAGCAGCTCCTGGGTTCAATCCCAGAACTGGGGGAGAAACAGACAAGCTCAGAAACAAAAGGATCTCAGACAGAGTATTCTGGACACATAATTATGTAGTGGGATATAAACCCATGCCCTGCAAGGGGACACCAGCCTCAGAGCTGGGCTGCAGGTGGGGAGCAAGAGAGGAAATGGGGGCAGGAACGGGCGGGGGTGGAGGGGAGACGCACACTGAAGTGCCCTTGATGATTTATATCTTCAACATTAGAGTACAAATGATGTGAAACAAACAAACAAAAACAAAGAGCAAACAGCAACATTTCCTACTCTGAGAACCAGGCCTGAGCAGTGCGCTGGTCTCTGCATTTTTCAGCTTAGTCACTGTGGTTCCAAGTCACCGGATTACAAATGAGATGCTGAAAGTGCTTTGCTGAAAGTTGAGGGCTGAAGAAAGCAGCCACCCGGCACTTTCCTACGGCAGGATGCGTATCTTCATCAGGCCCTCTCTTAGATTCTTTTGTGGGGAAGATGGGCGCACACTCAGCAGTGCTCAAGGCTACAGTGCCCAGGGCTGGAGTGATAGCACAGCGGTAGGGCGTTCGCCTTACAAGCGGCCAACATGGCCGACCTGAGTTCGATTCCTCCGCCCCTCTCGGAGAGCCCGGCAAGCTACCGAGAGTATTCGATATGCCAGACACAGTAACAACAAAGTCTCCAATGGAGACGTTACTGGGCCCGCTCGAGCAAATCGACGATCAACGGGAGGGCCTTTACCTATGAAAAAGGCATCTTACTATTTGCCACAACAAGGATAGAATTTGAGGGGATCACACCGAGTGAAATAAATCTGAAAGCAGAAGATGAGGGGACCGGCGAGCTAGTACAACTAGTTAGGCACTTGCCATGCATGCAGTTGGGTTAATTCCCAGCTCCCCATATGATCTCCGTTTTGTTTTGTGTTTTTGGTCAAATCCAGGGATGCTTAGGGGTTACTTCTGGCTCTGTTCTCAGAAGTCACTCCTGGCAAGGATCAGGAGACTATATGGGGAGGGCAATGTGCCGGGGATTGAACCCAGGTCAGCCGCATACAAGACAAGGGCCCTACACACTCTGGCCGAACCCAGATGGTCTTTCAAACACTTCAGTAATGATCTCTGAACACAGAGCCAGGAGTAAGTCCTAAGCACTGCCAGGTGTGGCCCAAAGCCCCTCCCCACCCCTCCCCCACAAAAAAGAGATAAACACAAATTTATTCACATGTGGAATGTAAGGAAAACAAATGAATGAACATTTGTTTCATTCAAATTAAAACGAAGCAGACCCTCAGACATCATTATCTTCTTCATCAGCTACCTCTCCGGTTGTCTGGGCTGAAGGAGGTGAAACATAACACTCTAGGTGTGTGGACCACAGTCCCTCCTCCACTTGCACCTGGGCTGTGGTCAGCCCCACATCACCTCCCATGGCCAGTCAGGGGTTGCCGCAGCTTGGGGCTCTGTGTTCCCTGGGGAAAAACAGTCTCGGGGACCTGGGTAAGAATCCATGTATAGGGGCTGGAGCAATAGTACAGCGGGTAGGGCATTTGCCTGGCACGCGGCTGACCCAGGTTCGATTCCCAGCATCCCATATGGTACCCCAAGCACTTCCAGGAGTAATTCCCGAGTGCAAAGCCAGGAGTAACCCCTGTGCAACGCCGGGTTTAAAAAAAAAAAAAAAGAAAGAAAGAATCCATGGCTAGGGGTGGGGTCAGTCAGATGGTAGCTGAGGATAGCCCTTCAGTAAACATGAGTCGCCAATTCCAGGGGGCACTAGACAAAGGTACTTGTGCCACCGGGCCGGGGGGAGGGGACGTGGTACATTTGTACGGGGCTAACTGGTGTGGTATTGAAGAAACAGAAAGCCCAGCCTCCTGGCTTCCTCTGCAGTCTCCTACAACTGAGACCCGGAAAACCACATCACCCAGCAGAACTCACTGCCCCCCACACCTTTTGCTTGGGGAATCGAGGGACCATCCAGCAGTCTGTTCTGACCAGGAAGAATGCGCTCTTCCTGCCTGGTCACAGGACAGAACCTCAAGCCCTGACCCCTCTGGGTTGTTTTCTCCAGTGACAGCCCTCCAGTCGTCTTCCCAGGCCCGCCACCCTCCCTCCATCCTTCCTGTAAAACGAGGCTAACTGGGGAACATGTTTGAAGGGGAGCACTGGTGAAGGCATTGTTGCTGGGACACTGTATTCTTGAAACCCAATCATGAATAACTTTGTAACTTTGTGATTCATGGTGATTAAATGAAGAAGAGAAGGAGGAGGAGGAGAAGGAGAAGAGGAGGAGGAGGAGGAGGAAGGGGAAGAAGAAGAAGGAGGAAGAGGAGGAAGAGAGAGGAGGAGGAAGAGGAAGGGGAAGGGGAAGAAGAAAAAAGAAGGAAAAGAAAGAAGGATAAGAAGGAGAAGGAGAAGGAGAAAGAGGAGGAGGAGGAGGAATAAGAGAAAGAAGAAAAGAAAGAATAAAGAAAACAAAAGAAGAAACCAGGCCTGAGGGCCAGAGAGATGGTTGGGAGGCTACACACCTGCCTTGCATGCAGGTTCAGATCCCCAGCACTGCATACAGTGCTCAGGAATCACTACTGGCAGGGTGCAGGAGATCGTTTAGGGTGCTGGGACTCAAACCTGAGTCAGCTTAGTGCATGTGCTCTACTCTCTGTACTATCTCTGAGGCCTTGAATTTTTATGAAACAAAATAAGCAGAAGGGGAGTAGCGGGGCAAAGCAACGGCTTAGCAGGCTGGAGTGCTTTGCACGCAGGAAGCATGAGTTTGACCCCCCCAACATTCGGTCCCCTGAGCACAGAGCTGGGTGTCGCCCCAAACCCAAACCACCTCAAAAACTCAGACAAAAACTTGAAGGAAGGATGTTCAAAGTTACTTGATGTTTGATTCTGTCATTTCAGACCGTGACTCTGGGGCTTGGGATGTGCCTGTTGGTTGGTGTGAGGGTAGGGGCCTTGGGTGGGATGAGCCTGGCTGGCTGTGCTCAACCATGAGGCCAGAACCTCACTCCCAGCCGCTGTGCAGTTCCTGGTTCCAGTCCTGTGGCCCTCCCTTCCCCTGACACCAGATCTGTGGACACTGCTCTCAGGCTGCAGAGGATGGGTGACAACTTACTTTTCTGTTTGTTTGCTTTTTGTTTTGGGTCCACTCTTGGCAGAGCTCGGGGTACACTATGAGATGCCAGGAATTGAACCTGGATCAGTTGTGTGCAAGGCAAGCTGAATCATATCTCTGCCCTGCATTGCATCTCCCACCCCCATTCCTCATGAGAAAACACCATTCCTCAGAACAGGAATGATACCATTCTCTTCCTCCTCCTCCTCCTCCTCCTCCTCCTCCTCCTCCTCCTCCTCCTCCTCCTCCTCCTCCTCCTCCCCCCCCTCCCTGCCCCTTCTCTCTCTCTCTCTCTCTCTCTCTCTCTCTCTCTCTCTCTCTCTCTCTCTCTCTCTCTCCACACAGCAGACCTCAGCAAACCCTGACTGCAAGGGAGCAATGGCTACTTGTTAGACCCAAGTATCATGAATGCATCACATGTTCACACCTGGACCAAGTCCTGCTTCTGCCCGGAGAGGAAGAATACAGAGCTGACTCATTCAAGGGAGAAGCCAGGATTCTATGGTAGAACTGGCAGACTTGAGGAA